GCTGCCTCTTCATTTGAATCATCGATTCATGTATCGTAGTACAACTCCATTGGGATTGAATACTGTCTTGGTAACTTGAATGGTTTAAACTTTCATTCTTGCAATCTCTTATCCATCTCATTTATACTGTTTAATTCTATAGACTTCAATGGTGTCTGATGGCTCATGTGTTCCACTCGACCAATTTATGGCCATTTAACCGCGTCCTTTGCAAGATTCTTTTTCTGCAATGAAACTGGTTTCTGGTGTTGGATGGGCACTCAAGTCATTGCTGATCACTCCGCTAAAATGGTCTGCTGAACAATTGATTGGCTCAAGCCCCATTTTATGGTTACAAACTAATCGTATTTTGACAACTCTCCAGTGCCTATCGAGACAGTTTATGAAAAATGACCACAAGGAACTTTTTAGTAGCCATTTCGGAGTTTATTGAAAGAAACGAAACAAAAAAAGATCAAACAATCAAACATGATTGTCTCACATTCAAACTCGATATTGTGTGAAGAATGTATTCAAATTCACATGCTCTGAATATTATCAAATTAAGCATTCTCGTGTGAAATCACAGTCAAATTAAGCATTTGTCATGTATTCACATGTATTAGTGACTAGTCAAATGTCAATACTATCATTCAATTGACTACACTATAGTAGTATATCGACCAACGAGACCAGTTTTGTTGGTCGATATTCACTGATACTCACTGATAACTTGATGAAAATGTGTCAAACCATGACTTTCATGACAACACTGTACAAACTGTACGAGTTTAAAAGATTATTGATGGATATTGTCCAATTTGATTGACGACTGCGCTTATTTTGTTGGCTCGAGTTTCATTTTCTTTCCCTCCAAAAAACAACATCGAATGAATATTGAAATAACAAAAGCAGCAGCAACACAACTGTTGAATGGATACTACAACATCCACACCTCAGACCTGCCAACACAGAGAGCCAAGTCTGAATGGCAGGATGACAACAAACGAGGTTTCTTCTTGGGCATCATCCAAGAGGGAGAAACCTCGCACACCACTCAGTTGCACGACCTGCTGGCTGCCAACCAATTTGCAGAGCAGCAAGAGTTCTCAACCAAGGTCCAGTTGGCAGACTCAGAGCATCCTCGTACATTCATTGACGAGATGTTTGAGTACTACATACTGCCATTCCACAAAAATTACAACAGCTCATCCAGCTGCCACACTCCAGCTTCTTCAAGGGCACCATCAAGAACCAACTCTGCTGGAAATATAAGCAATGTCCCAAAAGAGAGTGAGCTGTCTCACAGGGACTTGAAGAATGCTGTCGAGGAAAGAGACGTTGCCTGCTTGTTTTGCTGGGAAGGCAATAAGCGAAAACTTCAAGGAGCACACATCATCGCCCAAAAAAACATTGGAGTAGCGTACAACGAATCCCCAATCCTGTTACGAGCTGGTCTAGCGCAGAAACATCAAGTCCAAAACGGACTGCTCCTTTGCTCTGGATGCCATATCGAATTTGATTCCCTAAAGCAATACGTGGATGTGGTGGATAACAAACTGGTGGTCAAGGTAGTCAATGAGACGAATGACTCAACAAGTGACAAGCACATGAATTGGATCGAGGCAATTGAAAGCCTCAAAGACACCCGTTTTGGAAAACAAAGAAGGCTTCCAGAGTTCAGCAATCGACAAGCAGTCGAATCTAATGGCGAGATGGCATTATACTTTGTTCTTGGCGATCCAACTCTGCAGCCAAACAGAGATGCACTAGAGTTCCACAAGACAGCGTGTCTTATTTGGCGTATGGCTGGTGGTGCAGAATCCGATGATGAGTATTGTCCATATGATGACGATGGCTGTACTCCTGTAGATTACCGGAGTAAGAGCATCGAAAAATGGATGGACTCAAGTGCTACCTTGATTATTGAAAATGTTCAATAAAATTGTGTATTCATTACAAGAGACTGGTTTCTGTTACAGCAATAGTTGTCATTGTAGTGAGTGTGAATACCAACAGTTGATGTTGACACTTGAATTCAAGCAATAATGAAAGCAACTCAAATGTCTCTTTCCATTGCAGTGAGACAGTTTGTCAACCAACAATCTCTCATCAATTGATGACACATTCAGACTCCAGTGATGTTGTTGCTACCAATGATCGTGGAACTGATAGTGCAGTCTTTTTACACTGTGGTGAGACAACTCGGTATCATGTCAATCATGTCCATCGTTGTGGAAATCACTTGTTAATCTACTCTGAATGAACAACTTTCTTTTCCATGTTTAATCAATGTATCTTTATATCTGCTTGAATAAAGCACTTGTGATTGTTTCTATTTATTGTTCTGGAATTGTGTTTTTGCTTTCTTTACCCTTTTTTACTCTCCTTCTCCTTCTCAAGATCGGAATTCAATGAATAGTACTATCTGTATGTTTTCTGGTCTTTATCCTTGTTTCTTTGATAATAATCTCGATGTCATTGTCACAATTGCTCATTTTCATTTGGGTTGCAATGATTCCAATTCCGTATGCGTTCAAGATATTCATTGTGGGTATTGATTTCGAAATTCATTGTATAATATTACCCAACACAATAATTTCATGTAAATACATTAGTCTTTTCATGTAGCGGTTCAAGAGTATATTCCACTAACTCGACAATTTCACGCTTGTTACGATCTCCATTTGAAATATTTAAATGGATTATATTCGAACTCAGATTAAAGCCGGGAATATATTTCTTGGGATAGATACATGACTGAAAATAAAATGACAATCAGCCATCCATTTACAAAAAAATATTTGCAATGTGCAATCTGCTACATTGGCATATTCTCACATCTAATTCAGTGCTTCCAATGCTTTTATATTTTGATATGTCAGAAATGTGCTGTCAAAATGAATTGAGATATCCAGCTTGTAGAACTAGCTTACTCTTCAACAAGCAACTTGAAAATCAGATTCTTTTTGGGAAATGCAAACATTCTTGTCCAATGAACAGTTTGAAGTGGGATATTGATTCCCACTCGGAAATCTGCGCTTACGCTCCACAGCAATCAAAACATTTGATATTGGTTTGGTGTTCAATTCGGGTATATACTGCAAAATGTAGCGACCAAAGAAACAATTCAGTTTAATCCATCTGGTAGTACTTCATTTTTCAATGCAAACTGCCATTGATTAATACATCAGTTGATAGTATTCTGGAACAACTAACTGGCGACGATATCATTGACCGACTGAAACGTCGAATTCAAAGTGGAGCGTTGAGAGCATATATGAGTACGTTCTTTTGTCGACTCCACTACGTGAAATGTCTGCTGGTTCACCATTAGTATTGCCAGATTTCATCAAAAACACCAAATATTGTGTCATTTGAAGATGCACCCAATAATCTTTGGTTCTGGTATTGTCTTGCTCATGATAGAAATGCCAGAAAAAGATGACATAGATTGTCAAGAAATGCCAGAGTTGTTTCACGATTACTACGGCATCAAGATAAATAAAGATTATTCTGGGATTGACGTTAAACACCCGAATGATATCGAAAAACATTATTCTGTAAGCATCAATGTGTACAGATTCAACAGCAACAAACCAATGATGAAAAGACATTCAGATAAACACTACAAACAAATATGGATCACAGACATATATACCAATTTAAAACTCATACTCATCACTTGTATTGTATCAAAAACATCAACCAATTGACCAAAGTCTTTGAATGTGCTGAATGCCATACATTTGAGTGAGTTCAAGAAAATCAACCGACACTTGTTAATGTGTAATCAGGACAAACCAAAGATACTATTCGATAATGGAAACTATCAACCCAAGACTGGTGTTTTTGACATGTTTGAAGCAAATACGGTGTGTGCTGCTCAAGATCTGAGACACTGTCCTTGTTTCATTTCATTTCCTATGATTTCCTATGATTTCCTATGATTTCAATGATTTCAAGACTTGGTTAAAGCATTGTCAATTGGATACAGATTCAAAGTTGCAGTATCTTGTAATACACGAGTTGTCAAGCATCAGTTTTATGGGCAGTGAGAAAACAACCCCAGAGCTTATTCATGTAGATGGAACGACTGAAAAAGCATTGGATGTAATGATGATCAAGATGATCAAGATGATCAAGATGAATAACATACAAATGAAATATCTACATGATCTGTATCCAAGTACACAGAGTTGTTTATATATATTGATAGGTTTGAAGTTGTCAAGGCATGAAAGTCGTTGCGCAACAAATTGCTGGAATGGCTGGATGTGTTGTCAGTATACGACTTCAACTCGGGTTCGTATGATATTAATGCCATCAAGAAATATCTCACGCAAGTCCTGATAAAGCACACAAAAGCATGACAACGTTTCCAAATACGAACAGTTGTGGATTCGTAGCATTGAGCAAGAATTGGGTCGGGACATTGAACAGAACAAAACGATTGCAAAGTACAATGTAGACGGCTATGATGACAAAACGAATACTGTTCGAGTTCAACGGATGCTTTTTTCACGGTTGTAATAGGTGATACAAGTCTGATGATATTACCCATTGACGGGTGATTGATGAATATCTTGTATCAAACTACCATGCAAATCAAGCACATCTCACAAGCAAATGGGTTACAAAGTTGAATGTTTGGGGATGCGAATTTCAACTTTCGGAAACACTGAAATGGGCAGCATCATCAAATGTAACAATAATTACCAAATGATTTCAAACAGGTCGTTTACATCCAAAGACACTCTGTCATACTTGTCACCCAATACCTCACAGTACCTCACAGTACATCCATAGATCAGTTCTTGACAGTATTCAATGCTGAAATGCAAATGGGTGGATTTACCCAGAGTAACCCAGAATATATACAAGAACGCGACGGAAAACTAGCTGATATGCTTCGATATTGTTTTAAAATCAAGCAAACGATTTGATCAGACATTACAATTGAAAGTCCAGTTGGATTTGGAAATTACAATATTGGATGGTACACATGAATTGGAACCATTATCCTGTAATGGCTTTTGTTTGATGGAACTAGTTCTTTGATAACTTTATAAATCAACGGAAAATAAAAGTTTATCGAGGTAAATTCGTACTAGAGACATTTGGAGTGATTTGTGGGTTATTGCAAAACGATTAAACTAATCGCAACACATTCCAAGGCGTCGATGCTTGCGACGTCTTTTTTGTCAATCAATCGAGACTCGGAAGATCAATACTCTGCTTGGATCAACCTTCAATCTTGATACGCTACAAACATTCAGCAAAAGTCCATTGATTGTCACAATTGTGATTACAAGATGACTTTCAAAGTTGGTTCAAGAGATAGTCGAGACTCACAAGATGAGCAAACCAGTACTCTGCCAAATGGCATAAACAGCATGATCATATCTGGACACTCCAATAACACTCACAAACTAACCCACAGATCAAGGACATTTCAAAACACAGAATCACTGAACCGACAGTGTGCTCATTCCGAATAATCACCATGATTTCATGAATCAATCTGGATACCATCAGTTGTCCCAACACGATCGATTGACTAAAAGGATGGATTACGAACAAAAGAACCTGGATCATTTGCAAAATGAACAGCGCAACAATACTATTTTACAGGAATATCAACGTATTGATCAAACCCGCAATGCACATATTCAAGCCATGGAGCAGTTGAATCATGTCTCTGGGATGGTTTTTTGCCAGGTTGTCAGATTTGCTTCGGAATTACCGAACAATAAGGAGTAATGTTGAATCTATGTAGGCCGAGCATTACTTTTTGACACCAGGATTTAATGGTGCCAAAACCAACAAAATGGACTGTTGTCGATAATGGTTTCCGGTTCCGAGTGTAAACATGGTTACTTTTATCATGATGTCCATTGAAACTATCCGCGGTAATCAAATATTGCTGGATCAGATCAATTGGGCAGTAAATCTAAGTTGATTCACTCCAAGACAAGCATTATTATAGATCTGGCACAAAATATTCGACATGATTCCTAACAAAATGGATTTTGTTTGCTGCCTACCAGCAATCTACTCAACTGTCTACCACGAGAAAAAGTAATTTTGAGCAAGTTGTAGTACATTCTAAAGTAAACAACGATCAAGAAAACTGGTGTCATTTGGTGCCTTGTACATACACTTGTACTTGTCAAATCCATTGACTTCACCGTGAAGATGGTTTGGGTCGTTATTATTATCCAGCAAATAATCCTGATCATTCAGATGAAATTTGTCAAGCAGTTTTTTAGATATCCCAAAACAAGATAAACCAGTCATATTAGACTTGATGAGTGAATAAATCAAACTTTTATAAGCTAGTATTTGTAGATACAACACACCTATTGCATGCACGTCCAATAATGCATCCAGCGTGTTTTCTAACTTGGACTGTAATGATCAAAGTCCAAATATAAGGTCTCTAAAGCAATGAATTTAGCTTTTAAAAAATAAATTGAATACAAGTACAAGATTTATTTTTGTCAAATGATTTAGACTAATTACAATCAAAGACTCAATTTATATATCAAAAGCTCAAGGTATGTGATTAAGTAGCAGGTGTTCCAATCTGAGAATTAGATTGCACACTGCTTGATGCAGCAGCATGCAATGTTCCATCTAGAGTTGCAATAGCCAACGTTCCGCGCTCACCATAAGTGATGTTGTATGCTTGTGCCCATCCATCGCTCCATACACTTTCTAGAATAACTTGATCTCCAATAGTCAAACGTATTTCGTCAGTCATTTGGGGTTCGTAATTAACTACGACAGTATGAGGTTGTTCTAGAATCTGAACAACTTTAGAGGCACTGAAATCATTATATTGTGTAGATGAATGATGATTGGCACCGTAAACAGAGTTTCCGTGAGCGTCAGCTGGGTTAGCAACAATAGTTGCAATGCGAGGAGGCACAGCAGCAGCTTGGGATTGTGACTGAATATGACGCTCATGATCCGAGTTTTTATTCTTGTTACGCGTAACCAGGCAGTGGATTAAAAGCGAGACCATGATCAATAGTGCTATGGCAGATGCAATAACAGCAAAAATGACAGGAGTAGTAAATGGATTAGATGAAGTGTCGGTTGCTGTCGAGGCATTAGCATTATTAGTTTGATTTGAGGTTGAAACGTCCATTGGAAAGTACAGTCCTTTGGTGGCAATCGGACCATGTTCTGAACATTCCTCAGATCGTGTCCATGGTGCGATGGTTGTTGAAGTAACACAAGTAATGCATGTATCATCGCGACATAGCTTATGCGATACTTGCTGATCCAGAACAGTTGAAATGGCGTACTGCAAAGGAGCCCCAGGTACAGAAATTTGAGTGCATTTGTCGTAAATCTTGACAATATTGGTGGACCGAGGTGTGCCTGTGCACGGAGCTGACAATCTTGAAGCCGTAAATGCGGTTGAAACCATGAAGCGAGAATAAGCGTCTAAAGAAGGTAATGGTCTATCGATATTAGGTTAGTTGAGATAGTTTGTAATAAAATAAAATGGGTTGGAACCAATTGGTATTTATAGCAGAGATGATATAGCGAAACAAGGTCTGAATGCATCACATTCTGAATGGTGTTGCAATCAATCAATGTGGCGCTTGTCAAAGTCTAATTGGTAAATCAAAACACTGATTGAACCCAAGCCAAAATGGTTTACAAGTTGGTATTGGCTATTGCAGTCTAAACACTTACTCTGGAGTTCCGGAAGAGTTTGCGATTTTGTACATCAACCCGTTGCAGGAATCACTGGCATAGTAGTTGTTGGTGGTAGGAGGAGGATATGCGGCTGATGCTGCCAGAATACATCCATTGGAACAGTAAGAATCGGTACAATTAGTGTATCGCAAAAGGTTGGAATTGCCAGAGTCAAACTGGTAATAGCTCCAGCTATCACTATTTAATAGACACCATGCAGGGCTTGGTTGGAAGCTTGGAAAGCCATTGGGTTTAAACCCATTGCTAGTGCCAGGAGGCATTGGTCCAGTGCGATTGTTGGAGGAGTCTGGAGTAGGACGAGGATGGCCGACATTTCCTGGCTGTACTTGTCCAGTGAGCTCGTTTGACTCTCTAATAGCAACGATCGTGTCGTATGAATTTGCCAACAAGTCTGCATCGTCAAGACCACTTCGCTGAGAAGCGAATGCAGGTTTATACCAACAGGCGGGTGAGTTGACATGTACAGTGATGAAAGTGGTTGCGGCAGCGGCAGGTAAAGCAGCCATAGCAGTGGTCATTGCCAATACAGCAAGCGCTTTAAAGAAAAAGGCAGTAACGGACGACCGCCTCAATGATTGATGTCCAGCGGTAGTTGCAATTGGACAGCTTTTGCTGCTGTTCTTTTGACCCTGCAGTTGCTTCATTGACCGAACTTGTGCTCGATGCAATGTGACTGTTCTTTGTCTGGATGAACGAATGCTTCTTATTACTGAATGGCTATTGGACCCGTTAGTGATATGCTGATGATGACGAAAATACAATCGTTTTGATGAAAATGCAGACATTGCACTTGAGAGTCGATGATTCAACTATTGCTGATTTAAGTGATTGCCAGCAGGAATGGATTGTCGACTTGGCTATGGAAGAATGTTGATATTAGAGTGAAGTGGAATCACTATGATGGTCGAGTACAAATGGTCTACAGTAGTAGATGTAACCAAGGAATATAATCACGAATATAAGCTGGAAAGTTGCAAGAATTGAGAAACGGCCTACACAAAAACAAGGGCTGCATTGAAACGTTATCAGAACTCGACTTTGTCAAACAATGCGCTCCAATACCGCTCATTGTAGTCTTTGGGTTGTGCCACTATGATGAGCGCGTCTAATGTGCCGCAAGGTGTATTAATCGATCTTGTTGAATTCAATTTCATTAAGCAATCTATGCATTTGTCTTGCCAATTGTTCTATTATGTTGCACAGACAATATGGAAACTGTTGTTCTGTGCCACTTCATTATTGACCAAATCCTCGTCCAACAATGCATCTGCTGGATCATGCTAATCTGCCATGCCACTTCAACTATTGGTCCTCTCTACTTGTCTAGCATGTAGTCGTAGTTTACAGCCATTCACAAAATGAAACATCTGTGCTTATCTTGCAGCAACTGCATGTTTTGCTATAAAATAGACAATGACTAAATATCCGTTGCATTTTTCTATTAGATTGCTTCTGCCAACATTCTCAATTCTTCAATATATGGAATCATATGCCACACAAGACCGCTTTCTATATGTTGAAATCATTTTTAGCAGGGTCTAACAGTGGAAAATATGAAACTTTAATAAAGCTCTAGGCCTCATGAAATTTATGTTTGTTGAACAGTTGTCGGACCATGTTTAATGAGCAAATTTGAGTCTTATGAAGTCATATGCTGTCAAATCAAATGGATATTAGGAAATGCCCTTACAATATTGTCATTTGAAAAACCCTGATATGCCAAAGCATTCACCGCTTCCTTGATTGACCTCTAGACACAATGGCCATCATAGGATGCCTACACAAACTATAGCTTTGAATTGGGGTGGTCCCTTCTCCCTGTTTGGCATAGCTATACATTGTACAATCATCACGTTTGAAACCGGATTCGTGTATTAGGGTCAGCTGTTCTGATGTCGTCAAACTACTGTTTTATCTTAAAATTTCATACGTTTGCGCTCTAGCTCAACAAACCAATAGTCGCAATCTGAAAATGAATCTTGTTTTCATGCCAGTCATCACGAAAAAGAGCAATAAACTTTTTAACAAGTCCAGAACAATGTTGTCAATAAATTTGGCACCCATCGCTTCATGAAATTGGCTGTTTATTGTGTATTGACATCCTTATTTAGCATTTCATTTCATGCGAATACGGCTATAATCATCACACGCAACTCATCCGAATGCTGCACTTGTTTAAGCTGTCCATACTTTGAAGCCTCATTTTAATCTCAGTATTCACATTTCTTGCCGTTCAAAACATATTCTTGGCCCTTGGGCAATAGTAACTCAAATATATTGTATTTCAATCCATCAGCCCAAAACTATATCTAGTTTTTAACATTATCCCCAGTCTTCGTCGTCACCATCATCGTCCTCTGTAAAGCCATTCAGAAACAATAAAATTCAGCATCATTAACTAATGTACTCTAAACCCCACATTCTGATTCTATAGCAAATTGAAAGTTAAATTGGATATACCTTCGGAATCACTCATTTCGAGAGCAACTCGCCGCATCAGAATTGCTGCAACTTCATCACAGTCCGCTCCCGTCTTCTTTTTATTAGCCATACTTGAATGGTCAGGCGTATCTGTCGTTTTGAGTTTAAACTATCCCATTACCATATCAGCGTTGAGTCGGAAAAATCATTTGAATCCAAGCCACAATAATTAAAATTACCTGAAGCGTACGAATATCGTTGAGAAAATTCACTGATGGAGTCATGGGTGTTGCTGCAGGTGCGAATCCACCTGCCAATGGTGCAATCGGAGTACGACTACTCATCAATGAGGTGTCCGCATCTCCGCTTCCAGCTATTCCCATACCTGACATAGAAGTAATAACTACTGGCGGAGGAGGAGGTGGTGGTGGTGGCAGCTTACTCATTACTATATTCGTCTCAAACATGCTTTGTAACATAGAGGTCGAATTGATGTCCACTCGACCCATATCCAACCCTACTCTGCCAGATGCACTCAACTGATTGGGACTGTCAAACGAGGAATTTATATGCTGACGAGTGTTTGGAGATATGGTGATGCTGATGAAATTTCCATCTGTTGGCGAGGTTTCATTTCGATTGCCTGGCTTTGTCTGTACGCTTTCGCTTTTTCGTTTGTATCTCATCGATCGGCGATTGTTGCTCTATTCACCAGATCAACAGTATTTATATTAGCGACCACGTATCTTGCAAATAACATTTGATTTTCGCGCCATTGATCAGATGTTGAATTTAATGGTTGATTGTAATCCAAAAAACAAAATGTATACCATATTTACTTACACTCTCGCTTTCTTTGGCCTTACGCTTTGCTTTCTTGCCATCTTGGTCCTTGATAAGATTGCGCCATTCTTCCAGAAAAAAGTCGGGATAGGAATAAAACTGTAATTTAAATTAATGCTTAAAGTACGACTTTCTAGTGTATTGTTCAATGCGTTCATCTTGCATATCTGAATGTGTTGAAATAAACTCTCTGTCTTTACCTTCATGCACTTTTGACCATCATTGCGATATTTATCAAGAACTTCCAAAAATGGAGCAGGCCGGCATTGATTGTACACAGCAGCAATTGAAGCTGGCTGAGTTTTCTTCACAAAAAAGTTGCTTGATATAGCCATCTCGGATTTCCAAATGAATCCTTTGTATCATCAATGCATTTACATGTAAGCAAATTTGTTGATACAATCCCAATATCTGCAAATAAAACTTACGTTCTCGTTGCGAAAGAGTTTTGATATCCGATGATGAAATCTCCTCTTCAATCAACTCCATATCAGCGTCGGCATTCGATAAAATCATGTTGACGTTGTTGATGCGTTCAGTAATGCTCAGTGTTTTATTTGCCAGATCTTATATCAGCATTTCAAATACATTTCAATGGACTATTAAAACAACTACAGATCGCTACAGTTTTAGATGATGCCATAGTAAACCCATACCGACAAATATCTCGTTGGCATAGATTGAAAGTTCAGATAACTGGTCAAACAATCTTGTCAGCTGCATCATAGTAACCTAAAAGCACGTAACATTGCATATTTATGCAGATTAAAATTTAGTGCATGCATACGACTGATGAAAACGATAATTCAGCAGGCGACGTGTATATCCAAGTAATACGCTCATAGTTTCAATACCAAAGGCTCTGTATTGAATGGTTGGCTATGGTTTATATTGACCAAAATATATACCAAACACGGCTTATACACCATGCCGATACAATGTACTCATATATTATTGACTTACCTGACGAAGCGCAGGAATGAACGTGGGTTCAGGAACACCCATACTAGCTGCCGTTGATGGTGCAGTAAATGGTGATACACTGGGAGCCCCAGCAACCAATACTCGCTTTGGTAGCGACATTATCTAGTACACGATATTATTGTAAACTCCAAGCTTTTGCAACTCAAACTGTAAAGTGTATCGTGTCAAGATTTTATAAATTCGAGCAAAAGCTGGTATGGCAGACAACTACTTGAATCTTCAACTGCTTACTAAATCACCAGGATTTTACTCTTAGTATGTACTCCCAAGTTTAAAAATTTAAAATAGAGTCGTACTAGTCTAATACAATTCTAAATTATATTTCAAATTATATTTCAAATTTGTAAACAAATACTTGGCTACACTACTGTCAATCGGATTATCAATCAATTGAACTACCAACAAATAATCCCAGTATTAAAATTCAGCCGCTTGTGTATACGTTTCATGTATATCTGTACTTCCAAGAATATCCTTAGCGCCAATAAGATCAATTCCGCTCATTTCCTTGACGTCTGATAACCGATTCATAGGCCGTATATCTGTCTTGTGTAGATGTATACTTGTAGATCCACCAAGTTTGCTCAAACCCGCTACATTTCCACCTGGTTTAGATGAATACGTCGGAGCTACATATGATGCGCCAGGAACCACTGTTTTTGGCAACTCAAATGTTGGTGAAAATCCAGCTCCTTTTTCTGACAATTTGGGCTGAAGTCTTGATGGCGTGGTTGCAAGTAGATGCGACTCGTTTAAAAAAATCTCAATCTGGCTGGATATATACTGATTAAAGAGATGAAGCATGCGAAAGTACTCCACTTGAGTCATCAGAAATACACTGAGCTTGGTTGTTGACGTAATGGTATGTGTACGTACTCGACTCAAGAGCTCGATAGATGTCCGTAGCGATTGCTCGGTTTGCAATGCTGTTTCTTTTTTGGATTTAAGTTGATTGGCTGTAGACTATTTAATATCATATACATGTGTAATTTTATACATTTTGAAAAATAACATTGGTTAACCAACAAGATTTAAAATATCCAGCCTACCCCACAACCTAATTTGTAAAGTAGCGTTAAACTAGACTTACAGTGATGATAAATTGCCGATTTGCTGGATTTGCTGGATTTGCTGGATTTGCTTCACCAACATTCTTTTTTCTATCTCCAGCAACTGCCACAGAGTTTTGACTAAAATACAAGCTTTTCATTCTTACAACGGGCTCAACCGTCCATGAACCAAGACCATACGCCATGATTAAATCAATTGGAGGAGAAATATTTATAGATCTGTACGCCGAAGCCATATTGATTGTTTGAACCCATTGCCTGGCTTGTTCGTATGGCTTAAGACGACAGCTGAGCGTTTGCCCTGATTGCAACAAATGGATTTTAAACGTATGGTAGCACTCATAAGTAAATGATGGATCGTGAACAGCAATGGCTCCATCGAGATTGATTACCTCGCTTTTCGGCTCATTCTGTCAATACCATATTTTATCACAGAATCAGTATCCTATATTTCAACCCAACATGGGTATACTTGAAATGCTTTGGCACATTATACTTTAAACTAATCACTCTCACCTTGAATGATACCAACCGAGCAGGAATATCTAGACGTTTCACCACTTCCTTGTTTTTGACAAACCATCTCCAGTCGCGAAACATTCTAATGCTCGCTCCATCTGCTACCATCCAAACCTTGAGCCATTTTGATAAAAGCATTTTTTTGGATGATCTAGGTGTAAGCAGAATACTTTCCGCTTCGACCTTTCCACCCAAGCACTCGTATTTCAACTTGATCAAACTATTGCATCGTTGATCAAGCACAGCTTGTTTGACAATGCAAGGGGATACAAAATCGTCTGGACTGGTTGTGAGGGATCGCACACGTTCACGACTACCAGTGTATTTGCACTTTGAATTGGTAGCGGGTTGCTTGGAATAAATGGGTGTAGATTGAATGTTGCTTATCGATGTAATCAAATCGGGTGATGGTGTTAAATCAGTTGGAAAAGTACCCGACAAGGTACGTTTTGCTGACACGGGTGTAAGTACAGCTGTTGCAATTGCAATCGACAAGGCTGATGGAGGATAATATCCTGATGGAAGTGAAGAGGGTGGAGTTGAGCAATTTGTATCGGGTGCCATAGCCAACGCTACTGATATGCTCGGTGATGGCACTATTGAAAGTGTATTGATAACTTCTGACGATCGTGGGGTTATTGTTTTTGTTGACGAGTTACTGAGTCGAGGGCTGCTTTCATCTTTATCCGTATTTGTTGGATATATGTATGTGATGGCTCCAATTTTCTTAATGTCCTTGTATAATTTCTTTAAAAAGTTGATACACAAGTTTTTAGTCCATGGAAATAGCACAATATATAAATTAGCTTAAAAAGCGTTTACTGTTTAGCAAAGCTATGCATACTTACAATATCGTCATGTCGCATCAATTTAAGAAACCAGTTGGTTGAGCAACCATACTGACGACTGTTTTTAGAAAACTCAATTTTCCGATGATGATCGTTTGCTCCTACAGAAAAAACAGGCTGATTCAAACTATGAAAAACAAGATTTGATTGTTTTCCATTTCTGCCTATTTCGTGGTTGCCCATGTATATTTTCCCGCTCAAGTTTTCAAATAAAATTGAAGCAAGAAGCGCAGGAGCACCCGGCATGACATTTTGTAGAGCTGCAATGAATTCAGATTTGGTCATTGGAATATCTTTTTTTATAGCGACATGAGATTTAGCTAGTTCTTGGCTGATCAAAAGTTGGCATAGAGACTGTAAATCGTCTACATTTTGCAAGGTGATCAATAAATAGGTTAAATTCAAGGATTTTACAGGCTATTCAAAAAGCCAATTCAAGTTGACTAGAAATTCAGCAAAGCAAGAGTCATTGCTAGTTTTAAATCACGCGAGTTACCTTGGTTAATATCCAAATCCATATTTTGTTGTCGGTACAAATCACAAAAATCTTCAAGATGTGTTTTGAGAATCCGTGTATCGTCAGGAAGTGATAGCGTTCTTAAATAGTGTCTAGATTCAAGCAATGCTTTAGAGTGGGCACAATCTCATGTATACTCGATCATTTAAATGATATCTATAATTACTGGCTTAATTCAACTGGGAATGAAAATTCAAACCAGCTTTAACTTAGCAGTGTTTACCTAAAAATTAGTTGAGCAGTACAGATACAGTCGAGTTAGATTGAGTGCGTTCTCACTTTATTGCTACAAACCCACTCCCCACTTTAGCACTCTGTAAACTTATTTTTACAAGAGTTGGACACCATCAGTATAGACTGCGCATGTTATATTTTAAATACTGACCTTAGAGCATCGTCGATGGACCAACCATTGTAAACTCCACTCATGTCAATATTTCTTTCAATATAAACGCGTCGCAACAGCCCACATTGATTCAATATTTACATGCCCATCCAGAAAGCAATATTGCATCCAAAATAGATATTTAACAGTTCAAAGAATAAAACAATTAGCTAATTTATATGTGGGTTTGAAGTTTTTGAAAAGTTTGACTGGCAATAATCTGGTATGAATTCCAGCAATGCAGCGACTCGCAAAATGTATTTTCATTTTCTATAGTCCAATAGAGGTGTGAAATCAGCCACTTACTTGTTTGAAATGGCAGTCTCTGCAATAGTCATTGATGAATGCAAAACGTTTTTATCTTTTGGCATGACTGCTAGATATTTAGTCAAGTTTTAGAATCACACCTTGAAAAAGTTGTACGCTGAGTAAATTTACGTGATGCCACTTGTTTTCGTCTGTATTGTAAATGTATAAACGTCCATGAGGGTAAGTTGAGAAAATTTTGCCGTTTTTTACAATACTCCGCCTTTGCTATTTTATCGGAAAATCAAGGAGAGTGAACTAGTAAAGAAAAAGGGTTGTGTTGAATGCATATTGTTGAAAGAGAAAGGATTAAAACGTTTAGGTTGATGTTCAGACTATTTTATTGTACATTATGAAAACAATAAACGATACAAGCAAAAGAATGCAGGGCAGTTTGGCAATAAACCGTGAAAAAGGAATTTCAAAACAATTATCAAAGCCGAGTCAAAACATAGACTGTTGACTCGTACTGGCCAATCAAGCCTGCAATATCAATGTCAGTATAATCAAAATTCACAAATTCCAAGTAGTAGTTTGTTTAATGAGCAACAACCAAATTTATTGTAAAGGACTAAAAATGCTCTTAATGAAGATTAAGATGTCAAATCAGGCGAGGTTTAAAGGTGGGGTGACAAATAATAATGAAAGCGAGTGATGAAAGTATAGAGACTGAAAGTATAGTGTATTGACAGTCTCGAGTCCTAAATGAGTGCAAAAGGTGGTTCGTGTTTAGGATATTCAAAAGAATCGGCTGTTGTTGAAGCTAATTCTCTACAGATGATCTTTTTGTAGCTGCAGAAGGTGAAAGTGAGGCCGCTTCAAAGGGATTAGATGTTGCACTCTGTGATGGGGAGACACGTGCAGGGTTAGGAGAAAGAGATGCAAGACGAACAGTAGGGGACACTGACCGATGCGGATGTTCTGGAGCAGGCGATGAGTAGTCCGAGAAAGAACTAGAGCCCACAGCAGCAATGGCAGCAGCAGTGGTTTCTGCATCGTCTGCAGGGCCATCAAGCGAGAAGTTGTGCTCACGCATGTACCGCAGATACCGCTCAGATGTGCGATAATTTTTGATCAAAAAGATTTCTGCGTCATGATTACTAATACCAGACTTTTTAGCTTCGTGGCGGATCTGTTTGGCCCATTCAAGACCACATGCCTATTGATCCATAAGTAGAGTTGGATTTTTTAAATTGCATTCAGGAATGGTGTGATATAATATGTAATAGTTAGCAATCTATTTCAAACTATTATTGGGATTCCAACAATACAAAAAGAAACATATATTCCACTTATTCTTCAAAACAGTAACACATCTACTTACATTGCACAAACCACGAGATCCAGATGGTCCTTTGCGCCATTGTGCCGTCTTTTTAACTCCACACCATGTGCATTCACCTGGACTTGTAGTGGAGTGAATAACTTTTCGCTTACGTATTGAACCCTTTTCGTCATCAATATAATCTGCACTATCATTATCCAAATCCAAGTCTGTAGATTGTTCTATCACAGTAGGCGGGTTATGAGCTGATGGAAAAGCAGATCCCAGTTTACGTTTACCACTAGTTCCAGATGGCCTTCCACCCACACCACTTCCTGAAAAACGGCTAGCACTTGCACTACCAGGAGGTCTACCTACTGAAGGCTTACCACTACGGGCGCGATTCGCAGAATTGGGAGGTCTACCACGTCGCGCAACAGGTTGCCCTGCAGATCCATGGAACTCGTCGCCAGAAGATGGTGACGTATATTGACGGGAAGAATCGGCAGAAGAATTACTGAGTGTGCGGCGATGATTTGTGAAGCGGGATGATCCTCCAAATGTGTTGCGCACGGGTGCACCTGATTGTGAGGATGTACGGCCAGGTTGCTTGAGGGCCGCAAACTCTGGCGTGCAAATGCCTCTCATACGGTACAAGAGAGCATCTGATGTGATGGCATGCACCTTTACTGACATGTCGTATGCAGAATCAATAGGAACTCTTCCAGGAGATGCATTGGGAGTTTCGGATAAAGATAAAGCGCCTGGAACAGGACTCCTTGACGGATCTAATGTGGTGGCTTGTGAAAGAAGCTGTGTCTTGCCATCTAATTGTGGTGATGTACGGGAAATCGTAGTTTGTGTAGGAGACGCAGCTAGTTTAGATTCCGATGCTTTAGACTCTGTGTGTGGTGCCTGTTGTGGTATGGGAGATGTTCTTGTGGAATGAACAGCTGTAGAAATGGCAGGACTGCTTCTATTTTTTGCGGGAGAACCATTTTCAGATGCATTAGCAACACTTGCGGGTTCAGGTATGCATGATGTGGCTTGTTCAGGATTGGTGATTGAGAGTAGAGGCTATTTGACAATAGTTGTAACGAGTATATATGCAATGTATAAAAGCATTAGTAAAAAATCTCAATTATGATGCATTTGAGATCAAAGTATGTGAAAATTATGCAAGCCCACACATCTACATTAGTTGCAAACTTGGCACAGCAAGTAAATAGAGCAGTCTTCTGCTGTCTATATTAGTGAATTCAGCCAGACACTATAGTATCTTGGTTATAAACAAAAACCATATATTGGCTGGTAATATCGGGCCATGACGATGGTTTAGAACAAATCTACAAAATCAGTCACGCCAGATAGCAGCCGTATTGACCAATATCTGGTCATAAATTATGAAGTCTTTACAAGACTACATATGAAGAGTCTTTCATGACCAGATAAAATATTTGTAGCGATAAAAAAGCAAAGACAAAAGACCCGAGTGATATTGCTACTTACATTAGTAGATGGGCTGACATTGCCTGTTCGTAAAGTCGCAGTTCCAGATGAGGGAGAGGAGGAGGAAGATCGCAAAGCAACACCATTTGAGGTATTGGCAGCATTGGTTGATCCTATTGAAGTGGTTTTGGATATGGGAATATGTGCCGTATCAGTTGTCAGATCGTGCCCAATGGGAATCTGCTGCTGAATCTAATGTTTGCAAAGCGTTTGCATCCAATGATATAGATATTTTCAGGCATACATAAATATGATTAATATAACAGAATTCAAATGGAATGATGGCTAGATTGCTAAGATTGATGATTATATACCAATTGCATAAGATACGCACCTCTCTTTGGCTTGCAATCTGTGGTTTTGGTTGATGCTCTGAAGTAAACGAGCTTTGTTGATCCTGTTGTTGGGACTGCTTGTAGTTGAGCGACTGTGTTAGATTGAAAGAGAATGTGATGCCCTTCATGTTGCGCACGGCATCAAGAGCCTGTGGTGGTGTCTTGCGAGGAGGCATTGATAGTTTCAATTAGATTGGCTGGCAAGTAAAATGAAACGTTTAGGTGGCTTATACAATGGCTAGATTAGAAGGTAATGTGAATTATTTGGCCAGATAAGCTCAGATCGTCTTTTGAAACTTGCTAATTGCAAGCTAATGGTAAAAGTAGGAATGCGAAATATCAGTTTTTGGAGATAAAAAGAAAAAATAAGATGGGCGGAAAGTAACTTTGGGTCCAACTCGACAACGAAAGAAAAATTTGAGGCGGAAAATTGTAATATAAGAGGGGACGAGCGCTTGTTTTAGCTGAAACACTCCCTTGCCAAACGCTAAATCAATCAAATTTGTGGCCCACCCTATTTGCCACTTCAACCATATCCACTAGTAGTCACCCAACAACTTCAATTAACAATCGATTTCAAGCATTCAAATGATGAATAGCCAACACCCATTTCGTATCAATTTCAAACACTCTAATTTTCCCTATATTCCAAGATAGGGAGCGTATACCTGACATGCTTAGATGTCCATTTGAGCTGGACACTAACATCTACATATGATATCCACTCAGTGGACGTATCTAATCAAGTTGTGTAGACTGACTGATGGCGAGGGGATGCTCAAAACTTGGCGCGACGCTACAATGGCGACACATTTAGAATTGATAGTCGTGGATATGTTTAGAACCATGCATGAGTTGCATCAAGTGGCTGACAAAGTCATAGCCAACACATTGTGATTCTGAAAATTTGAAATGGACTTGGAAACGCTCATGGATAACTTCAAGTCAGCCTTGCAGTGTGGCTAGAGTGGCTGGATGCGCCACCATCGATTTGATTTACATGAATAGTTGTTGACATGTACGAAATAGTCTTCATTTGAATATCACAGATAACTAACACATCTGTCCCGTAGTTCATTTAGCTGTATTTTATCAGTTCGCTGATCCTTTAGAGTCATGCCATGCTTATTGCCTCAAACGTGACTAGGCAGTCTGATATATAGACTTTGAGTTGGAAGCCCCAAGTTCAAACAAACCCGTAAATTGATTGTCACAATAATCTGGCATAGACCATGTTACTAATCTATTATGCCGAGCATCTCAAAATAAAGAGTCGAATCAATCTATGGATTAACCGAGTTTGAATTGATCAAATTGATTGTATTTTCAGATAAGCTTTAATTAGCCTCTGCAGAGGATATCGAGCCATTCAAAAACAGTAGAATTTGTCATGCAAAAGTCAACGAGTCCAGTTATATGCATCTCGACTTGATTATTGCAAGAGTATCAAACGAGATACAAGATGGTTATAAAACCACAACTTGTAGTTTTATATCAAGCATGAAACCATTGTTGAGCCATACATACGAATGCACAATCCTGATAAGAATGACAATCAGATTCATCAAGCCATACTTGCCACAATTCATTATTGAAACATCTACAATAGAGCAATATGACATGGACACATCAGCTAGCAGCACATTTAGGAATAGAATCTGGCATACTTGCAACATGCATGGTTCTACTAGGAAACATTCTACTGGCACCACTCTACGGCCATCTCAAACACCCAGTCGCTTGTCATATCATGTCGATTGCAGTGACCAGCCTAACCTACTCGATACTCTTTGGGTTTGCGGGGTTTGTGCAACTGACAGCATTGGCACTAGTGTGTTATGCCATCATGGCCACTGTGCGCTGTGCATACACCTCGCCAATATTAGTTGGGACGGTTAGTATGGCTGTCTTGTGCTTACAGTTGAGTCCAATCGATGCCAATGAGATCCGAAAGTGTCTTTGCTGCCAGTGCTGAATGCATGCTCACCCACTGCTATACACAATCATATTACCAATAGCCACATTTACAACCAGTGGATCATGAACAAAACAGCATATATCGATGCTACAGTTCCACTGATGATGCTGGTGATGCGTCAGATCACTCTTGCATGGCAGATCCACGATGGAACGCTTCCTGACCATGTAAGTGACCGTCGTTACGAGTCAATGTGTGTATGATCGTAGCCTTTCAACTCCGTCTCATACAGCTTGTAAGATGATTAGCAAGGAACGCAGTCGCAGAGCAATCGTTGATATGCCTTCCATACTTGAATACCTTGGCTTTCTGTACTTCTTTCCAGCATTTCTTATTGGCCCTGCATTCTCGTTTGTAGAATACAACAACTATCTGCATCGTCGAGTGAGTATTGGCAGTGTGCAACAGCATGTCATCCGATTGAGATCTGACTAATAGTGTCTCTTGTTGATCCAGGGCGAATTCAAGACTATTCCAAATCCATATGTTCCAGCCATGGAGTGTCTTTCGTCTACGTTTATTCCACTGTTCATTGTAATTCAAGGCAGTCCACACTTTTCTCCATCGAGACTGTTGGATTCTGTCTTGTTACAAGAAAAAACGTTTCTGCAGCTGTAAGTCGTACCAATGCAGTTGTGGTTGATGCACGAGTCTGACCCTGTTGATGTATTTAATATGGCAGAATCAAGTTTATACTACTCTGTGGTCTTGTGTGTAGATGTGTGTTTTATATTGCGTGGAAACTGTCGGAAACTGCTTGTATCTACACCGGGTTCGGATTTAACGGATACAACGAGAATGGATATGCCACATGGGATCGTGTCGACAACTGTGACATGGTCCGGATCGAGTTGGCAGGCAATATTCGTGAGTTGGTGTCAGTCTGGAACATGCAGACAGCAGTATGGTTGAAAAGGGACGTGTATGGACGATTGACAGATTTAGGATTTGATAAACAGACAGCAACTACCATTACGTTTTTTATCAGTGCGTTTTGGCATGGTGTTCATATCGGTAAGACATTCATCTGCAAACCATCAGAGACGATACGTGTGCTGTTGAATAGGAATTGCTGATCCAACACATGTATGCGATATATAGGTTACTATATTACGTTCATGTCAGGGTCAATCGTCACCATAATTGCACGACATATCCGACGTCATATTCGACCTATTTTTGCTAATGAGCATTCACTTTGGCATTGGTTGAAACCAGTCTACGATGTAACGGGAATTGTAACAACACAACTGACGACTGTTTATATTGTGATTCCGTTTCTGGTCCGAGATATTTGGCAGTGTTTTTTGATATACCGAGCCTTGTACTTTTTTGTGCATGTTGGAATGGTAGTGCTGTATGTGGCTTTTGAAACAAAACTGGGTCGTGCAGGATTGGCACACATGGGTATATCAGTCAATGATCCGATCAAGTTTGAGACAACGAGTGAATCTGGTCCAGTGACGGATCCAGTCAAGACTGTGCGTCAAAAGAATTGCTGATGGATATCCAAACGATTGTTCAAACGATTGTTTAGTGGACTGTTCAACTGACTGTTCAAATGACTGTTTAGTAAACTGCATATAAACGCGACTAGATGAGATTGCATTGTGTTGGGCTCGATTGACAATGTTGTGTGGATCAATCATGATGGTGTAAATGCATGGCTCATATGTTGTGAGCAATGCATGCCAACAAGATATAGTGGTGGTAGATTAGATATTCGACTTTTGCATTCATGCCAACACTTTGTGATTTACACTTTCAAATAAATGTCGAGCTAATTGAATGTTGATTTACAGTTGTATTCATGTAAAATGCAACATTTGACAAGAGTGTCAATGTGTAATAAACAGCCAGTTTCATGCAATAGTGATTCGCTGAATGTATTATACAACATTGTGTATCATGTGTTTGGAACGGTATTTGCATAAAATTCATTCAAACAAAAATGTGATCGGATTGATTATTGCCACTGTTGTGACGACAACCGCTGTATCCACCATGTTGTGTTGAAGCTTGAAAAGGAGTTTGAAAGACAAATGTCTAGGTTTGCGGGTTGCTTGTTTGGGGATGTTTTGCAAATTTGGTAGATTGTCTGCTGATTTGAATGGCAGAAGCATCTATCGCTTGTGTCTCGTGTATTGCGGCAACAGCCTGACTTGTTGACACGGCCAGTTTGGTCAACGACTTGCACCACCACCTGCTTGTATTGATTTATGTAGGACACCGTCACCCATTTGGTCTAACGTCGACTGCTTGGTGAGCTTAGTGGGCTTGGCTTTGATTGGACACGATCTTTAGCACTCTACCTATAGTCTATGCTAGTCTAAAACAACCATGTCATGTTATGGAATCTAGGCTGTTGAAATGCAGCAACACCAGTCTATTTGATGATATTATAATGTTTCCGAAACATGACGAGATTGGGTTATCGAGATAAACATTTCATTTCACTCGCATACCCTTTATCACCAGCCGTAAACACTTTTAAATACCCAAACATGTATTGAATACAAACCAACACTTTAAGCAAAAAAAATTTAATCTCAGTAGATGCTTTCCTTTAAACCAATATTCCAACCACAAATTGAGCAGATCCATTCCAGCTAATCGTTTATAATCTCTCAAACGCAAAATTCCAAACTTCGACAACAGCAATAAAAAATAATGCATAAATTGTTTTTCGATATCCCGTCTACTCCAGTTCCACTTTCTGATATACAGTTTCATAGTTGTTGGCATTACGCTTGATAATGTCAACAACAGGGCCAAGAAGTCGCACAAAAGCTTTCTTTCCAAGAGATGCACACTTTAGCCTGCCTTTGGCAGAAATTGTAGCTTTTCTGGGCTTATCCGTCAACAGTGCAAGTTCTAATAAACAATTGGGTTAGAGTTAAAAAATATTGATATTCTAAACCATTGTATGTCACGATCGTATTTTGTGCAGTTCAAAAGCGTTACCTCCGAAATAATCGCCTTTTTTCATGGCATGCATGATATGATCGACACCATTCTCATCAGTTTGAGTAACGGTTGCTTCACCGGCTTCGATAATGTAAAAACAGTCACCCACATCGCCCTGGCGGATAACAACATCTCCATCAGAAAAAGTAACCGATTCAAGAGCATCAGCAATCTTATGGCGTTCGTATGGCTCAAGTGACACAAGTAAAGGAACCTCTTCCAAAAAGGCTTCATACATGCGACGCTTGCGAGATGTGTTTTCCATAAGGATGCGACGGAAAGTGACACGATCCAACGCCCAAAGAACAGAGTCCTGAGTTGCAATGACTGTAGCTGCACGGGGAGCGTTGTACATGAGGGCCAGTTCACCAAAACTACCGTTGGGCCCGTAATCGGTAACCTTGGCGGGGAGTTGTAGTTGCCCATTGACATTGCGAGCAACAAAAACATCCAGCGCACCCGTTTCGACAATGTAAAAGTAGTCGCCAATACCACCTTGCTTGATCACCTCCTCACCAGCGGTTATTTTTTTTTCTGCCATAGCATTCACGACATCGGTATACTGCTCTTCATCAAGTGAACGGAAAAGAAAGTTGGCATGAATAGCGCTCTCGATTCGCTTGCGTTGCTCAGAGGTTTTTGGGATATCGATTTTAATATAATCTTTGTCAGCACTTGGTGCCATAGATTCCGCACTGACCGAGGTTCGGCGTCCACGATTGTGATTTGTAGGGGGTGGCGGTAATGATTCTACAACCATATCATCGTTGCTTCCTGTAGCGTCATCGTCATCTGAAAAAGGTTCATGCTCGACCTGCATAGTCGAGTCGCCATTCTCCACAGCGGAGCCAGCAGGCATAGTGTATGACTGTTGGATGTTTGTGTAAAATTCTTCTGAGCTAGCAGGAACCGCTACTGTAGCTGTAATAGGATTGGTGGTCAGAGGATTCCACCAGATTTGCATAGCATTATATTCAAAGGTTGGCAAAGTCAGCAAGATTGACATATTAATTAAATAGCGATTAGACAAGAAACCGTTCAACTCCAACTCGATTATAGTATATGAAGTAGTGCTTGGAGTCGAGCTTATAGCATATATGAAGTTTTGCATGCATCTATACCAAGACTGAATCCATCTGTTTCTAATCTCCAGCATCAATAATAACAGAAATACCAACACAACCAAGTGAATTCTGCTGTACCTTGGTGGTCCATGGTCTTTAGTCTAAAGTACTCTGCACAAAACTCTAAAATGTCAGTAGGCTGAGCACGAAGAATGGCACGGTTAAGATCATTGAGAATACTGGGGAAATCAGGGGGTACAGATGGTAGGTCTGTATTGGTAGAAGTCGAACTGTTCATAAATGCCTCGGAGTTACAGGTTAAGCAAGTGTAAATTGAATAGTTTACAAGATGGAAGAAACGGGAAGCTAGTTTGGTGATGGTCGTTTGAATCGCAAAACAGCACGAAAACAAAACAATGCGAGGCGGAATATAAATGCTTGACAATGGAGTTGGTCGGGATGTAAACTCGAGAGGAATGGATGTGGCTCGTGTAAGCGACTCGATGTTTGGAGTGGCCAGTTGGTAGTGAATGCTAGATGGATGCAGTCGATGAAGGGGTGGAGATCTGAAAAGCACTTCCACAGCAGTGGCCTGAGCACCATATCCATCCTGCTCGGTTCAATCTCCAATAAGCCATAAACTACCATATGGGTTGTTTTTGAGTTCAATACCATCAGCAGAGTGATATGCTGCACATCGAGCAACTCCTATGCGTACTCGCAACAACATGATTTCCAAAATTGGATTCGATGCTGGAGAATTATGCTCAATCATCAGTATAACAAAACAAGCCCAACCATCAAGACCTGTGGCATTGGCCCAAACCATGTCTGCATTTCCTTGCCATCAGCATTAACAATTGGTGAGCTAGCTACTACTGAACTTCACCCCTAACCCTGTTGGAATCCATCCACTCATCTACAGCTCACTTGGCCATTACTTGCAATGGGGCTTCTATCCCATCAAGAAACCACAACACTAAACCAAAATAGCGTATGAATAATGCAGTAATAGTAACCACCAAGGCCGATAGCCAGCAGGAGTGAATATCCAGATGCTATCCAGTTTAGATTGTGCTAGCCATTTCAATGCAAACACAATCTCGAGCAAGTACGTCAGACAGCATGAATGTCAAAGCTCCATACTACAGAATCCATCCACAAATGACCATTTGGTTTAAATAGCCTTTTGTAATGATTTTGAATAGTCCTTATTACGAAAATATTCGGGATTGTGTAAGAGTTTGAATATTACCACCATCTACTCGATGGTTAACCTTCTATATGGGCAATATATGGATATTTATATATATCGCTATAGGGCCAAAATATAGTTGGTGGACCAAAGGTAGTGGATAGTATAGGCTGCTGGTGCTCTGTTGTATTTCAGTTGGAAGCTAGATTGTTGACTGGACGAGTAGACATATCTAGAATAACAATACACTGGAATATAGGAAAGAAACATGCAAGATGTAATCAGGGCATTCGCACCTCGTTTAAATACAGTTCTTGAAGTAGTCTTGGAAAAGAAAGTTGCTCAATAGCAGAAGAAATTGTTAGATTCGTTTTGGCTAATGGGCAAACGAGAGCGTGACATCAGAATTGATTCTCAATTATAAAGGTTGTTCACAAAGCATATAGTAATTAAAAATGCCTCAATCCGCTGTCCCGTTGCTCATCAGCAGTCTGCTTTTCAAGATCATGGCACTTGCACCCCCAAACTAATATGAAAGGCTTGCTACCCCATCAGCACCTATCCCTCTTGTAAATACCAAGATTGTAGTAGAAACTGCCTATTGCAGCCGTATTCACGTAAAATAGAACGCTATCTTGCAGTCACTGCCTTGTGCTTTGGAATAGACCACGGTTGGATATTTGTTTTTCTATTAGAACTCGATTGTTTGAGTTGGCATTCTCAATTCAATAAACATCCACCATATGATGCTTACAATCACCCCTTTCTCATTTATATCTTAATGTTTCTATGCTGATCACCAGGAGAAAGCCTAGTAAACTAGACAACTCAGGACACAATGCTGCCCAATGAATTTAGTGAAAATTATCATTTATGACTGATTGTTTATTATGTACTTTGGCATCTTATTTAGTGATTCACTTGCGTGAATATGGCTAAAAAAGAACGATTAAATTGGATTGGATACCATTACATAAAGCAAGAACTAAATTCGGTGCACCAGTAAGACTGGGGTGTGTAGTATCGCCTGTAGTACGAATAATGTAATGACAGCTGTAAGCGAGACAAGGATTATACACCCCACAGATTCACCCTGGATACAAAAAGATTAGGTTGGAGATTCCTCAAAAGACTGAACGCATCTGGTCAAATCAACCATTGGTTCAAAAATAAAATACTACAGGGTTTAAAGCAAAAGTCGGATAGGTCAAGAAAAGAATAAACTAGAAAGAAGCATGCCACCAGATGTAAAATCATGCAAAAATAATTTAAAGCGAAAAGACTACAACTGATCCAAAAAGGTTCCCAGTTTGGACACTGGCACCATTGTAGCGCCCGTTTTGAATGACGGTCCAGTCGAAGAATCATAAGTTGCATATGCAGATCCAGATACACAAACTGGACAATGAATGCTTTCGCACTTGAGAGAACGACGAATATAGATGGGAATGCACTCGCCGCAAAGACGATGATTGCAGGTGTCAATCTCCATGGTGGGAAGAGCTTCGCTGCATATGTGACATGGTGGCCGTGGCTTAATACACTGCCTTTTATCAGGGCGGGTATCACAAGTAAATTTACTTGAATTATCCCTGGTTATTGCAAGCTTTGAACGCGAACCACTACGGGTTTGACGACAAGTAGTGGCCAGTTCATAGTCAGATGGCAAAGAGCAAGGTCGATCACACGAGAGCATGCTGGGCAGCATAGGAAGGACAGGTGCTGCTGGAGCAGGATGTATAGGAATTGGCAATGATGCCACTCTTTCAGGCGAGCATGCATCGCTAGAAAGCAAAGTGGACTTATCCACGAGTGCATTCGGTTGTAAATCTTGCTCAGCACGAGTGACATGAAGCTGAACAAAGCATTGTTGCTGAATTTCTTTTCCTTTTTGTTTCTGCCAAACAGAGTCCTGACTATACGACATAGACTCGCAAAAAGACTCGACAGAGTCTGATGCTTGCTGTCTCAACTTTTGCTGCTTTAGCCTCTGCTGCTCAGATCGTGTCTGTGCACGACGTTGATTCATGCCACATTTGTTGCACAAGTAACTGTCGGCAATCTCACGATCTCTGCGCCATTTTCCAGCAGATTTGGTTGTTCCGCAATTCCCACACTTGCGCTTACTTGAATCAGTGTTTGTTGTTAAAACACGTCGCACGTTGGATTTGACTTTGGGGGAGCTGTAAGGAGTGGTTGTGGAAACACAGGAAAAACTGGGAATCTCTGGCTTAAACATACCCTCTAATTCTGTTGGGGAGAGCACTGTCACATCTGTGGTGGGAGTAGCAACAGCCATGGAAGGCAGGCTTGAGGTATGTTTTATGGGAAAATCAGATGACAGTGATGACTCAAGAGATGCGGTTGGGGTAAGCAGTGCATGTGGCAGTACAGGAAGCTGGCTATTCGATTCACCAACTGTGACAGTAGAATCAAGATCAAAAAGTAAGGCGAGGTTGCTATGTGAGCTACATATACGCACAGTCTCCTCAGCCAGATCAGAGGAATGGTTTTGAGAAAGGGTCTTGACAGTATCATCAGATGGAGTACTTTGAGGCTGATACGTAAACCCGCGTTGTAGCATCATACCCGAATGAGTAGTGGGTTTGATTGGCACTTCAGTGTCCATGGAACAACATAACTGGTTGATATCCATCATGTGGGTTCGTTCAGCGCTTGGAGCAATGTCATGGGAATTGGTGGAAAAGATGGCACCTTGAGTCACAAACGAAGTATTGATAAAAGGGAGAGCAGGCATGCAAGACTTTGAAAACTTCATGGTTGCTGGGCTAGAGTCAGAATATGAGCAAGACACGTCTGAAGATACACTCCTAAGTATTAGATGATTTCAATGTGGACAGAGTTGAATTGTGCATTTAAAATAGATTAAAATAATTAGTATGTTTTATCCAATTAGTCCATATATTGGAGCTTGATTGCATAGTTCAAACGTGGGGAATGGGATGAAAATGAACTTAATCAATAGGTTAAAAGCCCCTTACAAGTCAATGCTTCATCCAGCACTAAGCCATCTCTTGCTGGTATTATATAAGGAAATGTAGTTTTTTGATGCGGCCAAACTAGGCTAAATTCAACTGGATACAAAGCATTACATCACCACCCAACAAATATAACGGAAAATAGATTCACTACCTCCATCTACATTTGACAGTGCCGTGGCTTCCAGTCCACATTCTTCATGCTACAAAGCAAGATACATGTGTTTGTCTATCCAATCAAGATTTAAAATATACCCCAAAAACTTACCCTATTCTCGGGATGCCACGGCCGCGGCGCTGATTCATGCCACAGTTATTGCACAACCAGCCATCTCGTTGCTGCTTATCGCTGCGCCAAAACTTGGAAAAAGTGGTTCCACATCCATTGCATTGACGGGCAGCCATTTTTTTCTGTTGTTCAGGGACAGGAAGAGACTGGCCAGTGGATGCAGTGTGCCAGCCACGATAGGCTAGAGATCCAGTCAGACGGGTCTTGACAAGCCCAGTATTTTTGAGTTTAGTGACTGCATTGCGAATTCCACTTGGAGTGCTGCTGGTGTGTAGTGGGTACGAGGCGGGCGAGCAGCATGAACAGTTGTCAAGGTTATTTGAGTGATGGTCATCATATGTCGTAGGAGGAGTGGGCAGATCAAGGTTATTTTGACGGGTTTGGATATAGCCATTGTTATTGTAGCAACAGTCATGGATATCCGAGTGGTCCACGAAATAAGAGGGCGGAGCAGAATGTTGGTTATATTCAAAAGCAGATTTCAACGACGGGTGCACAGGCGATGCAAGTGAGGGAGGGACGCGAGCAGGCGATATTGGCGGGAGCATTTGGAGTTGATAGGTTAATCGAGGTTAAAGGTTCAAGTATTGGAGCCAGAGCGAGGTTAAGCCAGCCAGATTATAAAGAATAAATGTTCAAGGTATAGAGCCAGGTTTAACAGCTGCAGGTTAGTAAATGCTCAACCAGTTTATGCTGAAGGAAATAATGACAAGACAGGAAGCGTGTATTGGGAATAGGCTGGGAGCTGCAGTACAAAGTAGCAGTGGGCGGGGAGAGAGATTTGCTATCAGCTATATATATCTGCGCAACTAGGCTTGAACTAGTTGACAGGAAATTGACTATAAATTAGAGACGTAGGGGTCGGATAGAGATAATTGGATCTAGTCCAAATATATAGCCGTGGGGTGTAAAGGGTGTTGTTTACGGTTATTGGGGGTGGGTTGAATTGTGTTTGTAGTCAGGATTTTTGGGTTTGGATACTGTCGGGCTTGATGGATGTTTGATATCTTGGGAAAATTGGCAGGTATAAGGTGAATGGGATCGTGAACAAAGGAGCGGGAGCAAAGCAGTTTTAAATCGAGCAGTCAGCTGAGTGAGAGATTGAACAAGCACAGTATCACATATAGCAGTGAAAACATTTACTAGTCATCTGATTAGACGTAAACGGGTTTAACAAGTCTAAACCTCTCAATTAGATATTGTTTTTGGCTACTGTATGATATCAAATGTGCAGAGCACCCTATTCAGTTTATCTGTACACAATCTATTGCTATAACATACCCTACAAGCAGCTTCTATTTGAAGCACTGACTTGCAAATAGCTGTCACAACATAACCACTATTCGCCAGCATGGATGCGTAAAATACGTCGCACACCCAAGACCAACAATCCTCATTGTTCTTCTAGTGCATTCAACTCCGCTCTAGCACCAGTATCCAACTGATAAAAACACGTATGCATACGATCATCCACTCTAAACCCATAAACCACCCGCCCACTGCCTCGACGGTTGGCAGGCAAAACATTTTGGTGAGTAATCTTCAAAAATACAACAAACGCATGCCGAGATCTGGCAGTGTTCATCCAAACCAACACTCGACACTGGAGCAATGTTTGGAAAACTGTGCAAGCGTAAATGACTGGATAATGACAATTGTTCCATTCCTTGTGAACTACGCATGCACACCCATAAAAAAATGCAGAGTATCATGTTATATTTGGTCAGAATGATAATGACCCTCTAGGGATATCACCTGCTTGTATACCTTGTTCATTGTTTGCACAAGGTATGCTCTGCCCCATTGGAACTAGAACCATTACATGCTTCAAAACAAGCCCTTGTTAATGTACCAATTCTACATGAAAAACAGATCTACAATGCATTCAACTTTTGATCATCTAAAGAGTGTTGGATTGGATAGGCAGGCAGAGATTTTGCTCAACATTTAAAATGATGTAAATGTGCCATACGATGTGGATAGGACAATATGATGCCGACCATGGCTGCAATGTTTGATATCACAAAACTGGTTTAGCGTCTCTAATCCAAATGTGTATCAAGGTAACAATTGCTGTGATACTAGTGGAAATCAAGTATACCTTCACAGTAAGCGCAACAAGATCACAAGTCTAAAATTTATGATTGCACGCCACTAATCCTGAATACTAGCCGACTACAAGGTCGCTTTTCCTTCTCAACTCCAATCCAATAATACCATTCAAAACCAATGCATAAATAATATACACTGTCTTGACAGGAATTCACAGAATAAATAGTATCAAAGTAGCCGCTCAACTACAAAAACTCGTTTGCTTCATCATCTACAAAGAATTGTATCCCATCATGGTCTGATACAGTTTTGATGATATGCAAGAAAAACGATCACATGCAAGAGTAGAATGAGATATGAAATGAGGCTGATCTACTCATTGTATACCAGATTTTCATCAAAATCAAAGCACATACTCAGTATATATACCAATGATAAAAATACAAACTGTATTTCTACACAACTGACATGTCAACCATTCGATCAAACTATTTATCATATTTTGATCATATAAATGTAGGTTTGTACAATCACAATTCAAGCTAGACAATCCATTTGGATTATGAAAGATGGGAGTAAAACCATGCAGATATAAGAGACAATTAGAATATAATATCAAATCGCATGGCAAAACATACTGGTTAAGATGCTCAGCAAGTTCGTCGTTAGTAAACCATTCGCTTGAATGGATTTCTAAAAAGGTTTTGAGTTCTTCAGGAACGCTTTTTGGCTTGAGATCCATTTCAAACTGTCAATAACCTATGGTTCAAGTTAAATTGTATTCAGTATAAAAACAAGACGCGTATAGTAGTATTGTGGCTAGATACAAGTCCATTGTATTCGAGTCTAGTTATACCAAATACCCATTTCATACTAGTTCATTCATAAATGCACTTACGGTCGATGTTGCTTGTAAAGACTGAGTGATAAAGAGATGGACTGGCTGAATGACGATGACCGAAAATAGGTGCGACGGTAAGCCTTGAAAATAGCTATTTAAATTAAACTCTTGAATTATCGTTCAAGATGTGTCTTTTTCACTGGCTAAAAAGTGCCTGATGTGGTTTGGGAATCGCTGAAAGTGTACTAACGTGTCGTTCTAGTCAGTTACTATTGAGACTCGTGCTTTCAGCCAATTTTAAAATAGGTAAATGGCACAGTTGTTGATGTAGAGACAAAAATACAAGGCCTTGATTACAATAAATATCAATTCAATTTATACAACACGGTTAGCTAAAGCTGTTTTTGAAATGTATATTCTGGCCCCAACCAGTTGCGCTCGCGTTTTTTGCTTGATATATAGAAGCAAAATAAAACTAACAAGAGCTCCAATGCTTATGTTAGTGTTTGAACTAACCTTGTTTGATTTTTACTTTAATCAGTCGTGCCAGTCAGGTTTGAACGGATAAACCAGTATTGCTAAACAATCGTCTGCAGCTAAACGTAAATACCTGTAGGCTTGTACAAACTTTTAAGCTCAATCTAGTACAAAGATGAGTAGACGTTGGCGTACTCTATTCAAAGCTTTAAATGGAGTGCGATTACGTACAAAAGTAATGGAATTTAGAAGCGCACGTGAGATGGAAATGGGGTAAAACCTAGATTTGCACAGAATTCAGACAATAGGAAATGCCGTCTGATAGAATAGATTGAAAGTAGTCTAGACAGAGTATTTGTGCAATAGTTGATATGCAGATCTATTGTCTTGTGACAATGTTTAAAAGTGATCAAAACCGGTATTTGAAAGAGCTACGCAAAAGCCTGATGGGTAATCCAGGTCCTTTTTAACAGCTTCGAGTCATATTTGACGCCTAATCCCTGTTACTCTCGAAGAAAAGGTGGCCATGAAATGAGCATGATTTATTGATAACGCGTATCAATGAAAATGGCTGCAGTAAAGAAACAGTTTGGTTCTTGAGAAGCAAAAGTCTGTAATTTGCACTTTTTTGCACAGCATTTTTGCGGCTGTTGATCATAATAGTAACCTCTTGTAGTCATACCACATGCTTAAGCATTCCGTCACCCCTGAGTTTGGAGTATGCATGATGTGTATTCCTCCCAAGCTTTAGCTTGACCCCAAAGATATTTTGCAAGCATTTTATTCAAAGCAAAGTCTACAGGTTGGCATTATTTATCTGCATTTCATAACTAGATTGCCTGAATGCAAAAACTAAATTTGACTCGGGTCTTTAAACCGTCGTGGTGCACAGTCCAGCGTTTCTCTATAAGCATCCAAACCTGCCAAAAAGTTGTTGATGCTGGCGAATCCAATCCATTCAACAAATAAAACTGCATGTGGCTTTTAAATTTACAATCGTAAATTAAGGGAGCGTCTGTTTGGTGCGGTGTCGGTCGACGCTTATACAGAGAGCATTTACAATAAAACCCACTCGATAAACAGCAGTATCTACTCAAAAACACAATTCCAGCGCATTGTGCATTGTGCACTGTTTCCACTAACAACGCAATGACAAAATATTGTTTTTGAATGAATTTACTTTGTACATGTTTACCCACGCTAGTAGTACAAGGGTTTTGTACCACTAGACTTTCTTGACTATAGAATTGGTAAGGATCCACATGTTGTGCTTGGAAGTAATAAAGCACGACAAAAATATAGGTCAAAGCCATTATGTGCAGACACCAAAGCCTCTAAAAGTGTGACCTTGGCTGTTTAAATTTACGCTGGTGATTTTGCATTAAAATATACACGCTGATGTGCATTTGATTCCTGCCCAGCCTTCTATATTTACGGTTTAAATCACAAATAAAAGCAGTAAATATTGTATTACCGTTGGAATCCTATGTTGAATTTATGGCTTTGCTTAGTACGTGGGGATATGTTGAACCCAAGTATTCTGCCATTTTGTCCATACGCTGTATCTAGCAGAATTAAAGGTAGAAAAATAGCTATTGGAGTTATATTGCTTCAAATACGTCTTGCTCAAATTTTCATACAGGCCCAACCGTATACTCCTGGCATTAATCTTGTATATCATATAAATATAGTCAACACCTAATATACTTATCTACTAAATGGCCACGCAAGGGCAATCGCATGGCGCCGGTATACATTAATGTGGCCTACATATCTTTTTACAGCCGCATTCACGTAAAATGGAACGCTATCTTGCAGTCACTGCCTCGTGCTTTGGAATAGACCACGATTGAATATTTGTTTTTCTATTAGAACTTGGCTGCTTGAGTTGACATTCTCAATTCAATAAACATTCATCATAATGCTTACAATCAAACTATAGGCTTAGACCGGCATGGTCTAAATTTGGCATAACCATACATTGTACGATCATCAGATTCGATGATTGCAATCCAGATATTGGGTTTGATCGTTTTGATGCTGTCAATAAAGCTGTACAAATTGATCTATTGTATTTTAAAAGCTTACAAATATGTTCACGCTCTAGTTCAGGAGGACAAGTATTGCACATTTGAGGAACGAATGTTGTTTCCATGCTGATCACTGGACAGTTGCTTGTAATGGCTGGCTTGAAGAAAAGGAAAGTGGAGATTGAGCAAGTAGGATCTGTAATTCATTGAAGCTGTGGTCACTCATTCAGCTGTCTATATAAAAATAAGTAGAAAACTCGGTCAATCTAACGAGTTCAGGGAGTACAACGCTATCGAATAAACCGACATCAATCACTTTATGAGACTGGTCGTTTATTATATATCTTTGCACTCTATTTAGTGTTTCATATTACATGAATGACTGTAGATCCGTAGTGTGGTGCTTGAATTGAACTTTTATACAAACGTTGTACATGTGCAAATAGCATCTACAATTTAGCTTAGTAAGCCTGACTTTTGGTAGAGCCTAATCAGAGAACTAGAAAAGTAACTGACATATTGATGTAGACTGCTCATATGCTATCAATAACTCGGGATATTTTCAATGCTACAGTAATATGTGAGTTTGGCGCGGCCATCCCAAAATACCAATGACTCAAACTACCAAAATCAATCTCTTTCAATTTTAAATATGATTGTTGTTTATTACAGCCGTACTCATGTCAAATAGGACACGAAATAAGGATGTCAAAGTACATAACAAGCAGTCAATTTCATGAAATGATTGGTATGGTATCAATTCTTACCAAATTTACTTGGCAGTACTGTGCCCAAACTCAGTGAAAAAGTTTATAATATTTGTGTTCATCTTTGTATAGAGAACTAGACGAATGTTTAAAGCAGTATTTGCATCACAGCTTCAATGAATTACAGATCCTACTTGCTCAATCTCCACTTTCCTTTTCTTCAAGCCAGCCATTACAAGCAACTGTCCAGTGATCAGCATGGAAACAACATTCGTTCCTCAAATGTGCAATACTTGTCCTCCTGAACTAGAGCGTGAACATATTTGCAAGCTTTTAAAATACAATAGATCAATTTGTACAGCTTTATTGACAGCATCAAAACGATCAAACCCAATATCTGGATTGCAATCATCGAATCTGATGATCGTACAATGTATGGTTATGCCAAATTTAGACCATGCCGGTCTAAGCCTATAGTTTGATTGTAAGCATTATGATGAATGTTTATTGAATTGAGAATGTCAACTCAAGCAGCCAAGTTCTAATAGAAAAACAAATATTCAATCGTGGTCTATTCCAAAGCAGAATAGAGGCAATGATTGCAATGCAAATGCTACATTTTACGTGAACCCGGCTGTAGTTGCCTTTTAATCTGTAATGGAGCATTGGCAATTGCATCAAATATCAGGGCAATAATCGCAAAGATCACGATGCTTAGTCCCAATATCAAAGCAACCCAGAAAGGAAGCATCTGCAACCACAGCGTTTTTTCATATTCTGTCTGCATCCAAGTAAGTTGATCAACAAATATGGCTCGAGGTGCATTTTGAACTGTTTCAGTAGTCATATTCATCATTTGCGTAGTGACATTCAAGGCCATAAAAAGTTTTGAGGCATCGATTGAAAAATCGCTTGCATTGGCACGTGGAAGAGAGATAACAACTCCGTTTGCAAGCGAGTTTTGGATCGATCGAAGCATGGCCGTATGATTTCCAATGACGCATGTGGTAAACGATATTACTGCAGTTTTTATGCCTGGAACAGCTTCAAACAGGTTATTAAGAGCATCATTGAAACCGGTCATGACAGTCTCAATGCCTACTTCGGCTGTAGCTATAGTGTCGTTGGCCCATCCAATCATTACCGTGTTGACTTGAGTTTCTATTGCATTGATGTCTGTGTTGACTTTGGATATAAATGGACCAACGACAGCATCTACTGCAGAGGCAATGCGGCCAAGTATGAAATCTAGCGCTTGGATGATTTCCTGACCAAGCAAAGGTATAATGTTTTGCACAATCAGGCGGAGAAGGTAAATCTGGAATCGTACAACTATGAGCCCTGTTGTGCCAAACGCAATGCAGAGTAAGCTGAATGGATGCGCAACGTATTGCATGGACCACATTAGACGTGTTTGGAATGCTGTTGGATAGCGAAATGGGTCTTTGTAAATAAAGCCGAGCATAGCGGTGAGTACAGGAAACTGGACAGCGGCAATCAATCCACAAACAGTGAAATGACTATCAATCGTGGCATGCTGGAAAGTGTTCATACGACTAAAAGTTATTTCGTCTAGGTCAGCAAGTGGCTCGTTTCTACCAGAAGCCTTCAACATGGTTTGGATACGAGCAACATTTTGCTCATGAAGCCGGTGCTCCCAAAGTATCCAAAACATATAGCACGCTGTCACACCCATCATAGCCAAGACAATCCCAAGGCATCCGTACCAAAGAGCTACAGTTATTGCTTCGGAGATACGATCGATCCAACCCAAGTTGTAGGCGTTTCCATAGCAAAATCGAATGGGTTGAATGGGATCCATAACAGGAAAGATGCCTTGGTCAGGCACTTTGACATTTGCTAATGCAGCTGATATCTTGTTAGAAACATCGTCAAATGGACCAGATAAAACCCCAGATATTTTAGCCTCAATGTCGTCCAAAGTAGGGATACTTGCAGACAGTCCTTGGAGTGTTTGTTGAAAAGAAGCTGGAAGTTGTAAGCCATTGAGCTTATCGCTAACGGCCGAAAGACCCACAGTGCCGATTTGTGGAATCGAGGGACCGCCAAAAGGAAGTGACGGAATTTTTGAAATAGCAGAATCTACGTTTTGGATTTGAGAGTTGATGCCATTGAGCCCAGCTGCTAATGTGCCTGAAATATCTTTTAGCTGAGTATTGAGAAAGTTTGTGATTTGCTGTGCATGTGAAGATACAGCGTTGGTGGCAGACATGACAGTGAGTTGGAGTGCACATAGTATCACACGCTGATACCGAAATAGAATGTAAAGCATCAACTGCTTTACAAGAATTAAAGCTGCGTGGGCAAGGCGGCCCACTTGGTCAATAGCATTGTGCATCGCTATAGTTGTTACACGGTTCAGTGCGATTGCCGTAAATCTCGGTGTTAATGCTAGAGCATTGGTCGCTGTTTCAAGACCAGTACATGCCTGAGCCAGGACACGTTTGGCAGTGTTGGCATCGCGAGAAATATAGGTGGAGAGTACAATCAGTGAGCAGAGGACGAGTGCAAGTGCCAACACAATGTGATTAGCGTATGCTCGACTCAATTTGGCGGTACGACCAAGGTACGGTTTTAAATGGGTGTGTTGGGATATGCTATTTTGATTATAAGCTTCGTTGCTATAAGCAGTTGATGAATCTGCAGCCCACATAGTGGGAGAGCTTGAAAGGTTGGTGGATTCGTGACTGAACTGACGCTTTCTTGTATGAATATGGCTTGGTTTACTGGGATTTGAAAGTTGAGGTGCAGCTTGCCGATCCATCGATTGTTTCACCATGTTGAAAGTATGTAGTATAAAAAGTAATAACAATGGCTGGACTAGTGTAGTGATGTCCTATGGTATTTATGGAAAGTACCGACAGGGTATGGGCAAGTAAATAGTGAAATACAAAACCATGCTGTGTTTATAAGCTTTCAAGCCCGTTGAATCTCGTTGGTATAAATCGGAGTGAACGATTGTAGTTTCATAACGTGTCCTTTGTCGCTAGCCGTAATGGAACACGGTTCTTGGTTTGAACGAAGCCAAATGAGCAAACAAGGTCGGGTTTCAAAATAGACAACGATCGTTCAGTGTTGCTAAACATGGCCACAAACAGCCTATGAACTCATTCATAGAAACAACTCCATTCCTCTTCATTGTTTTTTGTAGCTTGCTTAGCCATCTTGACTGTTTGGGCTGGCAGTGTGACTGATTTCAAATGATTTACCTAGAGCAGCAGCAGTGACTCTACATGTTGGATATAGGCTGTTTGGATGCTGGAGAACCTTTTAAACTTGAGTAGTTAACTCATCACTATCTTGCTAATATATTTGCATGTTCAACCAACTGCAATGACTAGACTGGCATGCATTTAAACCAATGTTTCTGTTCTAATTCTTGAACATTTCCTAATCGATCCGTTCTTAAACTGAATGGTCTCAATTCCCTAAACATATTTTCATAAAACGAATATTATTGAAACTTTTTCAGAAAGAATATTTTCCATAAAATCGAATGCATTTGAATCAAGACAAATCTTGGATTGTTGATGGCAGCCGAGTTTTAAACAAATTGCCAAAACTAATTTTGAACTGCAAATCGGGTCGACTATTGAAAGCAACAACTCATGCCTACAGTCAAGCAGATGGACGATGCCATGACTGGTTTATCTAGTCTCCATAGACATGATATTGATGAGTTATTTGACGAGATTCGACGACTTGCTATTCAAGCTGTTGCCGACAGGGTATGTTGATTGGCTATGCATCGAGTTCAAGAATTGTAATGACTTTATTGGGCTCATGCATCTACTGTGAAACAGGCTGCATGTCCATCAACAGAATCAATATCAACTGCAGCTGGAGATGACTATATCAACCGAGGCAATTTGCTTTTTATCGAACTACAACAGCTCAGTCGGGCTTCGTTTATCCATTCAAAAACTCGAAAAGAACAATCTACAAGCCATAAGCAAGCAATGGATCAGACTCAGCTTACATTACAGAATCTCAACTATGAGCGAATGCACTATCTAAGAGAGATTGCCAAATGTGAATCATTTGAGTGAGTAATTTGTGACCATCTCACTACCATGCAGCTGATGTTATGGTTAGATTCGGCACCAAAAAGTAGATTTGCTATACTACTGTAAACTGTTTTGCATGTCTTCAATCGGAATGATTTGTCAATTCCTTTAGATTAATTATTATACCATGTTGCGAATAATCCATTTACAATTTTGTAGAACAACATACCAAGATATTCCATTACTCTCCGAAAAAGAATTCATTAAGCTCGCTCCATCAGAATATACAACGGAAAGTGCTTTGCAAGATGCTCATACTCTTATGCTAAACCATCTTTGGTTTGAGCTTAAGCAGAGGAAGGATATGCAGGATGTATTGGCGGCACATAATGCGCAAAAAGTAAAAGTAGAAGCTGAAAACAAGGTTTTATCAGAGAGCTTGGATCAATTGGATCTAGAGATTGATACATTACTAAAGGTTGTTTTTTACTGGCTTATTTATCGATCCCACAACCATTCTGTCACCGGATGATGCCACTGTATTTTAACACAGATATTGTTATACCTGACTGTCTGCAATCGTCTAGTCAACAATACCACTTCAAAAAAAATTCAAGCTGAACACTACCCGAGAGCGCAACTTATCTGAAAAGTCCTTGTATTTGGCTTCACCAATGTTTGTACTCTATAAACACTTTGCTGGCTACTGTAGCATGTATGGTATGTAAACATAATTCCTGAATGTAAACAGGAACCATTTCATCCTGTTCATGCGGTTTAAACTAATATCAGTTTTAATGTCAATCAACTTTTTAATACCAAATCTTTCGATCGCCAACACGGCTGACTGATGATACAGAGGAGCAGGGATTATTTGTAGATATTATTGGGGATACCTCCAAGGCGGGGAAAAGACGGTTGATCACAAATTCTAAACAAGCCGAAAGTGGTGTTGATGAAATGGAAGAAACTAGCGGAAAGCGACAGAATAATGTTGAAAATATTGATCAGATCTATGAGCATCATCCCATGGGAATTGTTCTTTCCTTTACAGGTACGGTATTTATACATTTTAGATTCTGATTTTATCACTGCCATATTGTGGGAGATTTCTATTGAACTGCTTGTTGCTAACTATTAGTTTGATTGGACGTTGACTTTAGATAGCATCAAAATGGTGTTCAATTATATTCCTGTGCTAAATATTGTGATTGTGAGTGCTCAGTTAGGCTCGGACACTGGTAATCTACCTGCCAATTATCTGCTTCACGGACTTGTCCCTCAAGATGATGGTTTGACATCGCCAAATCCCGCCAATCAGTTTCTCATGCAAGGGTGTGTTTAAGTCTTGTTGATACCAGTAGACGAGTTTAATATTTTTCGCTGGTATATTTTAATTTGTTTCAGTAGCCGAGATCAATAGCTAATTCGCGTGTTCATCTATAATGCGGGTTTGGTGATGATTATTGTAGGTCGTTTACATTTGATGTAGTCAAAGCAGGAGGCATGGCACTTCAATGGGCTCAAGCCATATCTGGTGCATCGTTTCCGCTCACATGCGATATTAGTTTTAGTGACTCACGACTGTGGATTAATAATGATTCTACCTCGTCTTTATTAACCACTGCTGCTGATCAAGCTTTTGAGGCAGCACCCATAGCCGTTGGTAATGAGCGAGGTTCTAGAAATACTAGTAAACCCAACATTCCTTTTGTAACCTATTTAGCACAAAGAGTAAAGATACGAGCTCAAATGCTTTACCAATTGACTGCTGTGGTTGATAGTCTTTGCTGCAGCAGGGTATACTTGCCATCTCCAAAACGAAGTACTTTGGTGGGCACATTGCCCGAGTATCGTATGGCTGCAATGGAGCGTATCAAGGTGAATGTAGATAGTATACTACTATCTGCAACAGTTGAGATTTCAGGTATGTACTGAATTTTAAATGTTTCATCACCTGCTTCTACTCTACAACGATGTATTTCAAATCGGATATGCATTGGGTTTGATTCAAGTTTATTTAGTTAAGCCAACTTTTTTGGGTTATATGATGTAGGACGAGTGTTTCAGATCTGCGTTACAATCCCAGCCTCATACCCAGAATCCCGCAGCCTTTTCAGCATCACCAAGGAGTTCAAAATGGGTCAAAATGATACAAACGACATTCAGTTTCCCACTCACATCGAGGTAAACTATAAATTAAAATCTTTCCAATTTTCCTGTCAGTCTTATATAACATACATTTGGATAAATAGCTTATTGAAACGGCATTGAACGAGTCACCGATATCAAACTTGATGGCTCATTTTGATGGACCAGACACATCCCAACAGTTGGTAGCATCACTTACAAAACTCATATACTGTTTAAAGGCTTACACTGCTTTGAGTTCCGATAACTCCACTCCACCGTGCTCATACACTACTATTTTGGGGTAGCTTTGGGTATCACTGTCTTGAATCTGTTTGAATTAAACACGTTGAATTGTTTTTAAATGTTTGCAAGGCACAAGTGGGAGTGTTGGTTTTGTTTTAAAAATAGGCGAATATACCAGACATTTCTAGAGGTGTGACAGTTTTGATATACTCTCGACTCAACCGATAAACAAATCTAAACCCCAATAGTCTTTTAAAATTAACAAGATGGAATTCAGTTGAATTTGGTGATTATCTATTTCAGCACACAAAAATTAGGAATAACGCTAGAAAACGTGGTCAGTGAACACACAAATTGTGATCAACACATTAATTAGTTCTGAGAGATCAGTGACGTTGTAGAAAGGTCATGGTCTATTCCAGAGCTCATCCGATTGGGCAACAATTGACCTTCGGTTGTCATAAAAGGGGAAAAGGTAGATACACCATGAGGCTGGTGCTGAGCGTTCATGTCTGCATGCTGCTGCTCATTAAGGGTTAGCATTGGACTTGTCTGTTGATACATTAACCAGTTTGCCATTGGTGTTACATCAGCAGATCCAAATTGTGCGCCAGTACAAGTTGTAACTGCAATTCCTATATGATTTTGCGGTTGATGCATCGAGTCAAACGAATGAAACGAATCTTGCCGTTCATGGCCTGAAGTATATGCAGAAGTAAAATCACCGTGAGCTGGAGTAGCATGTACGCCAAAATCTGATTGGACTGATCGATTCTGCAATTCATAGTTGCCATAATGGTGCTGTGGCTGATAGTATGATTGCTGTGACTGCTGTTGCTGTAAAATATGCGGAAGTCGCAGCTGAGATTCTTCAAATTCATTGCGTCCATTTGTTTCCAGATTGGGAATCAGCGATTGGGGAATGAACAAGGTTGAATCGATTGCAGGGGATGAGCAGTAGCTTTGAGCCGTACCCATGTGAGCAGAACTGCGATGCAAAAATGCAAGATTGGGAGGTGTGCTAGAATTGTTGGCGCTGCATACAGATAGTGGAGTTTCAACATGATTTATCATGAGGGGCACGCTGTTTTGTGTGGAAAGGTCATGGGCGTTAAGTGAACGAGGAGGGGTTTGAGAATCTAAATCAGGATGAATAGAATGGATCAAAGATTGAGGTGTAGACAGCATTCCAGTAAAATCTGTGGCGTATGATATATTAGCAGGTCGTTCTTGTGAAAGATAGTGATTTTGACCATAGGTTGGAATAGGCAGATGAATGGAGTTGCGTGTCATATAACCAGTGGATGATGACGATCTGCCAAGATTTCCTATAGCATTTACATCTGCCGATGAACTAGACATCATTGGAGATAAAACTTGATGACTGGGATCATGATGACCCGTCAATGACATATAATGGGATATTTCCAAGGGATCTACAGTGTTGGGACGAGCAATAGTTCGCGCAAAAAACTCATTGTTTCCATAAGGACGATCAATAGAAAGTGGGCTGTTGATCTGGTGATCGTTATGGAGTTGATAAGTGTACGAGATATCATAGTTTAGAGGATTATCATGACCATTTATGCGAGGAATAGCAGTGAGTGGAGTAGACAGGGATGGTCGAGTAAGCAAGTTTGCATCTGGAACAAACGAAGCACTTTTTTGACGCAAGCGAGATCCACGCGAACGACGAGGCTTTGGCAGAATCTTGAATGGCATATCTAGATGTTGTTTCATATTAGCAAGAGATGCGCTATCTATGCTATTAGCATTGATAGGCGAAGCCGACAAAGTTTGATGACTACTTAAAGAACTCGAAACCAGTGCAGAGTTTAATGCATCGTTAGAAGATGGAATCTGCAGGGGTATTAGAGGATCAGGCTTTCTCTTGCGAGTGCCTCGAGTCTTGGTTATTGATTTACATTTTGCTTCAAAGCTGACAGTAAGTTTTGGAGCAGAATCCGATTTGTGGTGAACTGTCTCGTTGCGAGCAAGCAATTTACGCTGATGAGAGACATAGTGCTGCATCATGTTATCTCTACGTGAAAACATGGATTCACAATATAGAATCGGGCACACATGAGGTAGCTCTCCCGTATGCAGTTTCATGTGACGAGAGAGATGGCCACTAAGTAGTAATGATTTGGTAATCAAAATATCAAAAATCGCGCATGAAAAGTAGATTACGTCACATCCGAGTTTGAGCAAAGAAGTCATGAATTGGGCCAGCAAGATTGCATAAGAAATTGACAATAAAAAGCAAACGTGTTAGCAAACCAGTCTATTCAACACTCATATCAAGTAGACAGCAATTATGCAGTTTGAATGGACAAGACTTGATGTCTAATCAAGTTTCACATGCAAAGAGTCGAATCTTGATTCCTTCTCTTCACATGTCCATCAAAAGAATGTCTGCCAGTCTCAATATAGTCGAGACCAGGATCATGTAATAGCCAAATACAATCATAATACCTAGTGGAAAACGTTTGATCACAGGTTGGATCCCTGCAAGGAAAACGACGCTTGCCAGAAGATACAGGAGTAGAAGTGCGAGGAGTTAGCGTTTGCGAGTTTGGACTCTGACTTTGATATGACTGCAACTGTTTCTTGCTGTATTCTAAATCATCATTGATAGAGCCAGATACAGGTGAGTGCTGACCAAACGATCCAATATTTTCCAATTGATTCATTGGGATTGGAGAATGTCCTAGCGGTGAAGATGCGCGACCGTTTTGGATATTGTATAGACTATTAGTGATGGACTCGAGTGAATTATGACTGGACATGCCAGTATGACCTTCGACGCAACCCTCTATATGTTCGCTATCGATGCCAGAAACATCTAAACCAGGCAATCTTGAAGCACTCAGAGTGTTGATAGTGTGATCGAACGAATGCGGTGAGATATCAACCTCATGACGATGACCAGCCGATTCCATTTGCTCCTCTACTACAGACCAGCTGTGCTCAAGTGGATGACGTTGAAAAATCTAGTGTTCAATTGTCCATAAATCAAAGGGTTAGACTGCAATCTGTGAAATAGTTTAACAATACTCGGCAGGGACTAGACAGTCTACCCTCTACTGTATGACATTGATTGAGGATATGCTGGGTCATATCAAACAAAATCCATCAGCACCCTCACATTCGAGAAACAAGGCTTACAAAGTAGAGGGTGTACGGGGTTTAACAAAAGAACATATGAACCCTCTCTAGATAAAAAGGAACAAGAGCACTCATAAAAAGAAGACATACCTGACCCTCGTTCTGGATTATCATTTGTATGTATATGGTGGTGCAGTAGTTAACTCAATTGGAGGGTAGGCAGCAATCGCTTGTTTAAATCGTTTTTCAAAGGGTCGTCAGCCTATCGATACGAAACAGCTAATTCATCACGCGCCATCCAGACCAAACACATGCGGCTACAACTGCATTAATATTCAGAACGCCATTTAGTAGGTTTTCAGATGAATTTGGCCAATAGGAACCATAGCACAGCCGTGATGTTTCAATTATGGAAAAAGACGTGTCAGTTTACTACTTATGCAACCATTATGGCACTTATCGCCAGTTTGTTGTATTTGCTATCTCGACGTGTTTGCATGGTGCGTAGCTGCCTGCCTTGTGATTCCTATTTGGTTCAAATTACTTCCATATTTGGAACGTGTGGCTGGACGCGCTTCATGTAGTCCAAAGGCTGCGCATAATTGTCTACAAACAAGGCCCGCTGGTGCACAACATAATGAATAGACTGTGCAAACACTTGATAGCCGGCTATCCTGATACTGGATACAATAATCACTTGTGTTCGACCCAACCCATGCTGCTACAAAAAACTGCATGCTATATTGGTTTCAATCATGCTGACTGCTTGCTTACTGCCGTATTTGCATAGAATAAAATACTAAATAAGGGTACCACATACATAATGAACAGCCAGTCATCAAATTAATTAATGCAATGCTGTTTGTTTCATAAGCATCAACAAGGTTTATATTTACAAATCTCGTAATAAAATAGATTAAACCCGGTTGCTTTTTCCCGGTATCAACAATATTGTCCAATTACATGTAAAATTTGAGTTGCAATGCACCATATACCACTAACAGATCCCTAATGTATATTCTGTAGAAAATATTTCTTGGTAGTAGTCAATATAAGATTAGTTTGCCTTTTTACCCGACTCTACGACTGGTGATAAAGGGTATGCGAGTGAAATGAAATGTTTATCTCGATAACCCAATCTCGTCATGTTTCGGAAACATTATAATATCATCAAATAGACTGGTGTTGCTGCATTTCAACAGCCTAGATTCCATAACATGACATGGTTGTTTTAGACTAGCATAGACTATAGGTAGAGTGCTAAAGATCGTGTCCAATCAAAGCCAAACCCACTAAGCTCACCAAGCAGTCGACGTTAGACCAAATGGGTGACGGTGTCCTACATGAATCAATACAAGCAGGTGGTGGTGCAAGTCGTTGACCAAACTGGCCGTGTCAACAAGTCAGGCTGTTGCCGCAATACACGAGACACAAGCGATAGATGCTTCTGCCATTCAAATCAGCAGACAATCTACCAAATTTGCAAAACATCCCCAAACAAGCAACCCGCAAACCTAGACATTTGTCTTTCAAACTCCTTTTCAAGCTTCAACACAACATGGTGGATACAGCGGTTGTCGTCACAACAGTGGCAATAATCAATCCGATCACATTTTTGTTTGAATGAATTTTATGCAAATACCGTTCCAAACACATGATACACAATGTTGTATAATACATTCAGCGAATCACTATTGCATGAAACTGGCTGTTTATTACACATTGACACTCCTGTCAAATGTTGCATTTTACATGAATACAACTGTAAATCAACATTCAATTAGCTCGACATTTATTTGAAAGTGTAAATCACAAAGTGTTGGCATGAATGCAAAAGTCGAATATCTAATCTACCACCACTATATCTTGTTGGCATGCATTGCTCACAACATATGAGCCATGCATTTACACCATCATGATTGATCCACACAACATTGTCAATCGAGCCCAACACAATGCAATCTCATCTAGTCGCGTTTATATGCAGTTTACTAAACAGTCATTTGAACAGTCAGTTGAACAGTCCACTAAACAATCGTTTGAACAATCGTTTGGATATCCATCAGCAATTCTTTTGACGCACAGCCTTGACTGGATCCGTCACTGGACCAGATTCACTCGTTGTCTCAAACTTGATCGGATCATTGACTGATATGCCCATGTGTGCCAATCCTGCACGACCCAGTTTTGTTTCAAAAGCCACATACAGCACTACTATTCCAACATGCACAAAAAAGTACAAGGCTCGGTATATCAAAAAACACTGCCAAATATCTCGGACCAGAAACGGAATCACAATATAAACAGTCGTCAGTTGTGTTGCTACAATTCCCGTTACATCGTAGACTGGTTTCAACCAATGCCAAAGTGAATGCTCATTAGCAAAAATAGGTCGAATATGACGCCGGATATGTCGTGCAATTATGGTGACGACTGACCCCGACATGAACGTAATATAGTAACCTATATATCGCATACATGTGTTGGATCAGCAATCTCTATTCAACAACACACGTATCGTCTCTGATGGTTTGCAGATGAATGTCTTACCGATATGAACACCATGCCAAAACGCACTGATAAAAAACGTAATGGTAGTTGCTGTCTGTTTATCAAATCCTAAATCTGTCAATCGTCCATACACGTCCCTTTTCAACCATACTGCTGTCTGCATGTTCCAGACTGACACCAACTCACGAATATTGCCTGCCAACTCGATCCGGACCATGTCACAGTTGTCGACACGATCCCATGTGGCATATCCATTCTCGTTGTATCCGTTAAATCCGAACCCGGTGTAGATACAAGCAGTTTCCGACAGTTTCCACGCAATATAAAACACACATCTACACACAAGACCACAGAGTAGTATAAACTTGACTCTGCCATATTAAATACATCAACAGGGTCAGACTCGTGCATCAACCACAACTGCATTGGTACGACTTACAGCTGCAGAAACGTTTTTTCTTGTAACAAGACAGAATCCAACAGTCTCGATGGAGAAAAGTGTGGACTGCCTTGAATTACAATGAACAGTGGAATAAACGTAGACGAAAGACACTCCATGGCTGGAACATATGGATTTGGAATAGTCTTGAATTCGCCCTGGATCAACAAGAGACACTATTAGTCAGATCTCAATCGGATGACATGCTGTTGCACACTGCCAATACTCACTCGACGATGCAGATAGTTGTTGTATTCTACAAACGAGAATGCAGGGCCAATAAGAAATGCTGGAAAGAAGTACAGAAAGCCAAGGTATTCAAGTATGGAAGGCATATCAACGATTGCTCTGCGACTGCGTTCCTTGCTAATCATCTTACAAGCTGTATAAGACGGAGTTGGAAGGCTACGATCATACACACATTGACTCGTAACGACGGTCACTTACATGGTCAGGAAGCGTTCCATCGTGGATCTGCCATGCAAGAGTGATCTGACGCATCACCAGCATCATCAGTGGAACTGTAGCATCGATATATGCTGTTTTGTTCATGATCCACTGGTTGTAAATGTGGCTATTGGTAATATGATTGTGTATAGCAGTGGGTGAGCATGCATTCAGCACTGGCAGCAAAGACACTTTCGGATCTCATTGGCATCGATTGGACTCAACTGTAAGCACAAGACAGCCATACTAACCGTCCCAACTAATATTGGCGAGGTGTATGCACAGCGCACAGTGGCCATGATGGCATAACACACTAGTGCCAATGCTGTCAGTTGCACAAACCCCGCAAACCCAAAGAGTATCGAGTAGGTTAGGCTGGTCACTGCAATCGACATGATATGACAAGCGACTGGGTGTTTGAGATGGCCGTAGAGTGGTGCCAGTAGGATATTCCCTAGTAGAACCATGCATGTTGCAAGTATGCCAGATTCTATTCCTAAATGTGCTGCTAGCTGATGTGTCCATGTCATATTGCTCTATTGTAGATGGTTTCAATAATGAATTGTGGCAAGTATGGCTTGATGAATCTGATTGTCATTCTTATCAGGATTGTGCATTCGTATGTATGGCTCAACAATGGTTTCATGCTTGATATAAAACTACAAGTTGTGGTTTTATAACCATCTTGTATCTCGTTTGATACTCTTGCAATAATCAAGTCGAGATGCATATAACTGGACTCGTTGACTTTTGCATGACAAATTCTACTGTTTTTGAATGGCTCGATATCCTCTGCAGAGGCTAATTAAAGCTTATCTGAAAATACAATCAATTTGATCAATTCAAACTCGGTTAATCCATAGATTGATTCGACTCTTTATTTTGAAATGCTCGGCACATTCAAAATCTTACTCTTATTACTATCTACATTGCGAATCGCTTCACGAACAACTTCCATTGGCTTATGGGTTGTAAGCAACTTCAAAACCTGTTTACCTTCAGATACAACGATCTGGCAGAAATTAGGAGCCACATCTACAAGTAACATGACATGGTCATATATGTCATCTATAGTATACACACCATGATATAATCCATTTGTCAGTAATGTAAATGCTTGTGAACATTACAACTCAAATGCACTTACTGGCCGAAAGGTTGTGGTGTGCAAATCCATCAGTGAGATACGATAATGCCATTGGAAGTGGCATAGCAACTTTTTTAGTACTAGAGTAATGTCTGAATCAATTTGGATAAACACGTTCAATATGCTCAAAATTAGTCGACTTTACAACAATACTAATAAATCAAATATAACTGTACTGTATCGACACCAAAAACCTTACATGTTAAGGGCTTGAGCAATACTAGGTAGACGCTTCAACATCTCAATCCGTTTAATGGTTTCAGCTGATGGTGTCGGGTTAGCCTTTTCTTTTTCAGCTTTGAGTCTGTTTTTTTCCTTGAGCTAAATCAGATTAATAATGCAGTTCAACAACGGAATAAACACGTCAGTATACTTGAGCACGTCAAGAAAGATTAAAGTATTGTTGGCAGTTGTACCTTGAGAACAATAGCTGCCGCACGAGAGATTTTCTTTGTTGGAGTGCCATTATTCGACTCTACTGTTTCAGATGGATCGTTTGAAGCCAACGACAATTCAGAATAATTGGGTGTATCAATGGATGTTTTTGACCCCAATTCCTTTTTTTCGGTAGTTTCAGAGTGAGCCTTGATTTTTTGAGCAAGCTTTTTTGCCAACTGTTCATTCAATCCTTGAAACGATGCACCAGTCAGTGAGGTTGCCTACAAAAACAAAGCATACATTAGGCATTATATGTAAAGAGATTGATTTGGAACTGGTTATAGAATATAGCGTGGTTCACTTACAACTCCAGGCATATCACAACCGCCTCTTTTTTTCCAGAGTTTTTGAAAATGAGTCAGTTCAGGTTCAGGAAGAGCAGCCATTGGCAATTCTGGAACTGTTGATAAATCAAATTGAGAATGCCATTGTGGTATTCCGCACAATCCCTCCATCTCTATTTTGCGTCTAGGATCTGCATCCAAAAAGGCCTAACATAAAAGAAACTATAACTAAGCATATTTTTGATTGATCAATTAAACCATGGTTGTTCAATAAGCATTTACATTATGTGTTGTATCAACCCAGTCTTCTAAACGTCGTCGAAATGTAAGAAGACGTGACTCCAGCATAGACGCAGCCATGATTAGTCGCTTGTGTGTTGAAAAGTCATCAATCGATCGAGTTTCAGGGCATATGGTACGACGAGACACGGATAAAGGGGTATTTTCTTGTTGTTTTCCCTGAATACATGGAGGCAAATGCATTGAATTTGCAATGTTTTTTGAAGGCTGAACTAGAGCTTCAAAAATAGATTGGTTTGCATCATGGGAAGCTTTAGAAGACTCAATTAATATTGAAGATACTGACGCGCCATCATGCACAGTTCTAACAGCTTGAAGATTGTATGCCTCTGGGTATATATACATAATTTGAGCCAAATGGGAAAGCTCAAATGATCTAAAATTGAAACAAGTTGTGTTTAAAAGTATTTGGCAAGTACTGTATCAGTTGATTTTGATGCAGTTATAACAACTGTAGATTACGTATAGCTTAGCCAATGTACAATATCATTATGCTTTACCTGTTGCTATAGTTCTCCACTGCCCTGCGAATTTTGTGATAGATACATCGTTGGTCGCGAGCAGTAGTAAAATCATGCACTTTTTCAAGTGCTTCAAAAGTTTTTTGAAGCAACTCTAGATGAGAAGGAAGTTCGCGACGATGAATCACTGCGGGTTTACTCGGAGTATCCAAAGCAGAACTAGTGCCATTGATAAGGTGTTTATATTTAATATATGCAGCAACCTTGATTGGAGGTTTCTCAGTAGGTAAAGTGACTGAAATATTTTTTCCAATTAAAGCTGAACGATCTGGCTCAATAGTTTCTAAAGCCGGCATGTTAATAGCGTCAATAGGCATGGGAGTAGACGGCAGACACGTGTTGGATGAGCTGCTTAAAATGGTATCAGCCTCATCCAATATCTGTTCTGTGTGTTTCCGTTTTAAATTTATATTATTCTTTTGAGCATGCTGTTCTAGATGTGCTTTATCCTCCACGACTGGATCAGATTCTTTTGCTACTTCTTTCAACGATGCATCTGAAACAGATGATGAATACCTAGAGGTTGTTTCAAAAGTCGAAGCAATAGCAGAACTATCAAGGATGGAGGATATTGGTGATGCATCATCAGGGACTGGGTCTAGAGATTGCAGATCTGCTTGAGTATAAGGAGAAGATGTTGTGGATAGATCTGGTAAATGCAGAGTGGTCTGAACTAGATTTGATTTTGAGGAATAAAGAGCAGGCGAGAGTAGTTTATCTGTACTGGTTTCCTAATAATTGATATTATTTATAGTAGCATATATCAAAGTTAATTCAAGATCCAAGGAAAAATTAGTTTGTACCAGCTAGAGTGGCATTAGCCTAGACTTACAGTTTGTTTAGAAAGACAAGGCCGTTTGGCAGAACGTAAGATCACCACAGAGTCGTCCAAAGAGCATTTGGAAGGGGTTATAACAGACCCATTTTTTTGCTATTGAATTGCAGTATATTCACAAGAGTTAATAAGACCTGATAAGCCAGTTCTAATCTTTGTATAGACTCAGTCGTATTCATATTTAAAGATGTAGTATATTCACAACAATTAGCATCAAAACGAGTTTACACCTTTTGAGGAGTTTTAGTAACGGTAGTTGCGGACAAGTCGGACAAGAGCAAAGCGGTTTTGACAGGATTAGCCATATCATGGCCATCTATGAAAGAATTGGCAGTTTTTTTAGAACGTTGCAAGAAGGAAGTGACAGAAGGAGTGGTTTCTGGCAGTCTTTTTAAATAACTTGCTCTTCTCCCATTGGCATTAGAACGAGCTGACATTACTGTTGAATTTAAAGTTACAGAGTTGGAAATCACAAATCAAATTTTTATTCGAATCCACTGCAGTAGTAATAATAAAATCGTAGAGTAATAATAAAATTGTAGAACAGCAATAAAACATAAAAACAAGTTCTTTGATTGTTGCATTCAATCAACTCTTGTAAGAATAGCAGACTGTTTTTATATTCAAGTTGGTGAGATTGTTACTAACCCTGACATTCGATTGGATTTGGAATAAAAGAATTGTTCGATTTTGACATTCAACTTTCAAACACCCCGGCATCAAATGACTGATAACGAGACTCACAACGACGATGATTTGGCCCCTTCCACCACTGCTGGTTACAAGGTCGGTGAAAAAAAGACTTTAGAAGAGTTGGCTCAGTTGGATGCCGAGGATGGTAAGAGTTGTTATATGGTTTACTTTTAATCTCTCATAGTGGATCTAATGAACGGACCAACTTCATACCAACCACTTGGATGTCCTGCTGCACTCTTTGTTATTGGGCTGAATCCTAGTCAATGATGATAATGTAGAGATCTCAATATGTGTTTTTTTCATTTTCAAATATCCTATGCTAAACAGTGTCTTGATGGTTTGACCAATAGCTTGTGTTTCATGCAAAGTAGCTGCAAACCTTGCTGCTCTTTTGTCCAGACTTTTGTAATCATTTATTCCTAAACCACTTGTATCTAGATACTTTTGTCCTACATTTTATCTCGCCACCTTTGTCAGCTATTGCTTTTCTCATGACACGCCTAAATTAACAGTACAGCTTGCTGTACGCCCAATCGGGGTTAAGAGTTTATTTAATAAGCCCATTGAGCTGTTTTTATTTATTAGCAACATCTATTGGGTGGTTTGGGAAATGTACCAACTTGTTTTGGTTTCAACATCTAATGCATTGTTTCGTATAGAATCACTCAAAAAATGGAAAGAGTCGCTTGGTGTCGGTGCTTCTAAATGTAAGTCGACTCTAATCTTGAACGCCTGTAAAATAAGTCTGGTAAAATATTGTTTGCATGGTATTAATATACTTGCTTTAACCTCTCAATTTCACAGCATTGCCACCTGGAACGGATCCAAGAAAAGTAATTGTTCTTGCATTGGCACTCGAAGTCGAGGGTCGTCCAGATGTTTCCATTGATCTATCAACTCCTGGTAAGTCTATATGTCGATGCTTGATAGTATAATTTTTTATTATCAAAACTTTGGATTGGTGTAACATGGTGTTTTGAAATAACGCTTGCCTGCAAATTCAATCATTTTAGAGGCAATCAAGGCTCTTGAAACCAATGTTCTTACAATCAAAGAAGGTGTCGAGTATCGCCTCAAAGTGACTTTCAAGTAAGAGATCTGATTGTGCTTTTATCTTGCTAATCGATTTAAAAGGCTCAATTCTAACAGGTTCTAATTGGCATAATATTGATTGTTTATAAACTTAGAATTCAACACGATGTTGTTTCTGGTCTGAAATATCTCCATGTTGTCAAGCGTGGCCCTCTTCGAGGTAAATGACTCTAGCCTTGTTGCTGCATATTGAGTATCAGCAATCGACTGACCTGAATCTACTTTGCATTGCTTTTAGTGGACAAGACTGAAGAAATGGTTGGCTCATATGGCCCATCTGCTGGTAAATTCTGTGTCATACTTGATATTGTTTGGAATGATTGTTCACTAGACTAATTTGTTATACTATGCTGTTTTGATGTATGGAATCTATAGAGCCCTATACCAAAAAGGTTGGTTTTGATTGCTTGGCACAATCTTGCAGAATAGACTGTCAAGTAAAACTGCGATTTTCCTTATTACTAAACTATCCTATTTTTTGTGCTTGTTTAAATAGTTTACACTGGAAGAGGCTCCAAGTGGCATGCTTGCACGCGGCCAGTATACTGTCCGAAGCCGATTTGTGGATGATGACAATCAGGCTCATCTTGAATGGACCTGGACCTTTTCGATCAAGAAAGACTGGGATTAGTATTGTTTTGCGCTGTCCACCTCACATTCTACTCTAAGATACGGCTGTTTTTGGCCGCCTTCACTTTACCCTCCTATGATCCCTTATTGAGAAACTCGGCCTTCTCGAATGATATTAACGTTGGACCAGTTTTTGATTGGAATTTGCTAATGAGTTTGACTATGCTTGTTGGGGTTTATATTGGTACATTATGAAACTGTTAGTATTGCATTGATGCTTCCACTTGTATTATTGCCGAGTATGCCTTGCGCGACTGGTTAAATACCAACTCATTGCATCCAAAAGCGTGAAATTCAACATTTTAAATCAGTATAAAAACAACAACCGCCAACACAACATTTTTAATACATAGGCCTCATTAGACAGTCACCCATCTACTATTGTGTATTTATTCCAGGGTGACAGTTGCACCATTAGTTTCGAGAACTGCTTTGATTTTTTCTGCTTCGTCTTTGGGCACGTCCTCCTTGATGGTTTTTGGTGCAGATTCAACAAACTTTTTGGCCTAAATCCCGATACATCAATATTCGTCAAATTGAGCAATAATCCAAAAGCACAGAATATATCAAACACAACATCTAAATTCTGATCAAACAAGGATGGGCTAGATTACCTCGACAAGATTGGCACCAGGAAGTATAGCTTTGATTTCCTTGATCACCTTTGCCTTTGATGCGGGATCAAACTTTTGCAATGTTACCTTGAAGCTGGTTTTCTCCTTTGGCTTTTCCTACAATTAAAATGCAATCCAAGTAAAAAAATGATATATTCCGATACACAAGGGCCCACACCATAAATTAGCGTTTTGTATGATTTAAAATGTAGTGCGTCAGGTTTCAACCTATGCATAACATCAATCCTTCATGTACCTCTACAGGAGCAGCACTCGAGGCAGCAGGAGCGGCAGCAGCAGGGGCTGACATGACCACGTCTTGAATATTCAGTTTAATCTTCAATGCAGACACCAAACTTGCTGTTTCGAGAAGATTCAATGTAGCAATCTCATCTACAATTTTTGTAATTTTTGCAGAAGATTCCACTTCAGTGGACATGTTGCGTGTCATGAAGCTGCGTTTGGGATTGTACGCCATGAGAGTTGATGAATATCGTAAAAAAGTAAATTGATTCATGTATAGCAAGTGTTAATGTCCAAAGCCATGCCGTGATACAGTTAAAGCAACGTAATGTGTATAGATCAGTGTCAACTAGAGTCCCAAAATAACATTCACATTCTGAATCGTTTAATCCAATGCCATTCTCATGATCTTTGGTTCAATCTATGAATTAACATTTTCCATTTGGTGTGATTGATTATGCATTGTTGAGAGGAAAAGAATCAAATCTGATGGAATAGTTGTTCAATACATGAGCAAGATCAGCTCCAAGACACTGCACCTTGTCCGCGAAAGAGGTGAAAATAGACGCATGGCAGCACGAGATTGGCATCTTGTGACAATAGTAACAGGCTGAATAAACAAGGAACTAGCTTTGCAGAACATGGTTGTGTTCTGTTGTCCAATTTGAATTTGCTTTGGATTCGATGGCGCTGAAAGAAAAAATTCAAACTTGCCAGATCTCAGCTGTGAAATGTGAATGTCAAATCACGTGGTTTTAGGACAGATTGAAACTTTGATTCAACCGGATCTACTAACACAGTGACTATATTGTATGAACTCTAAACCAATCCACTCTTACTCAAAAACATAAAAATAATTCTATTGCAATTGAACCTCGTCTTCCAAATATTTGTACTCAAATCTACACAATGTAGTATTAAAAATTAGCAGACCAAATATTAATAAACTCGGCTGTTTTCTAATTCAGATTCAACGTACCGAAAGTCAGTCTTTTTTCGTTGACACCATGACTCCTCGTAGTCAAAATACACATAAGTTCCTTGCTCAAACTCGTCTGTAATGGTTTTTGGCTCTTCGTGCCGTTGAAACCATGTTAGATATTTTTTATGAAATCGCCATGATTGTCGTTTGAGTTCTCGCGCTGCAAGAAATCTAATCCAAATAAATCAAAAAAGTGATTTGAAACCCACTCAGTTAAACTCTGATTGCTCCAGCTTTAAGTAATCTTAAAATTGAGCATATACTAAAAAAGACTAAAATTTGGCACAACTTACTGCTGGTATGTTCCAATACGGTAATAAAAGATGAAAAAGAGTGTGTCCACATCAAACCGCTCAAAAATTAACGGGTTAGACTCAAATGTTGCCAGCGGAGTCTGTGGGTAGTAGCTTGGAACTGGATATGGATCTTTTGCAGTGTATGCCTTGGACCTATGTTTGATTGTTTAGTCAGATTCAAACAAAATCGTCAAGTAAACATTGTGATGGGTACAACATAGTTAAATGGCATTACAGTATACAAAGTCCATTCGACATACTTTGCCGAGTCTGTAGCGTCTATTAGACATTGAAAGCTAGATTCAACCATTCGAGAAAAATAGGCATCATTGCTAGTTCGCTGCGATCGCTCTTTAGCAATATCAAAAGAAGCAACCAAATCAGCCAAAATGGGTGGCAAATGATTATCCATTGCTTCCATTATGGGTGGTGAAGACTCTGCTGATTGGTCAAGAGCTATCCGATGAAGCATATCATTGGAAAAAGTCTCACTTGCTAATGGAGTAGCTACAAGGCTGCGATTGGATGACGGACTAAGTGAAGGAGGCATTGATGTTGAAGTGGATGTGTATTGAGAGTTGGCTAGATTGAACGTGACTCGCGATGGTGATACTGTAGTAAGAGATTGAGGTGATCCTTTTTGTGCAAGTGTCTGCACTGCCAAAGGATGGTTCTCATTTGGTAGAGTAGTGTGTATCGAATGCTGTTTTCCGTTAATCTCTTCCGTATGAGTAGGCACATTAGTGGCCAAAACAGCCAATGACGATGTTTGATGACTCCCAGCAACTGTTAAATTAGCAGCTGCTGGTACCATAACATCTGCAGTAAGTTGTCGTATTCCTAATGTTTAATACACAGAACGTGGTAAAATAAACAGACATATTCGGTAAAGCAATGAATATGATACATTACAAACTATAATACTAATCCATAAACTATCAATACCTTTTCCAGTATCTGCTGCCTTGAAAGGTTTGATGTGTGGATCTGGGATAGTGGTAGATGCAGCGGCGGCGGCGTATCGCTGTGAGAGTGGTGCAGGTGCCTCAACAAGAGCAGTACCAGTTACGCTACGAACGGGTGTTGGGGCTGGGCGAGGAGGAAGTATAATCGATTTTAACATGGATCCTTTAGCAAGATCCTCCTTGACTTTATTATTGGAAAAGCAAATTTAATTTTAGAGATATTACATCACGACAATCCAAATTCAAGCAAAAACCAACACTACTAAAAGGTAGCAATACCTGTTGCACGCACTGGCAACACCGTTGCCTTTAATTTGGATGGAGAAGAAACCTTTGACCAAAAAATGAAATTTTAAATATAAATGCTGACAAAACATGTATCATTAAAAAGCATATACCTTTACGTCGTGATCATTTTTACTTCCTTTTCGTTTTATTTCCGAGTCAGCATCTCGATCTTTTGCATGATTCTTTACTGTGATCTACAATTCATCAACACGCCAGCTTTAGTCAAGCAGCACTACAAACAAGCGTATACTAAAATCACATTCTATAAATGTCAACTTACCTCTCGTTCCTTGAGAGGTGGTGATACCATTGGAGTGTCTGATTGTCAAATAATGTAGACATGAAAAGGCAGTCAATGCATTATTTTAGTCGCCATACAGTCTCTACAACAGAAAATCGGCAGTCAAGCTCAAGCATAAACTATGTTTACCAGTATCTGAATCATCCTCGTCCTCATCTTCGTTTGCAAAACCGTATGCTTCTGCTTCCTCAAGATTCAAGCCTTCGTATATACCTTCATCTTCCTCAAAATCAGGATCTTGGTTGGACTCGACATAATATGCTACATCATCTTGAACACTTGCAACCTAAAAATACGATATTTGAGCATTATTAATTTGCATAAAACAAAATTTTGGCAAAGTCGCCCGAGTTTCTTTAAAAAAGTATAAATATACACTGCTAGATTACCTCTTCAAGCTTCAAATTTCCATTATCCATCATTCGCAACACAATCTCAAGTGTAGTCTGATGATGCTTATGCCGCTCGATGATCTTGTCAATCTTACTAACCCGATCAGATTTAGAAGAGTCGCCTTTTTTAGCTTTACGAACGGCTATTTGAAGAGTTTCAAGCTCAGCTTCAAGCATATCAATTTGAACATTAAGCTCGTCGGTCATTTCAGCTATCCACTGTCGAAGATCCTCCTTTTCTTTTTCCTGTGGATCTATGCGACTTGCTGCATTTAACCCTGCCTGTGAATAGGCTTTTGTTTTGAGTTCCTTTTCCATCGCTTTGAATTTCTCCATTTGCTATAGGATGAAAGCAATGAATGCAGCACATAGGGTTAGATGCGTGACTTTTTGAATGGATATCCAAGTTTACAAAAACAATCAATACACAATATTGATATCTTGAATGTTGATTGAACAAACGCCGACAGTTCAAATTTTAAACACAAATCAAGATTCACCAAGTGATTAAATAAAAAATACCTGCTCAATCAGTTTCCGGTTGTCAAGCAACGCTCTCTTATCCTTGATCTCATTTGATGATGCCCATGATTTGATCTGATCACGATACCGTTGGAGTTTTTTGATTTCCTTTTTGAGATCGCCTTCAAACTTTTCCTTTTGAGCTTGGTTGGATGCAGTCGAAATCTTTTCAAATATGCTCTCAAAAATCTCGACTCCTTCGGATACTTTTTTGAGCGTTCGTTCGATCTCGGCTGTTGTGTTTAATAAAGTATTGAGAATAACAGTATGAGTTCAAGAAAAGAGCGTAAGTGGGATTTGGTATAACTAGACATCCGGTAGCAGATTAACTAGAAAGCCAATAAATGAGTATAATTCACAGTATGCAGCTGATCACACATCAATAGGATACCAAAAAAGAATCAGGTACAAAATCGTATCTGTCCAAGTTGACATTGAAATAGACAAACGATGCTGAATGTAGTTTGATGCATAGTGATGGAGGTTTGACTAGATGATGAGATTCTACAAGAACACATCATATGATGTGTGCAGTGGCCGGCTGTAGTCAGCAAAATGCTGTTTGACAATGGATCAAGCAAGGGATGGTTCCAAAGAATTGTTTTAGCAAGTGCTAGATAAACCTAGAAAGAATAAGACTGTTCTAATGAGAATGCTCTAAACTTGTCAATAAGAATCATTTTCTTATTACAGTCAAAGGTGGTTTATAAGAAATGCCATGCATTCCAACAAGTTCTAGACAGCCATATGTTTATTTCACCAATCCAGTGGTTGATGCGAATCCTATGCAAAGGAAATAAGTGGGATTTCCTGTAGAGATGAATACAAGTGCATGCCAGTCGAGTACAATTGACCTTGTAGTTTTCTCGCAGCCATGAGAAGTCTGTATGTTGCAAAGTTGGTCAAGTGGTTGAATCCAAGAATTGGTCAGGTCGACAACGCGCATTCGCTGGCTCGAGTGTTCGTCCATTTTCACTGGCTGTCAGCTGGTAGTCTGAGACTTGCCATTCCTGTCCATCAACTGTCTCAATCATGGTTTGGATGGTTTGACCATTTAAGATTCCTGGAAATGCGTATCTTTTTGCACTGTCGCTTCAAGTCAATAAGCTTTCGTTTTAGTTCAAGCCAGTCTGGACTTGTCTGCTCATGAATATACTGTCAAGTTGGCTGCTATCCAAATTAACACATTGAAAATGCTCATGACATTCGAATCGCTCATGTCCTGGTAGATCGATAGTGTTTAGTTATACCATTGAATATACGGCTAAATATCTATCTGTCAAGACTTCTTATAATAAATTCAAATAATACACAAGTAAACCACTAGACACTATTTTTAATTCCTGCAACAATACTGGCACTGCCATGGTTGAATCCAAATTAGTTGATTTCAGATTCAGTTGGTAAAGTGCAACAGACAATTCGTAGCCAATCAAATTCTCCGATTTCCTGAGGGTGAGTTTATGGGTATATATTTGACTTTTTCCAACAATCGTTTGTTGCTTCAGTCTGCTAATCGGTCGCAAGGTCAGTTTGTTGGTAAATGTGCCGACCGTCCGCACCTACATCTTGGTTGAATTAGAGGTTGCTGTTGATGACCTTGACATTTAAACAAACTAGAGTCTCTGAACACATTGTGTTGATGCTTTTTCGTCTCTGATGCAGCCTTCTATACCATCTTTTTATCTTTTTTTTTATGTCGAGTAGAAAAATGGGGTCTGATCTGTTATTTTGTTTGCCTTTTGTAGACTTGAGCGACTCTTTGCACATGCCTCGACTGATTTCTGCTGTTGGCATTGCGATCTAGGTTTGTTTATAAAATGATTGTTGAAATACTTTTGGCTATGATGAGTTTTCCTGGCACAACTATATACGCTGGAATTACCGGCTGATTACCTGATGATCCATAGGAATCCTGAGCCCTTTTTTTTGACTGCATATTTTAAAAACCTGCTGGTTTACTGACATTTTTGTAGTTTTTTTACAATGGTGTGTACAGTTTTAAAAATAATTTATTCGTGGGCTATTTTGAAAATGATGCTTGCAGACACAAATGACATTGTGGACTGCCTGTCAATAGCACTGGGCACTGAGCTATCATGCTGACTCGTGCACTTCTGATTCATTTGATTCCATTTGTGCTTTTACAAATTTTCTTTGGTATCTGTCAGCTGACTCTCTTATAGTGTTTATAATTCTATTTGTACAATGAACTTTTATGGTTATACGTCGTCAACGTAAGTGTTATTTTCAGCTGTTTTGTCTTGCAGAATCTATTTTTCTCTGGGATATACAATGGTTAGATGCTTGTTTTTCTACCACACATTAATTGTGCTGCCTTTTCAATTGGCATGGCATTCTCAATTGCTTCAAACAATGTTCATCGTATGATGCACAATTATAGTTTGAGCTGAGATTATCTCTTCTCCTTTTTGGCAGTCATGCACTGTACAGTCATCAGATTCATTAGGCTCGACGCTCTCATGTGGGGTTTGTTGAAACTGATGTGACCATTTGGTTTTGATACAAAATGAGCATGGGGAATGACTGAGTTGTATCAAGGAGTTTAGGGAACAATGTTCAGTAAATTGGCACCAATCATTCCCATGGGACTGGCTGTTGTTCATTCTGACACTTGGTGTTTATTACATGAATACGGCTGTAATGTGTTGGCAGATGTGAAATCAAAATGAGGAAACGATGACGAGTCAGACGAGTTTCTCGATGCTGCATAAATCTTTTTTTTTATTCATTCATGCCAAAACTGATTGATTATCACATCTGCCCGAGTCTGGTACTTTTGCTTTAGTATTACTTTAGCTAATCAATTTGTCATGTTTTAGACCTGGTTGCATACTGCATATTTTCAAGATCGTGGACATTTTTTGGGTTAGTTGTTGATTATGGAGAAAAGTGAATGTTGGTTTGGCGAGCGATGATCCTAAAATGAAAGACAAGCATATATCTGAATTTATGTGGATACATTTCACGTCTGACGCCTTTTCAGCTCACTTGTTTGTATTGTGATGTCTTGGTCATAGATCTGATCTAACCTTGACTGTTTTAGATTGGGTTTCTGTCATATAATATACCGATTCTGATGTGCTTCTTGAACTAGAATGGTGAGTGGATTTTTTGAGATTGAAGGAAGCAATGATGAATTAAATTTATCACGACGGTCTTATGATACTCTTGATTCGAACGCACACAGTGCAACCATTCTGAGCTTCTTGAATTTACGCTTTTGGTTTAGATTCTAACATTATTTTTTGACGGTCTTAGGATTGTTTACGGCTGTATTCATGTAAAATAAACCACTTGTATTTATCTTTCAGTAATTTTGGTTTGGGACATGGTTGGATATTCGTTACGTTCTGCTACTGGAGATTGACTGCAAATGTCATATCAAAACGATCATCAATACTGCCTGGTCAAGTGTGTCAGCAAACTTGATCCAGTTCATATGTTCATTGGCGCATTCAAGTCGCTGGATTGTTGCATTGTGTTTGCCCAGAATACGCTTAGTTGTATGATCAAAATCTATTATTAAACCTGTATTTGTTTCAAAATGAAATCATTCTAGTAATTACTTGGTTTGACTATTTACAGAGTGTGTTGATTGTAATCTGGGACATCAGTACAGATAGACACTGCAGTATGTGGTTGTTTCTAAACTTGCATATATTAGCATATTAGTATATCCATACTTTATACGCTAATAATCAGACTCGACTCGGAACACAACAGTTTGTAATCAACGTATACAAAATCACGATATACAGCATCAACCAAACATCATTGTAACGTGGGTTTATTCATTTCAAAATTCACAAGTTTAAACTAGTCGGTGCGACTTGAACAAGCTCCAGATCAGATGCTGACACGCATATAGCCAAGACTTTTAGACATATTTGCATAATCCAAGGCCTCCATTTGTGCTTATACACTTCTGGCCTGGGAGACAGGCTTTGTCACTTCTGCAAACGCTTCCAAAATTAGACATACTACCAGGAGCAGCAGTGACAGATACGACGAGTGCTGCGATGAATGCGATGACAGTGAATTGCATAGTTGGTTGATATAGATTAGATTGGATTGAACTAGGTTGGATTGGAATAGACAATGTTTGATGAGTCCAAGAGTTGGATAAAACCTGGCTTTTTATATTGCAGATTTGACCTGGAACAATCTGAAAAATCATATTTGGTATAGCCATAAAGCCTTGCATGCAGTCGAGAATACTCAGCAGCAGTAAATGGTAACCCCACTAAGCCAGTATGGGACCGAGTAAATCATATTCGGCCACTCGTTTCAAGATTGCATAAAATAGACATGCTTTTAAACATTACATAGCAAGTTTGGTAATATCACCGAGACTACATCACAGGTGATCTATCAGTATTATCCTACACTCCAACACATTATACTCACATGAGTGCATTGTTGACATTCGAATTTACAATACAACTTGTTTAGAATAATACTCCAGTCGCTATTGAACTATGTTGACCAAACTAAGCAAGAGTTCACAACTACCCTGATTCCAGTATGCTTTTACAACATATTACCACGTTTAAATGGATCAGGGTTATGATTGTAGTCAAGCTTTGTTAGACAAGCAAAATGGGGATTCTACTAATGAACATTTGGCATTCTAATACCCTGACTACTAAAATTAAAAGCAATCTTTAAAACCTGCATTGCTTTGTTTTACAGTGTATACTATGACGATTGAGTTATTCTGTAATTGTGCTTGAATACACCTGCTGAACAATGTTTAAAAGCATGTCTATTTTATGCAATCTTGAAACGGTGGCTAAATATGATTTACTCGGTCCCATACTGGTTTAGTCCGGCTCAATTTACTGCTGCTGAGTATCCTTGACTGCATACAAAGCTTTATGGCTATACCAAATACGGTTTTTCAGATTGTTTCAGGTCAAATCTGTAATATAAAAAGCCAGGTTTTATCCAACTCTTGGACTCATCAAACATTGTCTATTCCAATCCAACCTAGTTCAATCCAATCCAATCTATATCAACCAACTATGCAATTCACTGTCATCGCATTCATCGCAGCACTCATCGTATCTGTCACTGCTGCTCCTGGTAGTATGTCTAATTTTGGAAGCGTTTGCAGAAGTGACAAAGCCTGTCTCCCAGGCCAGAAGTGTATAAGCACAAATGGAGGCCTTGGATTATGCAAATATGTCTAAAAGTCTTGGCTATATGCGTGTCAGCATCTGATCTGGAGCTTGTTCAAGTCGCACCGACTAGTTTAAACTTGTGAATTTTGAAATGAATAAACCCACGTTACAATGATGTTTGGTTGATACTGTATATCGTGATTTTGTATACGTTGATCACAAACTGTTGTTCCGAGTCGAGTATGACCTCGTTGTATAACAACGGTTCAACCTGTCGAGTCTGATTATTAGCGTATAAAGTATGGATATACTAATATGCTAATATATGCAAGTTTAGAAACAATCACATACTGCAGTGTCTATCTGTACTGATGTCCCAGATTACAATCAACACACTCTGTAAATAGTCAAACCAAGTAATTACTAGAATGATTTCATTTTGAAACAAATACAGGTTTAATAATAGATTTTGATCATACAACTAAGCGCATTCTGACACAACACAATGCAACAATCCAGCGACTTGAATGCGCCAATGAACATATGAACTGGATCAAGTTTGCTGACACACTTGACCAGGCAGTATTGATGATCGTTTTGATATGACATTTGCAGCAGCTCGAGTCATGTCTGGTGGTGCAACACACAACAACCATTACTCCATTCCACTATACGATGCGATGTGATGCCAATCGTATCATTCAGTACAGCAGTGATAATATTTTTGGCATACCGAGTAATCACTACTTGTGTCTTGCTATGGACGATAATGGACATTTACTTGACTTGCAGTAATGGCAGTACTTGCATATACGTGATTCACTTCCACCATACAAACTGTTTCCGATTCGTGACGATGCCACTGATCTCGACTCGGATATACCTTGAAATCGACTAGCTGATGCAATACAGCAGCTGGTTCACACCAGACACCCGAAAAACAACATGATATTGGTCATAATATACCGAGTCGCATTATATACATCGAATGATACACCTGATGAACCACCCAATCCATTTGCTCGTTCTGCTACACACAGTTCAGTCAATATGTTGACGGCCACTATGCGATCTGCTGACAGTCTGCATACACTGTATTGATTGTATTGATTGCATATATCGACAACAATAACGGTGATCACATTAATACAAATGACAAACACGGTATTACACTGATTGATGTGTGACATAAACTGGTATGCAAGGTCTTGCAAACACACATTGATGGATCGTGGTGCTCAACAAACTCGTCACTACTGAGCATGGTTGATTTCAAACCAAACAAGTGTGCTGTGCTGGTTGGTTCACTAGTCGATATTGTTCAACAACAGCAGTGCGTGTAGCCCAATACTATTGTTGTGTTGATTGACATTCAAAATGCATTCAACACTGTCACGGTTGGTGCCTTGATATGATAACTGCAGCATATGTGATTGATACCACGCACACTGGTCTTGCTAACACCGCTGCACACATGCTCATCAGCTTGTGCTCAGACTGAATCATTGGTTTCTAACCCATTTCCATTTGAGCATGGAGTCCAGTGGTGATGTCCACTGTCGGATTGTTGTCCAACGTGTTCATCAACGACATACACGATGATATCAACCGATTGTCATTGCATGAGTATCGTGTAAATCACCATCAATGTGAGGATTCATGTATGCCGACAATATCGTGATATTTGCCGATTCTGATCAGTCACTCCAATTGGCATCTGGTGTACTTGCACAATGAATGGAACAATGTCAAACAAGTTTTGGTGTAGTCAAATGCAACATACTCAGTTTCCGTGGTCACAACACTTTGATTCCGAATTACCAATTGATATGATGCTACACGAACAACAGATTCGTCGTGTTCAACACTACAAATACCTGGATGTTGTATTCCACAACCACTGTATCACACCATGCGACTGGACTATAATCAGGTTGCTATATCCAATAGCATGTTGGTTGTGTCTGGTTCTTGCAAACCACCAACTCACAATCAACTTTTGGACACGAATATTCTTGGCAGTCATTCTAGTAATGGTCATGTACGCACTGGATCTGGTTGGTGGTTGGTGGTAACTTGACCTGCATACACAGTCAACAGTCAAAAACGGTGTGCTACACATTGAATGCATGCAAATACATGACTGTCAATACTTGTTGTTGAAATGGGTTCAGATCACCATCAGCTCACTCACTTGTTGCACCGATGTGATTGCATGATCAACTTGACACCAACCAAATCACACTCGAATATATATGTTCCAGTCATGTGCATGGTGTATCGATTGTCAACTCACAATGTCAACTCCAACACATTCCATCATGATTATGGTCACATCACACCATGCTGATGTATGTCGATCGCTATCACATTGCAACCGACTGTCATCCAATGACTGCAATGCAATACCGTGCATGTATTGTGACTGATATGCTGTGCACCATCAGCAAGTGTGCAACTGTCACTTGATATATCGACTCTGATATGCAACAACATGCTGTGTTTACTGTGATCAGGTTTTTGATCAATCTTGGACTCACGATACATGGTTTGACATGTTGGATCGTGTGGATGTGTCATGAACTGCAATTTAGTTGCAGATACACATATGCTGGACATTGACTGATGCATACTGTGCAATGACTGATCAGTGCAGGTGTAATTGCACACTTGGTGGTATTGTGCATTATAGTTGTTTGACAATGGATGAATGCTGGATTAGTCGGTTATATGCAACCCATTTGAATCGACCTATTTGGACAAACACTCGATGTAGCTGACAACAATGTGTATACATGGCTGTTGGATCAGTCGAGTTTCTGTTGGTAGCGTACCATTGGTAACAGGCACAACCCTGACACCATCACCAAAACAATCATACAACAGTTGACCAATAAACTTGTAACACCACCAGAATATGCTTGCACAAGTTCATTTCATGTCCCAACACTCAAGTTTAAAAATCCATTCAAAAGAAAGTTGGATTCGACTAGTCTCAATACAACTTTAGAAACTCTTGTATTCTAAAATCTCGTACATTTGCACTTTAATTCAACAAAACAATATCTCAAGTACAACTATACATTCCAATCATTTCATGAGACTGACGCTCTTAATGATGCATTGCATGTGAATACAGCTGGTGTCCAAATATATTCAAACGTCTGGCTTGCCAATTGAATGTTTTGAAAAAGGTTCGAGTTTTGAAGCAAAAAACAAATCGAGATTTGTATTTTATATTCTACAATTTACTCAGACGACATTGGCCATGTCTGACTGCAACAATACCAGCCCTACTGACAAGACACTTGCAGAAAGCACAAATGCTGCATTGAACATTACCGACACTGCTGCTTCCTCAAAGAAACCTGCTGCTTGTGGAGGAGGTGGTGGTCCTGCATTCAACTTCAAATCGTCCTTCAACTTTGGTGCTTCAGAGTTTGTGCCCACATGGTCTGTACCTTCTACTCCTGCCCCCGCCAAGGCGGTTTCGCTATCTCTTGGCTCTTCTAAACCTGTTTCAGAGGCGGCTAAACCGGTCTTGGAAACTGCTAAACCTCTTCCAGTAGCTGCTCCAGCTCCAAAGGAAGAAAATGTTGCCAAAAAAGGTTGGACTGATCTTTGCTAGATTGCCCTATATATCTCAGCACCTGCATTGTAGGAACTATTTCTTCCGTGCAGACTACTTGGTTTTTGAGATTTTTGATCAACTCCAACCATGGATACCAGTTCATCTATAATGCAATGATCGCTGTTGGATGTTGCGCCATATATTACGTATATCGTGCTGTTTCTGAAAATTGTTTTCAGTTTCTACAGATTGTCCTAAATACTGACTATTTTATATGCAGCAGTAGTCCCTACTCCAGTTCCAGCTCCTGTTGCTCCAGTCATTGATGAGCCCGAAGAAGAGGACATTCGATTGGGCGAAGGTGTCAAAAAGCATCTCAACATTATTTTCCTCGGTCATGTCGATGCTGGTAAATCTACTATGGGTGGTCATATTTTGTAAGTTGTTGTGCACTTGATTATGTTTGATCATGGTCGACTCTGGTTTGAATATTCAATTTCCAACCGCAGTTGCATGGATTCTATGCATATTTTGGATAGTTGTGCCTGGAACTGTTGATAACATATTTTTGGTCTAGGTTTCTTACTGGAATGGTTGATAAACGTACTATGGAGAAATACGAACGTGAAGCCAAAGAGTTGGGTCGTGAATCATGGTATTTGTCATGGGCATTGGATCTCAATCAAGAAGAGCGTAGCAAGGTGATTTGTCAGCTTTTTCGATAGTTTTACTAGTTTGAACCTTGGTAGCCTTTTTTTACATATTTATTAATGCCAACTTTAATGTATATAGGGTAAAACTACAGAGTATGGACGTGGCTACTTTGAAACTGAACAACGCCGATTCACCATCATTGATGCACCTGGCCATAAAACATTTGTTCCAAGTATGCTGGGAGGTGCTGCTCAGGCCGATGTCGGTGTGTTGGTCATTTCTGCTCGAAAAGGAGAATTTGAAACCGGTTTTGAAAAAGGTGGACAGACTCGTGAGCATACTCTACTTGCCAAAACAGCCGGTGTCAAACGTCTTATTGTTGTAATCAACAAGATGGACGATCCTACTGTCCAATTCTCCAAGGAGCGGTGAGTCTAATCAATTAAAATTTTATGCTAATGCTGTATGTTCTAACCCTATGCGGAACTATTGTGATTTACTTGTTAGATACGATGAATGCGTTGGAAAAATTATGCCCTATATCAAAGGTGTTGGCTATCAGAAGGCTGGTATGAGGATCTTGCTTATCAACCATTGTCATGCATATTGTTTTTCATACTCTAACCGTTTTAAACGTATCGACTTGCTGGTTTCAAAACCTTGTTTATAGACATTGATATTATGCCTGTATCTGGGTTTACTGGTGCCAATTTAAAGGAACCTCTTGATTCCGCCGTATGTGACTGGTACACTGGCCCAACCTTGCTGTATCTCTTGGATAATATGATAATTGATCGCAAGTATTCTGGACCTCTCATGATGCCTATTGCCGACAAGATGAAGGTACTCATTTGTTGTTGCTACGGGCTCGATTTGGTTTTTGTAATCTAGTTTTAATGGTCACACCTAGATGATGAGAATCTTGGGTTTATTGCTTGCACTATGTCAATGACTCATTTTTGATGCACTTTTTGAATAGGACATGGGCACAGTTGTTCTTGGCAAGATTGAATCTGGTTCGGTTAAAAAGGGCCAAACGATTATGCTCATGCCCAATAGGCGCACGGCTGAAGTCACTGCTATTATGCAGGAAGATTCAGAGATTACGGTTGCCATGACAGGCGACAATGTGCGTGTCCGTCTTAGAGGGGTTGAGGAAGATGATGTTATGTCAGGCTTTGTCATGTGTCAGATTAAAAAGCCAGTCCATTCTGTCTGTGCCTTTGAAGCTCAAATTGCTATTATTGAGTACAAAAGTATTATGTGTGCTGGATACTCTGCTGTTATGCACATACACACTGCTGTTGAAGAGGTTTCTATCACTGTATGTATACAAAGTGCCAGATCTTGAATGCTGATTTTGTAGATCGATAACTGGATATTGATTTACTCTGCGTGTCTAACCATTGTCACAAACATGTTTCTAGTCTTTGATACATATGATTGACAAGAAAACAGGCCGAAAATCCAAGCATCCACCCAAGTTTGTGAAAAAAGGAGATTCTGTAATTGTTCGTATCGATGTGTCGCAGAGCGTGTGTGCAGAGCCATATGCCGAATATCCTCAGCTTGGCCGGTTTACGCTGAGAGACGAAGGCAAGTAGCTTGTTGCTTGTTTTCATGTGTAGCAATCTCTAATTTAAATGTATTTTAGGTATTACGGTTGCTGTTGGTAAAATCATCCGACTTATAAATGATGCTGTACCACAGTAATTGTCTAATCCAGCTTATTAAAATGACGGATTTGGTTGAAATAAAGTCGAGCATTTCTACATAGTTTCTGCCAAATGTGAATGCAAATTCCAATCTAGTAAAATTGTTTAATACTGAATGACTGCCAGTATCTCGTAACTGGTTCAGAAATTTCAACTCAACCATCCCAAACATTAATGATGCTGCATTCATCTACAACCGAGTTGCACTCTGCCATCTCCAGTCTTGTATCTTGTACAAACAATCTTGACAAGAACATGAAAGATCTACGGTGCGTTGGGTTATCGATGCCAGTGTTGGCCGTACAATTCCACCGAGTCTTGCAAATATCATACTAAAGACTACTGCTGTATTATCATAGGTCGGATCTGAGCCAAGTCACTGAATCCAGCACCACTGCTCTTACATCTAGTCAGATATACGGTTTAGAAGCCTTTCACCAGAGACTTTTATCGCATTGTGCCCAACAAAGCCTTCATATCAATCATATTCTATCTGACACTGAGGATGGAAACCAAACATCCTCTCGACCAACATCTGCAACACTAGTCAAGGCAGCAGAAGCAGCACTGTTTCATTTTCAAGCCCAGTCAGAGTCACTCAAACAAGTGTTGATTGACCAAGGTATTCCCGATATGCAGGATCTAGATGTGAAACTTCAGCCTATTCCATCTATCCAGCAATGCTCAACCCCAAAACTGCCATCACATCCTGTAAAACGACGGTGTGATGTTCTTTCACCATGGACTCCCAGAACTGCACCACCGCAGCCAGATTTTACCAATGGGTTTGCCAAGTCTACAGATAATCATCACATCAAAGAAGCCTTGGCTACTAATGAACTGGATAAGCTGGCTGATCTGGATGATATGTTGGATACAATGACATTGGAGGATCTGGGCTTATCTTCGCTCAGTCGAGATCTGATTGAAGACAAACGTTTTGTGTCCGAGACCAATCTAAATCATTATTCTACTCCAACCACATACTCCTCACTGCCATCTGTTCATACTGCCAGGTAAATAGAATCGTGTTTGCTTTATGTCTTTATGGACCGACTTGATGAACCACTGAATATCTGTAATCTGTACATACTCTACATGTGGGGATTTGTAGTCAATCTAAAACTCAGCTTCAATCGCCACTAATACCTCAAATTAGCGGCTCTCATTTTGATGGTTTGGAAACCTCTTTCAATCCATCCATAATACCACAAAAATCAGGATCTATGCCAAAAAACTTTACATTGCGAGGACTGTCCGATGCTGAATTCAAGCTATTGGAACCATTTTGGCGCTGCCAAATCACACACCAGGTTTGTCACCGCTAATGATATATCTATCATTTACAATCTACATTTGCTATCAAGTACTTACATTTAGTTCAATTTGAACATCTTGCCTTTGTATAGTTTGTTGAAGATACCATTAGCGGTAAGTAGATTGAATATTGCATAACTTGCTATGAATTTAAATTTCTTACTAGATTCACTTTCATCAATCTGCAATATAAAATTCTATTTAGAAATAAACGAGTTGGCCGTTGATAAGAGAATGATGAGTGGCGGTGTAATGCAACCAGAAGCTGACAGATTTACTTTGGCGGAATTAACCCGATCATCTCAGATGGGTATGTTGATTCCAACCTATCATATACTTTATCGAGCTTCTTGATATATATGCTGAAATGATGGAATGCATATATTATATTCTCTTTTTTAATTGCCAAAAAACAACTCGATACTAACCTTTCTACTGGCTATGGATTAAACATTTAGATTCAACAAAACTGAATGATGTATTATTGGCACTTTTACAGATCAATCGTATCCGTCTGGTTAAAGCTGGTACTACTTTTGATGATCAATGCTATGGTTTTGCCGAATCTCAATAAGATCAAGTAGAATGAATGTGAAACTACACGCCTTGTCAATTTTAGTGGAGTTTGGTCTTGCTAAAAGATAGGTTTGGTGCTCTAAACCATTGGGGCAATGAGCATCATGGTGTGGTTGTGATAAAATAGAGTACTTGTTTACCAGTGGTATACAATGCATGTGTGTACAGCAATATCAATATAACTACAATAAGTCAGCCCGATTGTAAATAGCTGCAATTTCATTAGATGGTTACTGGACTGGAAAAATGCGCAGTAATGATCAAGGTGTCAGAAATATACATACAACAATGCATTTAAAAACTCTAATAAAAATACAAGTGATGCCATAAAACCAATGGCTCTGACTGATAATCCACATGCCAATCAACTACTCAAATCGTCATATATTACAAATGCAGTCCATGTTCTACACGACGGATTCGAGCAGCTTGCAAAATTCCATCAATACACGCACGGCGTCGACGTCGACGAAGATGGAGTAAATTGTCTTGCGAAAGAGGCTGTCGCATCAGTGCTCGCATATCATCCAGTCCTGGATCCGATACATACCCGAGCATGTGTGAGTGAGCCGACTCGATCAAATTACGGTTCTCAGTATCCCAAACCGGCATATGGATTCGCGAATGTTTATTAAGATCCTGCATTCGTTTAAACGTACGTCCACATATTGTGCATGCATGCGGACGCAGTTTAAGATGCACCCGGATATGCGATGTTAAATGGTCCCGTTTAGATCGAAACACTGTGCATCGATCCCAATGACAATCAAGACAAAGATTGCCTGTCGTTTTGCGTCCAATATGGTCGTCGCAGATATGTCGATACAGTAGGTCGCTCGATGCAAAACTGTAAACGCAGCGTGATGGAAATACCCACAAACAAGCCAGTTTGGGTTCTGCACTGTCAGGTGCTGTCGTTGCAGTGCTGCTGACTACTGCAACGTCGTGTGAACCACCAACAGAATGTGCAGGTTTGCCCGACTCCATTACTTTTTCGTCGCCACCATTTGTCGACCACTGATCTGGAATCACCAATGGCGACGTATCAGTTGATGCGACCACAGCAGTTTGCGGTAATACACGAGCAGCGCTTGAACAAGATTGCATGTCAATGGCTTCAGTGCTGGTTGCATGTGTCCAAATCGTGTGCCCAGTGGAATCAAGACAACGTTGTGGCATCACCAACGAATTCGGACTTGGTTGTCGAGTGGTACAATTAACTGCATTGATGGACGAATCTGCGTTGGTCAATGGATACACAGTTGTATGTATTGAATGTTGGTGTTTATACTTGTCATGTATTGTATCTGGATACTGTGACTGTTCAAGATCGTGTCGCTTGGTGTGTTGAGTTTGGTGGTCACGTAAACTGTGTGTTTGTTGGGTATACTGATTGTGCAAATTGTGTTCCTGTTGGGTATACGGATGTTCACGTCTGACCGGTAATACTGCTTGCAATATTTTTGTTGGTGATATTGGCGATATTGTTGATACCGATGATTCCATTGCTGAAACTGACATTGATGCAAACGACGAAACGGGAGTTGTCGCATAAACTGGTGGCGGAGTGATTCTTTGTTGAGCTGGTGCAAGCGATTGTCTGTTCCATTCATTCCGACTAGATGGCTGAGTTGCTTCTGACCAGTTTGACGGACGTGGTCCAAAGTTGGTCTGGTCTGTATTATCACGTAATGGTGTATTGGACAGTGGCATCATATGCGTGTTTTGGTCGTAAAGGTATGTTCTGGTACTATTAGGATTGAACGTGGACCGTTGTATGGACCATACATTGCCAGTAATGGTTTGTATTGAAGGAAGTGTTTGCTGCAAGACTTGAGAGTCACGTTGTGGTGGTAGTTCTATTGGGTGTAATTCAGTCCATGTCACTGGACGTCTTGTATCTTGAATTGGACGGTGTTGTGCAATATGTTGTCGTAATGATAATGCCATAATGGACGGTAGTGAGCTTGGCGAATGGAATGAAGGATTAGAATATGCCGAGTGAACTGAATGCGGCGAAATGGGTGAATAAGACGCTGATTGAATATGTGAATTTGGCAGCACTTGAATATGCGAGTTTGGCAAATCCATTGATAAATGCGCATGTCTAGCCATTGGAAATGCGGGCTGTTCAGTAACCAATGATGATGACACTGGATAATTGAGCATTGTGGCAAGTGCAGTTGGATGTGAGTTCAAAGTGTCTGATGAAACGTCACGATGTACTTGATAGTAATGTGATTGAGTCGGTGATTTGTACACAGATGATTGGATAACGGGTTGTACTGGCGAGTGCCCAGATGGATGATGTTGTTGATGGTGTTGTTGTTGATCAAAAACAGAGCACTGTTGTTGTACAAGAGTCGGCTGTATCTGATCGTGTCTGCTTGATACTTGCTGATGGTTGGGTAATGCACCCGTTTGATGGCGGCAGTCTAGACAATGACACTTGGTTATTGATCGCGCCTTGTCATCTTTGGCTATTTGACAAGTGAGAGGCTGGACCAGACATGGTAGCAATGTAGTTTCATGTGCCTGATGATATTGACTGTGGATGCTATTGTGGGTCAGTGATTTATGGATGTGTTTAGAAATGGAGGTGCAATCCTGTCGAGGTTGGTCGGCATGTGTGAGGATAAACGAACCATTTTTTCCACTTTCTTTGGCTACCACGGCTTGCACCATTTGCACTTGATTTGCAGAAATGCAAGAAATGGCAGTCTTGTTTTATCTGCAGAACTCGTCCCCTATTTTACTGTTTGATGCACAGCCTCTGCTAACGTGTTGGTGGATGTAATGGGTAACTTGTCTGGGAATCAATGTGACTAGCCAATGACTATGGTGGTGAGCAGGCTGGCGGATCCCTTAGGTTTGACCACATTGAGAGCGACGTGATTATCGTGTTGGTCGGATTAAATCCAAAGCCACAACCATTAGTATTGTATGGGTTGAGTGATGCACCCAAGCCTCAATCCTGCCAGTATCCCATCAATCATCTACTACTGATTCTGTTGCAACAGTGTATGGTTTACTGTTATTGAGACTGTTGTTTTGTTGGGCTACTCAGCCTTGTTGCACAATCGGAGTGACGGTTATTTTAAAACTACCGACTGCATTGAGCTGTGCTGTCAACCCAACTTATGGGCTGTCGAATGATCAATTGAACTCGAGTAAACTCCGCACCAGTCTGTATGGAGAGTGTTGGTTGTTAATTTATGCATTGTCGGCACCAGTTGGATTACCAAACAATCCACTTGATCAACAGCATTACTGGTATTAATATATTTGTAAATCCACATTGGTGTTGCTTACAAATACAGATCAAAACAGTATTGTAAACTACAGTTGGTGTTGTCATGCTGCTTACAATTGGTCATTTATTATTGCTCAACTTTAGTCTTGCTCACCAATTACTAAATACTCTCAATCACATTGACATTTAATCATTCAATTCATAGAATATTTCATCAAGTTCATCCAACTGAATGCTGAATCTTTGCTCAAGTTCAATCCAAATAGAATTTAACTTGCAAATCTCAGCAAACTGTTTGCTAATTTGAATGGCAAGAGCATCTATTGTTCATTTCTCCGTATCGCGGCGACAATCTGACTTGTTGACACGGCCAGTTTGCTAAACAGTCTGCGACTTCTCTCGATTCAATATAGGACAGCATTGACAGCTGTAAAATGATCAATATTTGACATCACTAATAAAGATAGCGATACAGTTGTGGAAACAGACAATCTCAAGAAACAACTCATCCTGCTGCTCGTCCAACGGATTGTATACGCTTGGCTACAACGTCCTATTATGCACGAGTCTGGGCTGCATGCGGAGTCTCTCATCTCATTTTTGATGGCGGGGAAAACTTGCAGCCCAAAATGTAAATCTGTCTTTCCCAAACCCTCTTGTCCAAGCTTCAAAAGGGTACTGTGAATTTGGCGAGAGTTGTAAAAGTAGCAAAGGAAACCCCGCCACGCATGAGAGTGGTTGAATGAAATTTATTAGTACTTTTCAAATACATGATATACACTGATGGTGATACTTGCTGACAATTTCTCATTTTATTTTATCTCTCCGTTTTCATGTCCTTTGTCACTAGCTGTGATGAAATAGGGCAACGTTTTTGCTCAGTTGAAATGCCACAATAGTAATGTATATGCTAATCTTCAAGGCATTTATCATTTGCGCTTCCCTTTGTTTGAGTACCATAGTTTGAGGGTTGAATCAGCCGAACATGAACATAAAATTGGTTCGGTTGGATGAAAGCTGACTTCATATACACGATCTGTATGGCCCTCGAGTCGTTGCATCAGCTCAGCAGATCCCTGTTCAAACAGCTAGTTAGACATGTTTTGTTTTAACAACTGAATGATTTAGATAAAAATATACCTCGACTGATCCAAGACTATATATATATACAAAAGGGTCTGCTGACCCTGTGGCTAGCAATGTGTCTGTTGCAGTAGATTTATCGAGTCTACTGGTAAAACAAGAAGGCGTTAGTATCTCGATTCCCTTTTAAATATCACTACCGAGACCCATGTCAGAATATACTACAAATATACTTACGGCGTTGTCTCCATTCCTTCACCCGAGGCGTCGTTTTTTCCAAACATATCCTCCGCACTTTGGCCACGAAGTGAGGTAATTGCTAGTATGTACAGCAATTTACAAAGTGCAAGTTATTAGATCAAAAATGCATATCATTTCGGTGTGTTTGAATCCAACTTGTTGATTCTCTGAACCAAACTTGGATGCTAGTGAATTAAGGATGATGCATAATTAATTTACTTTCTCGTGGTCTAAAGAATGCGCTTTTAATTGGCCAGTTTTTGTTTTTGTATCCCTTTAGCATGTGCACCAGATGATACGGACTAAATGGTGGAGTAAATCCCCGATCATATACTCGGATTACTATTCAAGTACAGTTTGGATTATAATTATTAGATATCAGCACAATATATCATCAAAAGTATATTGACAAATTGGCCATACCATTCTCGTAACTATTCACTGCCATATATCTAAAATCTTCATCTTTGTCTAAGAGTGCAGTGGATAGTACGTCAGCACAAAAGTGTTAGTAAACTCAGTTATGTAATTGTAGCACCAGTTGCTGCTACACAAGTGATGCTTAAAAATACAAGTACCTGTTGTTGAACGACAACATGCAATATGTGATATTGGTTTCTTGATTGATTCGTTCAAAACCGATTTTCCTGTGCGAATATCCCAAGTGCGGATACAGCCAGCTGCGTCTCCAGATATGACATACTGACCACAGTTTGAAACATATCTGAGGCAAAAGCAAAAGTGGTGTTAAACGGTAGTATTAGATAAAACAAAACAATATGTAAAGCTCAGATCAATCTCATCCTGAAAATATTAGATACACTCACAAAGAGTTTACCATACTGTCATTGCGCATTGTAATTGCTGCTGTAGGATCACGTCTATCCGTGACACATAAAATGCTGCGTGAGGTTCCTGAAAAAAATATATGCTTATCTATTTTCAAGTAAGCAATGCATATTAGTATTTGAAGACAAAAGCAATGATTAAAATGCAAAGTGTTCTTCAAGCTATAGTCAGATATAATAATACTACAATTAATAATGATTTACCTTGTGGACTAAACATAACACATTGCACAAATCCCTCGCTGTCAAAAGATTCCACAAGACGACCCAACTCAGTATCCCAGATTTTACACGTTTGATCATATGCACCAGATAGCAACTCTGTGGAATCTGACGACCATGATAGATCAGACACGTTAAGTGTATGACCGCGCAACGTATGGACCTGTATTTAAACATTGCATTAGTTTAAAGTCTAGTTGGCATCATCCTTAGACTTGGTTATACCAGTAAACTATCCTTTTAATCTACAATCAAAAACCAATTCAACCCAAAAAAATAATGCACCTCTTTTTGATCCCAGATGCGAACAGTTTTGTCAAACGAGCCCGAAGAAACAAATCGCCCACATGGAGAATATTGCACTGCATAGACGGCTCCAGTGTGACCCTTGAAGCATGATTAAAAATAGCAAAGTTGAAACATTTCACTGTCAAGATTTGTAATGACTATTTGATATATAATCTAGATCACTTTGACCATCAAATTAAAAATGACATGAAACAGTCGATGAGGATTGCCGCACCTTGAGTTCATGCTTGAGATAAAAATGTTTCGAGTCTTTGCCTCCTTGTTTGTCTCTGTTGGCAACTAAAACCATTCCAGATCCAATGTTAGCAATGCATTAATACCATCAAGCGTTCTATTATAACAATGCACCCAGAATCTAGCCAAACAGATTGTGGGTGCAGATGAATGCTCGACAGATCTAGCCCATATCCATCAGCACAAAATAGTGTCAAAATAAACTACGACTTCAGCTAAAAAGCAATGCATGTTGATTGAATCTTGCCAATCCTAACTATATCGACAGCTCACTAGCAGACAACTTGATGATACTGTAAAATTTTACACAACGTACCAAACCGCTCGTCAGATGTATCCTGCTCGGTACCTTCCAGTAACGAGTTAATACCAGCATCATGGGCCGAACCGAGCAGCTCTCCAGGATTGAATGGTTGCAACTTATGAGACATGGAATTGTATCTTGAAGACAGCTCAAACAGTGACTTCTTCAACAGCATGTTCTCCCTTTCCAGAGTTTCTACCTTTTGTTTAAGGATTCGATGCTCCTTACTGGTCTTTTCTGGATCCATAACAGATTATTAATACGGATTCCGCTCTGATTAAACTGTGGAATGGAGGTATGTAAAAGTGCAACCCTGCACTCTATATCTGAATTCAATAGAAAATGGTCGAGACCGATAGATCTAGTATAATCAGATAACAAAATGTCAAGATATTCAACAGCACAATCACCAAATTGTATTTAGTGCGAATCACATGTTTTACAGTCGTATTCACACAAAATGGAACTCTTTCTAGTGTTTGCTTTGGATAAAGAATGATTGAATATTCATTCATTTTTCTATTACAAATTGACTATTTTAACAAACACAGCGTTCATCATACAATCCAATCAGATTATAGTTTTGAATTAAAACTATAATTTGACATAATCATTCACTACGATCGCCAAACTCGCTTATTGTCATTCAGGTATTAGGTTCGACTATTCTTAATCAAGCTTCACTCTATTGTATGCTAAAATCACAAACACGCTTGCGCTCTAACAAAAAACAAAGGCTGCATGTGCTGGGAACACAACTGCTGTTTTCATGCCAGCCATTAGGAGAAAAACCAGATGACACAATGTTGTCCAGTCATTGATCTTATCTACGATTTATAAATCAAGGCATTATATATATAATGAAAATTTCAATTCATTGCCTTTTCTACTGTACAATAACAGAGTTATCACGCATATGCTCCTGTCTATTGATTATCTCTTGTATTGACAGATTTCAAGGTAGCAAGTATGGCAGATGCTTTGAAAAATCAGTGCTTTGGATTTGATGTTCAATCAATCACAGTCGATTTAATGTTGGCTTGATTTAGCTGGGCTGGCCAATCCAAACATCCAGTGATTTGGATTTTGCACAGATCTGACTGGAGTTTGCTTATAAACCTCGCAATTGACATTCCACTCTGTACCAAAATCACCCCTATTATCAAACTGCCATTAGTCACTTGCATTATTCAAAAACTCGGAATTACTCATTTAAACCATCAATGATGACACAATACACATGATTCCAAAAACGTAAACGCGCTACAGCTTAATCTTTTTAAATAATTACCTTAGTACAGAGCTAGAATCAACATAAAGTTGTCTACCAGTATGAAGATGAGTAATAACTCCAACTGTGCCAGGTTCAATAATTGTTCCTTCCATCTCCATACGGTATTCCGCATCCGACCATTCATATTTCCTAGTAGTTTTCAATTCATGTTTAAATTCAATACAATTTTACACTGATCGTATATGGTAATTTCTAATAAACTCACCAGACTGCGTTGGAATCCCCATCAAAAGAAAAGTAACATTGCTGCTTTTCAGCGCTTTTAAAATCCGCCATAGAACGCATTTTGGATGCTAAATACAGCTATTCAATGACACCAATTGGTTGGTTTGAATTAGTCAATTACTAGAATTCATTCAACTGGATTGCAACCCAATGTGACAAGTCATCATTTACAAATATTCCATCAACACAATTTCTTAAAATCAGTGCTTTGGTGAATGATAAGATACTTACAGGAGCGTTAATTTGAGGAAGGTGAATTGTGATATAAATATGTTCTCCCCATCTTGGTTGTTTGTCATATCCTGGTCCAAGATCGATCTTTCTCTCGAGTCGAAAACACATGCGTGCTTTTGAATCCAGTCCATCCATTTGATCTTTTAGTGATACTGTAGCGGGTAGTGCGTTTTTGGAACTCAAATCTGGATAGCACTCTGGTGTATTTACAGTAAGAAACCCTTTTGAAAACATACTCTATCGAATTAACATGTAGAGAATTAGCCATCAGAATAATTGATTATGATTTATGTGAAACATATTATTCTTGTTCAATAACTATTTGGATCAATGTATCCTTCAACTTTACCTTGATTGTCATGTTTTCACCAAATAACAACGTGGAGGATAAAGCAACCTATTTGAAAATGCATCACAATAATATTGCTTAATCTAATTAGCAATTCAGTATTTCAATTAATGGTTGCTTTTAGCATTGTTTAGATTGCATATTTGTGTCGTTAAAAATGTAGTCATTGAAATGCTCAACATTACTACTCACTGGCTGGTCTAATATTTCTGCTCTGCGCTGGCGCTTCATAAAACCCATATCCCCTTTTTCTATTTTTTCTCGAAACTCTCGAAGTTTTTCCTAATGTATATTTATTGAAGCTTAAAGATAAGTATCAATCTAGTTTAGTGTATATATGCTTTGATTGAATTCATACGACTCCATATGCAGCCACGCGAACCAAGGTTCACAATATAGCTGGGTGAATTCAACACCTTTACATCAACAAATAGCTGGGCATGAATGCATGCACTATATAGGTATTCAATAATTGTATATGGTTGATAATACAATAGATATATGCATACCTCACGCAGCATAGACTCTTCACACCAATTGCCGACACGTCGAGACACTTTTCCAGGCACCAACATTGCTACTTTTCCAAATGTTTGTCAAATGCAAACTAAATAGCACTTTGTAAATCTATTCATAGCATTATTTCCACAGGTTCATTATAAACCAACTATATTGAACCTTGACAAATGCGTGTACTTGCAAGTCTATTTGAGCAATCTCGAGTATTTAGCGTATGAATATCACTGGGTTTATTTATTTCTTTGATTTGACTTTGAGATCCTTTTTTTTATCATCTTCCAAATTGCCTTCAATTTTTTTCAATTTAGCATTGATATGCTCTTCTTGAGCCGTAAGTTTAGTCAGTAAAGTGGATCGCATGTCGTCCAGTTTGGTTGCCAAAACGGATGAAATGAAACTTTTGAGTTCTATAATAGCCGCCTCTTGTTTTCCTGATGCAACAGATTTCGATACATCTACGAATCATAGGAGTCAAATTGTAATGAAATGAAATATTGCACTCATTGCAGATTAGCAAACGGTAATTGAACATTCAGACATAATAGGCAAAAATCATATATAATCAACATACCTGAAACAATGAATTCGCTAGATTTTTCAAACCCATTCGTTTCATCATGTTTTGTGATATCTTTTGATGGCATTCCTGCTGAAATCGTATGAGCAGTACATGTCTGTAAAGCGTATGGGTGTTGTCCAAGGGTAGACCCATGAGAAATATCCTTACTGATCGTTGCTGGTGAATGATCTGACATCATTGCAGTGTCTGATGGTTTAGACGCATCTGTTGATGTGATTTCCTCGCGTGCCAGTTTGGTTATTGAACCACTGATTTCAAGACGAGCATCTTTACTACTTTCAGCATCATCGCATTTCTATGGATGTATTTAAAAATAGCCAATTCATAACCATGATGATTGATTTCACTAAATGAATTAGTTTTTGCTATCCATACACATACAAACTTGAATTTGTCCATATTCGACGGAATTTTAGTTAAGCTGGAAACATGTACAATATCTTGTATATAAAACCACTATACCTCAGCATCATAGGCTGCTTGATAAGCAGTTTGATTATCAGACAACTTGTCATCTACAGTATCTTGCTCAGTAGATTCTTTGATATCGTCATGATTGGACATGAAATTTTCAACAATTAGATTCATACGAAGTTTTTTGGTAAACACGTATTTATACATGAGATAGTGTCGAAAGTATCTGTTGAAAAATATATTAGCAGACGCAAATAATACAATCCTTAAGCTGGTGTTTGCATAGATACCATACAATAAACCATGTACTGATTTTAAATCAAAATATACATTTATCAAATATAAAAATAGAAACAAATCAAAGCGATGCTTACGTATGGGTGATGTACTCGGAAATAGTCTTGACCTCACTAAGCGAGAATATTTTTTCACTAAACGGTGGGCGATGAATTGCATGCTGCATAAGCAGATGTTTAAAGTACGCATAATCTTTTTCCATGTTAACTAGCGACGATGCTGGTATATATTTCCAAATAGTAAAGTGGTATTTATATAAACAGTATTAAACGATCGATAATGTATTAGTTGATTGATGGTTTTTAAATACTTACATCTAACCCATACATTGACTTACACACAACCTCTTTATGAAGTTCTTTTAAAATAAAAAGAAATGCGCTGGTTTGTTTTGCGGCAAATCCAATTTCTTTTGTAAAACTAGACAATACTATTAGATTCTTTGAAAATACAAGAAAATGCATTCAGGACCAATAAAAATACCTGAGAGAGTGACAGTATAAATCCAATAGAATCTCGTCTTTTTCATTGTTTTCAAGCTTGAATATACCTTGCAAGTATCTAGAGAGTAAAAATGTGAATTGAATTAATGTCGGCCATATTCACATTTGATAGCCAATATGAAACGCTATTGCTTTCTGCTACACATTCTATTCCTACTTGAGAGAATTTTGAGATACTCGCGTGGATTGATAATCATATATTTGCTTCATAGACAGTTCCTTCCTTGAATTACAAAGTAAATGTAAGCAGTTTAGTTTAATAACAAAGTTTGAATATAAAGTTGTTGAATATCATAGTCAATGTATGTCACTACATCAGTATTAAAGACACTTACCATGTAAATGGCTTGGCCTGGAATAGTTTCAACAGCAAACAAATCAGCATAATAGGCTAACAGACTCATGCATGACCCAATTTGAAAAACATTGACTAACCATAGCTGTTTAAGATGATTTTGTATTTAGAATGTTTTAAACTAAGTTGTTTAGATGCTGTCCAAAGGGTTTAAATTCGCGCGATAAAAGTTGGAGGCAAGTGATGTGGAAAGTTTACCTGACATTTTACCATTACAGACACTGGTTTTGAAGTGCTCGACCAAATATATATTACGCTAAAGTCATCTAGATTAATCATAAACAGGAAATGAAGCAGCACTTGTATACAATAGAAACACTATTATTCAAACCAAGGAAATCTGAATTTATTATTTAGAGTTTAGGAGTTTTATGGGGATCATCATCTCGTAAAAAGTTGCCATCACCCAAATATTCAATATAATTTCCAGATTCACCGCCCGGTCTATACAAATAAAGCAGTAGTGCACCAGAAAATAAAAAATGATCAGTCAGGGTCAAATGTAACAACAGTGTACTCAACAATCATTCAGTCAAAACAATTTACCTGGGACCCAGAAGTGTAATCATATCATCACGCCCAATAACTTCTTTTTCTAAAAGTAAAAGAGCAACTTTGGATACATCTTCCTTGCGCTCAGTAAGCAGCTTAATAGTACGCTCAAAAGCGGCAGCAATAATTTTACGCACTTCATCATCGATCATTTTAGATGTCGACTCAGAGTAAGGTTTCTGAAATTGACCATCCTGGCTGTCAGGACGACCATATGAAATATTTCCGAGCGCTTCGCTCATACCATAAGTGGATACCTGTGCATACGCCATCTTGGTCACCTTTTGCAGATCATCCTGCGCACCAGTTGTGATGGAGTTGAAGAAAATCTGCTCAGAAACACGTCCACCCAAAGTCATGCACATCATATCAAGCATTTGAGCAGTCGACTGCAAGTATTCTTCCTTTGGCAGATACTGAGCATAGCCCAGAGCACCCATACCACGAGGAATGATGGATACTTTAAGAAGTGGATGAGCATGCTCAAGAAACCATCCAGCAACAGCATGGCCAGCTTCATGGTGTGCAACAATTCGTTTCTCATGAGGAGAGAGAACACGAGAACGTTTTTCAAGACCAGCAATAACACGCTCAATGGCGGCTTCAAAGTGAGTAATCAAAACAGAGGGAGCGTTACCACGAGCAGCAATCAAAGCCGCCTCATTGCACACATTGGCTACATCGGCACCAGAGAATCCAGGGGTGAGTGCAGCAAGTCTTCGAGCCAGTTTTTCAATATCTTCGGGTGTCTTGATAGGTCGCAAATGAACCTTGAAGATGGCAACACGACCCTTGATGTCTGGCAGATCAATAGAAATTTGACGATCAAATCGACCAGGACGCAAAAGTGCGGGATCAAGAACATCAGGTCTATTAGTACCAGCGAGCACAACAACATGCTCTGTCGACTCAAAGCCGTCCATTTCTACAAGAAGCTGATTAAGAGTGCTCTCACGTTCGTCATTTCCACCCATCTGACCACCCTTGGAACGGGCCTTGCCAATGGCATCAATCTCGTCAATAAAAATAATACAAGGAGCGTATTTTTTGGCACTAGCGAATAGATCACGAACACGTGAAGAGCCGACACCAACAAACATCTCGATGAATTCGGATCCAGATACACTTAGAAAGGGAACACCAGCCTCGCCTGCAGTAGCCTTGGCAAGCAATGTCTTTCCTGTTCCTGGAGGACCAGACAGCACAGCACCTTTTGGAATCTTGGCACCTAGCTTTTCATAGTGATCGGGATCTTTCAAAAATTTGACAAACTCCATGACTTCTTCCTTGGCTTCATCCATACCGGCAACATCCTTGAACTTGACCTTGATATCAGTTTCTCTATTGAAAAGTTTTGCTCGAGATTTACCCATGCTAAAGATTCCCTGCGCGCCTCCAGCACCACCGGTGCGTTTTGACATCCAGTAGATAAAACCAACAAAGATAAGAGTGGGTGCTAGAGTAAAAAGCATAGAGGATGTGCTAAGTTCACTGGTAAAAGAAACCGGGATGCGCTCATGAGTGGGAATACCAAGTTCTCGTTGAGCAATTTCCAAATTCCGTTCAAACGATTCAACGCTTCCAATAGTAAAATGAAAATGACTAATGTTGGGAGTTCCAGAGATTTTGGCAACATGGGCCATTTGTGGAGCATCTGGACGCAGGTACACTTTGACAGCATTTCTATTGACCACTACCAGATGATCGACATACCCCTTATCAAGCATGTTGTTGCGGAAGTCATGATAAGTAATTTCTTGATCACTTGCTATCTGACTATACAATTGCCAGGAAAAGAAAAGCAAGGGCAATCCATACAATGCAATGTTTGCAGGAGTCAAGTTAAGTTTGAATTCAAATATTTCTGGAGCGCCATCTTTTGGAGGGGCTTTTGAGCCTAGAAAGTAGTAGTATAATGCAAACTGGTTAATATTGCACACTAGTTATCAGTGCATCTAAAAAACAGGCAATATAGCCAAGACAGTAGTTTTAAAAGGGGTTTATGGGCTTAAACATAGCATGCCAGTATAGAAATCGATCATATACAAGTGCATGTGTTGATAGAGAACAGATCAAAATGACAAGAAACCACATTCAGCATCAAAAAAAGTGATCAGTTGCATAACATTCGATAGTCTATCAAGACGACAGGAAATCAGGGAAGATATGCACACCAAGTGCTAGATCAGAACTGTAGTGTTTGAATACCTTTGCGTTTGTCAGAAGACTGTCCAGGTCCATTCTTGTCGTTTGAATCCTTGTCTTGCTCCTTTTGGGAATTAGTGCTTCGTTTCTTATTGCTTTCGTCGTCGTCAGGATCAGAATCTGAAGAACGGCTGTCTTTGGTATCAGCAGCTTTCTTGGAATTCTTGCGAGCAGTTTCAAAAAACTGCTCAAACCCTTTAGGTATCCGATCGGGTGTAGAGTTTTGAGAAGTAGACATGCGTAAAAGTGATCTGGCAGAGTAGTCAGTCCAAGGATTGGCAATAGGCGAACCACTTGAAGTCCTATGCCGAGATAGCTCGGACAAGGTGGACATGTGGCAAGTAAGAGGGGGGAAGGAGTGATTGACAGCCAGTCTGAGTACAGAGGCAACAGTCCTCCTGGTAGCCAACACCGCCGTCATTTATTCCTTATCAAAGACAACAGCAAAATGATCGAGTTGGAGAAAGTCGGTCGAATTGGTTTGATTTGAAATCAATTTGAAATCAATTTGATGACCAGTCAAAAATCCGAGTTTCAGTCTGCGACATTCGATATTGTGCGAATGCAGTTTTTGGAATGATCGATTCTTGCTTGAACATTGAATTGCAACACTTTCTACATTACTGCATTCAAGTCAAATTTGAACTTTTACTAGCAAATAATGAGTCAGATGTGTTTACAGCCATCTCGCTTTGGTAAAAAACTTGCATTTAAACAGTTTGCTGATATTTGCAAGTTAAATTCTATTTGGATTGAACTCGAGCAAAGATTCAGCATTCAGTTGGATGAACTTGATGAAATATTCTATGAATTGAATGATTAAATGTCAATGTGATTGAGAGTATTTAGTAATTGATGAGCAAGACTAAAGTTGAACAATAATAAATGACCAATTGTAAGCAGCATGACAACACCAACTGTAGTTTACAATACTGTTTTGATCTGTATTTGTAAGCAACACCAATGTGGATTTACAAATATATTAATACCAGTAATGCTGTTGATCAAGTGGATTGTTTGGTAATCCAACTGGTGCCGACAATGCATAAATTAACAACCAACACTCTCCATACAGACTGGTGCGGAGTTTACTCGAGTTCAATTGATCATTCGACAGCCCATAAGTTGGGTTGACAGCACAGCTCAATGCAGTCGGTAGTTTTAAAATAACCGTCACTCCGATTGTGCAACAAGGCTGAGTAGCCCAACAAAACAACCGTCTCAATAACAGTAAACCATACACTGTTGCAACAGAATCGGTAGTAGATGATTGATGGGATACTGGCAGGATTGAGGCTTGGGTGCATCACTCAACCCATACAATACTAATGGTTGTGGCTTTGGATTTAATCCGACCAACACGATAATCACGTCGCTCTCAATGTGGTCAAACCTAAGGGATCCGCCAGCCTGCTCACCACCATAGTCATTGGCTAGTCACATTGATTCCCAGACAAGTTACCCATTACATCCACCAACACGTTAGCAGAGGCTGTGCATCAAACAGTAAAATAGGGGACGAGTTCTGCAGATAAAACAAGACTGCCATTTCTTGCATTTCTGCAAATCAAGTGCAAATGGTGCAAGCCGTGGTAGCCAAAGAAAGTGGAAAAAATGGTTCGTTTATCCTCACACATGCCGACCAACCTCGACAGGATTGCACCTCCATTTCTAAACACATCCATAAATCACTGACCCACAATAGCATCCACAGTCAATATCATCAAGCACATGAAACTACATTGCTACCATGTCTGGTCCAGCCTCTCACTTGTCAAATAGCCAAAGATGACAAGGCGCGATCAATAACCAAGTGTCATTGTCTAGACTGCCGCCATCAAACGGGTGCATTACCCAACCATCAGCAAGTATCAAGCAGACACGATCAGATACAGCCGACTCTTGTGCAACAGCAGTGCTCTGTTTTTGATCAACATCAACAACATCACCATCAACAACAACATCCATCTGGGCACTCGCCAGTACAACCCGTTATCCAATCATCTGTGTACAAATCACCGACTCAATCACAATACTATCAAGTACATCGTGACGTTTCATCAGACACTTTGAACTCACATCCAACTGCACTTGCCACAATGCTCAATTATCCAGTGTCATCATCATTGGTTACTGAACAGCCCGCATTTCCAATGGCTAGACATGCGCATTTATCAATGGATTTGCCAAACTCGCATATTCAAGTGCTGCCAAATTCACATATTCAATCAGCGTCTTATTCACCCATTTCGCCGCATTCAGTTCACTCGGCATATTCTAATCCTTCATTCCATTCGCCAAGCTCACTACCGTCCATTATGACATTATCATTACGACAACATATTGCACAACACCGTCCAATTCAAGATACAAGACGTCCAGTGACATGGACTGAATTACACCCAATAGAACTACCACCACAACGTGACTCTCAAGTCTTGCAGCAAACACTTCCTTCAATCCAAACCATTACTGGCAATGTATGGTCCATACAACGGTCCACGTTCAATCCTAATAGTACCAGAACATACCTTTACGACCAAAACACGCATATGATGCCACTGTCCAATACACCATTACGTGATAATACAGACCAGACCAACTTTGGACCACGTCCGTCAAACTGGTCAGAAGCAACTCAGCCATCTAGTCGGAATGAATGGAACAGACAATCGCTTGCACCAGCTCAACAAAGAATCACTCCGCCACCAGTTTATGCAACAACTCCCGTTTCGTCGTTTGCATCAATGTCAGTTTCAGCAATGGAATCATCGGTATCAACAATATCGCCAATATCACCAACAAAAATATTGCAAGCAGTATTACCGGTCAGACGTGAACATCCGTATACCCAACAGGAACACAATTTGCACAATCAGTATACCCAACAAACACACAGTTTACGTGACCACCAAACTCAACACACCAAGCGACACGATCTTGAACAGTCACAGTATCCAGATACAATACATGACAAGTATAAACACCAACATTCAATACATACAACTGTGTATCCATTGACCAACGCAGATTCGTCCATCAATGCAGTTAATTGTACCACTCGACAACCAAGTCCGAATTCGTTGGTGATGCCACAACATTGTCTTGATTCCACTGGGCACACGATTTGGACACATGCAACCAGCACTGAAGCCATTGACATGCAATCTTGTTCAAGCACTGCTCGTGTATTACCGCAAACTGCTGTGGTCACATCAACTGATACGTCGCCATTGGTGATTCCAGATCAGTGGTCGACAAATGGTGGCGACGAAAAAGTAATGGAGTCGGGCAAACCTGCACATTCTGTTGGTGGTTCACACGACGTTGCAGTAGTCAGCAGCACTGCAACGACAGCACCTGACAGTGCAGAACCCAAACTGGCTTGTTTGTGGGTATTTCCATCACGCTGCGTTTACAGTTTTGCATCGAGCGACCTACTGTATCGACATATCTGCGACGACCATATTGGACGCAAAACGACAGGCAATCTTTGTCTTGATTGTCATTGGGATCGATGCACAGTGTTTCGATCTAAACGGGACCATTTAACATCGCATATCCGGGTGCATCTTAAACTGCGTCCGCATGCATGCACAATATGTGGACGTACGTTTAAACGAATGCAGGATCTTAATAAACATTCGCGAATCCATATGCCGGTTTGGGATACTGAGAACCGTAATTTGATCGAGTCGGCTCACTCACACATGCTCGGGTATGTATCGGATCCAGGACTGGATGATATGCGAGCACTGATGCGACAGCCTCTTTCGCAAGACAATTTACTCCATCTTCGTCGACGTCGACGCCGTGCGTGTATTGATGGAATTTTGCAAGCTGCTCGAATCCGTCGTGTAGAACATGGACTGCATTTGTAATATATGACGATTTGAGTAGTTGATTGACATGTGGATTATCAGTCAGTCATTGGTTTTATGGCACCACTTGTATTTTTATTAGAGTTTTTAAATGCATTGTTGCATGTATATTTCTGACACCTTGATCATTACTGCGCATTTTTCCAGTCCAGTAACCATCTAATGAAATTGCAGCTATTTACAATCGGGCTGACTTATTGCCATGATTTTATTTTTGAAATCTATTTATTTTATTATATACCTTTTATAAGCGTTTATTCAGAAGTACTTGTTAGTTCAATCATGTCACTTATGCTAAACATACTCCACTCTTGACCACAGTAAAGAATTCCAAGTCCACGCTCATCATCTATCATGTAAACTCCTCGAGGTGTACTGATTAAACTCTTGTTAGGTTTTGGCTCCTCTATCACCCCAATCTTTTTAGAAACGATTTTGACTTGTGCCATATTACTAAGCGGATCATTGATATCGTATACTGCCAGAGTTGCTAAAACATACCCCGCACATGTGTTTTAGTATCGACCACCCCCTTTTAAATTGCCAAGTTCCAACACAATAGACTTACAGTTTTCAGTAAATGCAAGTCCAAGCTGCATATTTTTGTACCATAGCACATTGTCAATTTGTGGACTGTTTAAAGACTTGTATTTTTGATCAGCCGAAATTTGAACCTTTCCATCGAATATCCGAATCTCTGTATTAATTGAAAATTTACTAATTGGCTTGACTCCGTTACTGTTTCGATTTGGTTCATCTGGATAAAATCGAATTATCCCATCATTCCCAGCCACCATAAACTGCGCCTTGTTGTGCTTATGATTTATTAAAAATCTTATCCCAGTAATCTGTTTTTTAATTGTAAATGTGTTTCAACTTTTAGTATCCCAAGTATCATCTCGGTTGTTATATCTCTCATTTGGGTTTAAATTAACAGATATCAACACATTACTTGGTAGATACCTTGAAATCTTTTGGTGATGTGCTCATCAAGGTTCGTGCCCGTACACGATTCTCATTTTTTGGACTGGTTGTATCTACATGATCAGATGTCGGTAAAAGATTGTCCACCCAAGAGGATTTTTGTTTGAAACCTTCTTCCACTTGTGATAAAAATATCTGTTTGCGCATGATTAAAACTCAAGTCATTACATAATACTCAATTATTGCGACTTGATAGCAGTCAATCATCTTCAGGCTACGTACATCCAACACCCACGAGACATTTACTTCGTAATGATCAAGTTGATCCTGCACATCTTCATCTGCTTGGTTTGAGTATAGTCCAGCCGAGTTCAAGTTTAAAGCGTTACTATCTTGAATTTTACTTGAATAATCAGACTCGTGATACTCTGGAGTGTTTACTGATCTGACCTGTGTTTCTCGACCGTATTTTACTCGAAGTAGAACTCCTGTTTGTAATGCTACTATTATGCCAGGATATCGCTTATCTTCACACATATTTGCAACAACAAGTTCCTCTATATCACCAATACATGTTAATATTTGGAACAGAGTTAATTGAACATATTAAGCTGCTACACTATGCTATTCGTAGTAATGACAGTTTTATGCTTGACGTTTTAAAATTGATATTTATGCTATACTCACCCACGTTCTTGAAATCATTAAGCGGAGTTCCAGTAAAATCAAATTTATCTTGTAAAATGGTTCTTGGTATTCGATCCACAGAAGCCAGTTTTAACACATCGCATTTGCATGCCCATTCCAATTCAAAATTAGTTTGAAATGCCTTCAAAACGTGTTCTCCTGTCAGTGTTGCAACCTCTACGACAAGCAGTGGAATGCCTTCCTCTGTGCAGTAGTACAAAACATGAGAAATGGGTATATACGAAATTTGTTGTTGCGCCAACACATTCATGTTAAATTCCTAGTGTCATGTCACATTATGTAGAAATAATTACAATGAGCTTTTATCTACACTGATACACAATCTGATTGTTTTTGGATAAAGAAAGAACTACTGACCGTTTTTTCAGAGTTGGTATCATATTCCCAAATAATTTCAATATTCAATGCCTCGCCACTTTGACAGCCAACGAAAAACATCGTTCTGTGACGGACTAATCGAGAAGGTCCATTTATCAGCTTTAGATTTTCTGGTGACAAAGTATGTCCAGTCTCGGTCAAGTTGGCCATTTTTGTTGATCGGAATGTTGCCATCTGCAAAAGTTTACGCAATGGAAGGTTTTGAATGACTGATCTGGTTTTGTGTACACTTTCGTCTATGCGATCAAATGAAGAGGTGTGACCACGTAGATTTTTCGGCAATGGTATCGAATTGGGATTATTCAAGGAAGATTTGAAAGATGGTAGAGCAGTTGAATCGGCAGTTTGGCTGTTTCTTAGTTTTTGTGAGCTTGGCTCTTGCTTGTTACTTGTGTTGAATTTTTGGGTTGTAGATGACACAGTTCCTTTTGCTTCATGTTCTTGATAGCTTGTGTTGATTAATTCAGATGAAAGTTGGTGGACTAGAGTAATAGGATCACATTTGAGCTCAATGATTGTTTTGATACTGGTTTTTTGCTTTGCATCTACTATTTCAGTAATCCAGATTTCTACAAACCAGGTTTATTAGATACAGTAAAATCACGAGTTACCAGACTAGTCATGCAATGGTTAAACTAAGTTCTTACCAATAATGTTTTTCGTGGTAAACACAGCATATGCGCAGTCGTTGAGCGCCGATACAAATAATATATCACCAAATATAGAATAATAGTGTTTAAGAAGCTTGGGTCGTGCTGTATATTAATAGTTAGCACCTCAATTTAGTATCTATATCGAGATAGGACAAGTCACAATTCACTCCAAACAGATGAATTATTGATCAAGGTATAAACAGTCGTCATGGTACCTTGGAAAAACTTTCTTTGTTGTTGCAGTTGCGCTTTGGCTTCTTGTAACTGAATATCTGTCTTTTCACTTATACTCTTTGCTATCGAAATCTATTTACAATCAATCCAATAGGTTTATATATATCATGAGATTCAATCAAAATCTGCTAGATAAGCCTATTAGAAATACATTGATAAGCGCAGTAGCCGTTTCGTAAATACCTTTTCTTGATTCATTGTGATTTTACGAGCAGTCATTCGAGTCAGTTCATGTCGTGCTCGATCAATCCAGTTGACATTTAACTCGTTTTCTTGAAATAGATTGGCAGCCGCATCTTGGTTTTCAAACATGTTTGAAGGGGTTGTTCGTCGAACAGTGATGGCATCTTTGTATGCTTTTTCTGATATCTAGAGATACCACTCATTAGCATTTAATTGTACATTTGTTCAAGGTATCTCAAACATTAAAACAAACCTCGATAGAAGCTTGGAGCTTTTCAATTGTCTCTTGAGCACTAGCATAAGCCAGTGCTGCATCTCGTTTCTTTTCCCCCTGTTTAGGTGCGCGTATTACAGTTCTGTCTAGTCCGTGTTGGATATTCTTCTGGATACGTTTAAGCGCTGCAGTAGTAGAGCCGTGTTTGTTTAGCTGTGAAGAAGCTGTCTTCGAGTTTTCCATGGATGTAGGCAAAGCATTTGAGACTGATGGTGTGGTAGAAGCTGACTTTTGAGTTGAAGCCAGTGCCTCTGCGATAGCTCGGTCGTTCATCCGAGCTAGTGCTGCTCTAAGAGGTACGGCAGTCGTCCTTTTATTTATTACTGCTGGAAGCGGTGATGCCTCGTCCATCTTTATTTTGCAAAGTTTAGATTTGATTATCAAGTCGGTCGTTGAATTTGGAAATTAGTCTGAGCATACCAAATATTAAATATTGTCGAGAAGCAGGTGTAGTTTATTCACAACGGCGTATTTCCAATCTTGTCGTGTTTACTTTCTACAGACCAAGCCATCAATTTTTTGTAGCTTAATATACTCCACTCTTTACCATTAACTATGATTCCCATTCCTTCTTTGTCATCAATGATGCTGAGATGATGTTCAACTTTGGGTTTTTGGTTTGTTTGAAGATCAGTTGAAGGAGCTACTCCTGGTCTATTTGAAACTACCTGTATTTCAATGGTTGAGCTTTCTGGGTTGGCCAGATCGAACGATACCAACATTGCTGTAATTATATGGTAAATCAATTGAAAAAAGTTTCAATGAGATTAGGTTAGCCAAAAACTTAGATGACAAGCATTGACTGGTTCAGCAATTGAATCGTACATTTGTTGGTAAAAGCTGTAAATAGTTGAGTATCTCGAGTTGTGATGATGTCAGTGTGAGCAATTGATGGTTGCGCATGATATGACACTTTTGTTAAACCGTCTGTATCATCAACAGATCGAACACTTTTATCAAAGCAAATCACGCTAAGTGGTCTAGTAAGAATCTTTTCAATATTGTTTGCAAATATGCGTACAAGACCGTCTGATCCTGTAATGATCAGTTGTGGCTTTTTGTTTTGTAAATTGATGATACACTTCAGAGATATCACCTAAGTATTTTCAAATAAATCTGATTCAGTTTAGCAAAATGGTTTAAAAGCTAAATACTGCAATAGTCGAAAACCTTGTATAATTTGAACCGACCTCAAAGTCGTCTGGCTTGGAGCCTAGCGTGGGGTTGTTTATAAACGAAAGACCTATTCTTTCAGATGTCTGACCAACGATGTACGTTGGAGTACCGTCCTCGACTATATGTATGTTTTTATTTCGATACGGCATCTCTTCATCTGCCTTTTGAAAAAGCTAGATACCATTTAAGATTAGTTGTATTTTATGTGAATGCAACGATAGTTATCAATTAAAGCATTATGACAAATAGTCGACGGATTAATTTACCTCGACACACCACGAAATTTTCAGTAATCGGTCAGTATTTGCTGCTGTGAAGTTCAAACCGTGGGTTTGTTTGTCTGTCTTTGCATCAAAATGGTTTAGTTTTTTGATTTTCTGATTAGTCAAAGGGACAGGAATGGTTTGTGCAGTGGAAAAACTGGTGGGATTGTGGCCAAGATTCCTTGTATAAGTGACACGAACGCATGAACCGTTACGTAAAGCAAGAATCAGTCCTTTGTGATATCTGTCCTCACAGATTGCCGTTATCATCATTTTTTCATATGCTTTAAGATTTTCAACTGCGTGGTCAGCTTTAAAATATTGATTTTGAGAAACAGTACGATTTGCGTGATCTATAGCAACTAAAATAAGGACATCACATTTGCACATCCACTCCAACTTCAAATCCAATGTAAATGATTGTAGAAAATGATCTCCAGAGGCCGAAACAGTTTCGGTAGTAATAATGGATAATCCATCCTCCATCTGCTGAAACTTGGAAAATAAAATAGGAACTTGTGATAGCTTTTTTTGGCATATAATTGAAAACTCGAACTCCTAAAATCGTTGGTTTGCTTCAAGATTAGCACACAACCGTATATGACTCAAATGACATCAACATATAACAGTTTCTATTTATGAATGAATACTTTAAGAGACGCTAAACTGTTGGAGTACTAGAATGATTAATGCCACTTACGATTTTTTTGGTTTTCACGTCAATAGACCAGCTAATTTCAGCTATTAATCCCTGTCCAGTAAAACATCCAACAAAAAATAATGCATGAAATTGACTTGGACTTTTTAACGACTCCAAATTATTTGACGCCAACTCTTGGCATATTTCTTTCCTATTGGCAAGTTCCTCGGACTTCATATTTGGATACTTGAATAGATTTCTCACACGTTGTCGTTTACGTGAGTCGTTCTGTTTTGGTGCTACTGCTGTTGAAAATGGAAGAAACTGATCATCATTTTCATCATCAATGACTATGTCTACAGTATTGGTATTGCTTTGTGCACCAATATGGCTGGATTTCATGGCTAAAATTTTAGAGCCTTCAGCATGCGTGTCGGTCGCGGCTGCGCCATTCTTTGGCGTAAATCTACTTTCCACATACAAATGCTCGATATGTGATATTGGATCTACTTCAATCTGTATCAATTTGCATAGCTGGTTAGACAAAGAGTCATCGTCTTGCACCATCCAAATCTCTTGATAAACCGGATATTGAACATCAATGTAGGGTTTGTGTTGAGCAGAAATTGAAACAGTAAATAGTGACAATGTTAAAATACATTACCAATCTAATTGTGGATAAAAAAGTACTTTTTGATTTGAAATAACACTACCAACGTATTATTTCGTGCAAGACTATACCTATTGTATTGTTTGAACTGAAAACTGCAAATATATTATCCATGAGAGCAGTGACGTTTAAAATATCTCCAAATATACAGTGAAAATGCCGCCTAAACTCTGGTTTTGCTAGCATGCCAAACCAAAATATGTTGGCATGCCAGTATCAGAATTCAAAAGCATATTTAATTATGGCACATATGTTAGAATTGATTGAAAACTTTGGTTATAGGATTAAACAATACAATGCAGATTTATGAATTACATTTATGCAAGATGGCTTTTTTTGCGAAATCCTCTTTGGTTTTTATAATGCGCTTTTTTAAATCTTCAGCAACTGTTTGTGCTTGCTTTATCTACATATTTAATACAGTTGAAAATGCATTTTAAAGATTACCCATTATATAAGTCGTGGTGTAGGATGAAATCGATCAATCGATCGAGTGGATATTCACAATTTGAGCCGTAAAAGTATACCTTTTCTTTTTGTCGGACGCGTTGTTTGCTAATTTGTTCCATTATATCATAATGAGCACGCTGTGTCAATTCCTCAGTTAGCACATCGTTTCCTGATTCTTTTGGGACTTCGATATTTCCAAATGCAGTAACGGCCATTGCTCGTTTTGAAATGATCTGACTCTTGATATTGAACTCAGTGCTCTGCAATGAAATGGCAAATGCAAAGCGCCATCCACATTACATAATTCAACACATATTGTGCAATCATATCAACATCACAAAAATTTAATCAACCTTATTTTTTTTATAAATATATACTATTACCTCGATCGATTGAAGCAGTGATTCAGTTGACTTTCGAATTGCGTTAGTATCCAGTTCCTGTTTCCATTTCATTAGTCTTTTCTTGGTAGATTCCTCTCGAGCAGGATCTTTTCCAGGACTTTGTGAAGACGATATTGTTTTGCTGAATGACATAGCTTTTTTATTTTCTATGGCCAACTTGTTGGATTTGTGAGCAGAGATCAGCGAAGTACCTTTGTATTTTGCTCCTATTGTGGCTCTGTGCTGAGTTTTAAAATCCATAGTTAAAAATGGCTGTGATTAAAGCAATCAAGATATGTGTAGCAGTAAGCAATAGTTTAGTCAATTGTGCAAATATTTTGTGGTTTTGTGCAAACTTGTCAATTTTGCATATTTTGAAGTTTCAACAGTATCCATTTGTTCACAAGATCCGCACTTTCAAATTAGATTGGCATAGGCAAGGGCACAGCAGGAGAATAAAAGGAACATTTACCATATATAGATGATGCACAGTAATTTTATTGGAATAAGAAAAAACATATTAAAGAGTAACCTTTTGGGGTTTCTCGCTAGTGGGATCGCTATCCGTATAGATACCAACACCACCAGGTGTCCAAACGCGAAAATGCAGCTCACCATACATGACAATCCAGCCCAAACCACCAAGCCAGATACGAGTCCCGTCTTTGTTGTATCTAGACTCTGAAGCAATAGCAAAAGGCGGGAGTGCATTTATACGGTCCTTACCATATGGCGGAGTCATGATCTGACTGTTGATGCCGGCATGCTCATCCCAGAGCGAAGCCATTCTAGATTCTCTGCAGCCATGAATAGGGAGAACATGGCACCCATAAAACCAAAAGCTGGATGCTGTCTTGGTTTTCACAATTTCAAGTCGAACCAGAGCTCCAAACCATATATTCTTGCCTGGTCTAAGATTGACTTTGCGGGGTCGAATGGAAGTTTTGGGAACGACAAATTGAAACTCGGTTGAAGCTAAAAAATGTGTAAGTTGCTGGCTGTTGTATGTACCTACTGTGTCAATTAAATGTCCTGTATCCTTGCGTGCATCATGATCAGGATCGCTGATGTCTCCAAGCGAATTTGGAAAGAATTGTGTTCCAAACGATGATATTGGAATGGGGACAGGTGCAATTGTAGTGCCAGCAAAATTGGATGTGGTCAAGAATCCTTTATAACCAGCATGAGTGACGATTTGATTAATAACAGACGACTTGCCAACATTGGTTGCTCCAACCATGTAAATATCCTCATTAGAGTTTCTATTGTCCACAATGGCCTTCACAAGACTATCAATTCCAGTTCCTTTTGTCGCTGAAATTGGAATAATGCTGATAGGCCCTGTATGTCTGCTAGTTTGAATGCGAGATCTGACCCAGTCAATGTATTGCTTAGGAGTATCTTTTTTAGGAATAAGATCCTACAGTAAAACCAGCGGAATTAATAGGCTGCTACACAATCACCAAAAATAGTCCAACAGTTGACTTGAAACTTACTATTTTGTTGATAGCGACAATAACGTTCTTCATGCCAACAAGATCTCGCAGGTTAGGCAAGAGAGTACAAGGCAGATCATAGACATCTACGATCAAAACCACTAGTCCTCCTGTACGAGTCTTGAGTGATTTGAATTGGGAGTGAACTGTGCTAAATGTAGCTGGGACCTGTGATTTATTGTGATGCTTGAGATTATGACAGCGTTGGCAGATTGGAACCACTTTCTCCTCCTTGGAAGCATTAATCAAAGTCTTGACTTGACTCGGAGAAAGTGGTTCAATAGAGTCTTTGAGTTTTGCAATGGCTGCTGGAGTGATGCTCGCTTTTCGAGAATATGCCAACTCGGGAATATAGCCTGCTGAAATCGGAGAGTGATGCTGAAACGCTGCACCACAACCAACGCATATTGATGGTTTAGAGCCAGCTCTTGTAGTGTAGGATAGTCTTGGTTTATGGAATAGATAACTGCGCATACTGGCTGGTGTAGAAATGGCATTTGGTCCAAGATTGGTTGAATTACGATGGTCAATATGACTATATGTGAGTGTATGGATGCATGTATGTCTATAGGTACGCAAGCTTGTGGTCATGCATGGCCGTGCATTAGCTCCATTATAGCTTGCCCTAGTACATCTAGGTAGGACTATCATGTTCATTTTATCAAAAAATTGACATTTACAATTGTTGCTTGAAACCTCATTTGCTGGTTTATGTTTTGCAATCTTGCCATTTTTGCATGACTAGACAATGGAAAACATTACTCAAAATCGCATTGTAATAAAAGCTTTTTTGTCATTGTAGCCAAGATTCGATATAGTGCTGAATAGGATACTCGCATGTCAATACTCTTGATATCCACGCTAAATAACTCATTAATAGTATCTAATAAATAACAGTCCCCATATTCGAGTAGGCGGTAGTAGTATAGATAAGGCACCGAATGATACCACGCTATCACATAATGTAACTTCCTCTATGGAAGTGTATGAGCTGTCGTCAACGTCAATCGATGGACATGAGAATGCAAGCAAAGGGAAAAGGAAAAGGAAACCCGACGACAGTCATGACCATGCGTCGTCCTCCTTACCCTCAATCCCATGCTCTATTCCTTTAACAACCACACGTTTGTCTAAAGTCTCAAAGGCCAGTTTGGTGTGGCAGTTTTTTGACAAGCTTGATGATATAAATGACCTTGACAAGGCGAGAATTCCCTGTAAAATTTGTCAGCAGCTCGTCAAGACAAATTCAAGAACCAACTTCAATCTTGTTGCCCATTTGGTGACCAAACACCGCGACGCTCTATCAGATGCAATGGATCGGTATTCCAAAGACTCCACAAGTATAAGTTTAAAGGGTACAAAACTACAAAGTAAGATTCAAGACTGCTTTGAAAAAGGTAATCATTGCATACTCGTATGATGCGTCATTATTTCTGCTGTCTGGAATATTAATATTGTATTTTTTGATGTTAATCTATTTTCTTGTACTGACAGGGTTTACCCAGACAGAATTTCAAAACAAGCTACAGCGGTGGATCGTTGGTGACCATCAATCGCTTTTGATTGTTGAGAATCCCTATTTTCAACAAATGATGTTGTACATCAACAAGCATATCATTTTCAAGTCCGCCGATACTATATCACAAACTGTGAATCGTGATTTCGAAATTGCAAAAGCTGACGTTTATGCTCTTATCAAAGAAAACACATCCAAGATCTCGTTTACGACCGACATATGGACATCGCCTGCCAATGTTGTTTACACGGCTGTCACTGCCCATTTTATTGACAAAAATTGGAAACTGAAATGCATTCTTGTCGACTTTCTTGTGTTTAATGACAGCCACAGCGGCCAGAACATTGCGGCATTATTCAAGCAGATTGTGGAACCCATATGCGGTGATAGGAAATCGCTCATTTTAGGAATCTGCACTGACAATGCGTCCAACAATGAGGTTTTCATTCAAGAGCTCCTCAATTCTGGTTATTTGGAATCTCCCGAATGTCATCATCGTTGCTTTGCACATGTCCTTGATCTTGCCGCCCAAGATGCACATCAAGAGATCAAGACATCAATCGAGACACTGAGGGAAGGGATTAAATTGCTACAATGTTCCCCCACATCGATGGAACAACTGAAAAAGATAATGGGAGAATCTTTCTTAGAGCCAATCCTTGATGTCGCCACGAAATGGAACTCTACATTCGATATGCTGGTCACAGCTTTGAAAATGCGAGGTACGTCAAGGATCTAGAGCTGAACTTCAAGAGCACTTTATGTATGCCACCTTGCAGTTAAATTTGCAATAACATGTTGTCTTTAAATTTGTTAATTAGAACCACTCGTTCAAATCTTGGATCAATTGTACATGGAAAAGAAGATCCCTGACGTGCCGTCAGCGGGAGATTGGGACAACTTGACTGAATTAGTGCATTTCTTTCAACCATTCAAACAATCCACAATGGAATGTAACATCAACAAGCATCAAACGTTGTCATACGTTATACCATGGTACAACGTGTTATTGGACCATTGTGAAAATGCCGTCAGTGATTATGGACAAAGATTAGACGCTTCGATTTCTGGAACTCCAGCAAGTTATCGGAGAATTGCCAATGAATCGCTTGCAATTGATACATTGGAAATTTGAAAGACGCAGCAAATGCATCCCAAATGAAGCTTGACAAGTATTTTAATGTTTCCAATAACCATTGTGTGATCGCTGTGGTACTTGATCCTCAACACAAACTTGAGTTTTACGACGACGAAAATCAGGATGCCCAAGAAAATGCTTCTCAGAAAGAAAAAATCAAAAAGGCAAATCCAAAGCGTCTATGCCGAGTACCACAATCAAAGTGGCTTGATGCAATTAGAGGTATTCAAAACGGCATTGGACTTGTCAGATAATCACATGCGTAATTACTTGTATTTAAACTTTGTCACGCTCATTTCATTAGAATTCGGATGCACCTACTCCAGCAAATAGGGTTTTTAAAAAGAAAAGGTTGGCTCCTACTTTGCAACTCGAAGAATATTTGAATATCCCAGTGGTGGATCCTAGGCAAGACCCATTGGAGTGGTGGAAACATCATGAATCGGATTTCCCCTTGCTTGCAAAAATGGCAAGGGATTATCTAGCAATTCCAGCCACATCTGCGTCCTCGGAGCACGCCTTTTCAAAGGCAAGGCATTTAATTACTGATTCGCGGACCAGACTGAGCGATCAGACAATCAGGGCGAGTATCTGCTTGGAAAATTGGCAGCGAGGTGGAATTTGGTGATTTGAGTTATTCAATGGTAGAAAACTTACATATGCAGATGGATTAAAAGGAGAAATGTTGGGTTACATATGAATTTATTATAATTGCAGGAGATGGTTTCCAAAGGATGGAGATCTGGAATAGGATACTTGTCTCGTTTTTAAAAAACGATATACATGCGTAGTTTTTGCACGCATTCCGTAGATGTGGTCGTTGTTGATATTGTTTTTACCTCGGACTGTCGAAATATAGTATGATACATGTATTGTTTAGCATATTATTAAGCGAATTTTATGTGAATTTCGCAAATTTGCAGCGAAATGTGCGAAATAAATCCAGAGGTCCATTTCGCATTGCAAAAGATATTGACAGGGACAGATAGCGCAAATGTGGGACCCTATACGATAAGCATTGTTGAACAGTGGGAGTTTCAGCAGTAAAGGAGATTCCCTCAGAAACATACAAAGTTTCATGATCTGGAGGTTTTTCACAAACGGCACATCCTTG